TGGTATGACGACGACTGGAGAACAGTTGGGTTCGGAGAAGTCACAAGCGTCTACGACTTTTACTCCCAAGGCAGGCACAAAAGGCTGTACTATGTCGGAAGCACTGTCACTGAAGGAATCAAGTGGATAAATGTCAAAAGAGAAGAAATAGGAACAGACATGATGCCGTCGAAGATAGGAATGAGGAGGAAAGGAAGACTAAAGTTAAAAGAAATGTCTATTGCACAAATCCTAGCATATTTTTAAATTGTAGTAAATAGAGCAATAGCACCTTGCACCCATCGGGCTGTTGCCCTACAATAAAAAGTAAGGCTCTCGAGTTAATAGCGGAAAATTGCAGGTCCCCATTTTTGGCCTGCAAAATGCAAAAAGTGAGGAAACTGCAATTTTACTAAGTGATAAGTGGGTATGCTCCAAAAAAATCTGCAAAAATTGAGGATCTGCAAAAAGTAGGGCTGCAAAAAGCGGGGGACCACTGTAGAAGCAGAGCTAGAGCGTCCTGAAACTGTGTGGCTTGATTTACTCGAACAAGCGTTTGTTGCAACCTTGGCTCCAGTGTTGTTCGTCGCCTGTTCCACAAGACGCACACAAAGTTCTGACCAATTTGGCTTACTGCGTTTCTGAGATAAAAACAAGGTAAGAATTTGCTGCTATCATTGGCATTGATAGATATATAGAACCATGTCAAAACGTACCACTGGTTTTCTAAGTTGTCCAGCAACTTTGCTGAAACGAGAGGGCCAATTGTTCTTAAAATCTTCACCAATTTTTGTTTGCTTTAAAATATATTCTGTTTTGTCTTTGACGAAATTTGCAAACGTTAAACTATTGCTAGCATCTTTAATAACTACATGAGTACATGTTTTAGTATCCGTGTAATCGCGATGTCGCTGTTACTTTTTAATTATTACTGTCTTCCTAGTTTTGAGCTTCTGATTGCTCATCCCGCTCTGATTCTCGAGGTGGTAATGTACTTTGAGATAAACCTTTTGCTGCAATGATCTTGAACGAAGTCAAGTGACCTCTGCCAGCCGCAGCATTTCGAGTTGCTCTATTCATCAAGAAAAATTACATCAGAGGAATTTTGTAGTCAGTCACAAGCATAGAGAAATTCTAAGTCCCAATTTGCAAGTCCAACAACTATATCCAAAAAAAAATATGCTAAGTCCAACAACTGTATCGAAAACTAAGAGTATTCGAAAACAAAACATATGTGATAAGTATCTCTGCTAAATATATATTATAATCTTTATTGTTGACAAGAGGGACGTGCGTTTGGATTGATGATTTTCTCTATGTCTGTGTACAGCCTTTTTTGTAGAACAATTATATTTTCTAGTTGTGTTGTAGTTATTTTTGGTTTGCTTTTTGCAAATGGACTATCAAGTTGATTTTTCGAGCGTTCATATTCAGCGAGCAGATCGTTTCTATGCTGCTGCTGCTGCTGTAAGGATGGTGGTGGTAGTTGCACATATGCTGTTAATGTTGTTGACGACGTAGATGATATTGATGATGCTGGTAATGACGATGCTGGTATTGATTATGATGATACTGTTGTTGTTGAATGGCGAGGAAAGCTTTGGTTTATGATTACTGGAATGGTGGTGTGATATGCGATAAGATATATATGCTTGCATGGCTGGTTACGCTTTTTTAAGTCTTCACAACTACAAGAACCAATAACGCCATTGCTATTGGTTTCTTCAAACTATAGAGTATACAATGCAGAACTAGTAAAAGATTGACAGGTGATTTATTGCCACGGTACGATCAGCAATTGTAAAAGTAAACGCACATATACAGAAATGATACATACATGGTCATCATAAAAAGTTATCATCCAGTCAGCTTCATCTGGTGATTTTCTGCAAGCTTCTTTTTTCCTTTGTTGAGCTTCTCTAGTCGCTGTTGTTTCTTCAACACCAGCCAAAACACGCAGGACTTGAGCACGGTAATCATTTTCGACCAACTGTGTCAGCACATAGATCACACGATCAGCACGATGATTGCGACTGTATGGAAGATATTTGCGTTTAAGTTTGAAATGGCAGCTTTCGATCAGATTACTTGTACGGAAGGACGCATTCTATAGAATATACAACCGTAAATAATATTGAAGCGCAAAATAAAACTAAAACGAGCCTAAAACGTACCTCTCTCCAAGCTTTGCACCAAAGATGATGCTTAGGATATCAATAGTCCAACACATAGCCATAAAATTCAAAATGCTCATATGTATCACACCATTTTTTACCAAATTCATCCCAAGCATGCACAAATTCAACGACGGTTTTGCAATTCATCAAAGCACTAAGGGCAGAACGAGCTTCATCTCTTTTTTTCTTCGTATCGTCTGTTGACAGAGTAGTTTTAATCTATAACCCAACATATTAAAAAAAGGAATTCTAAATATAAATACAAAATGTGGCTAATTAAAAGGTACCTTGGACATAATGTTCTTTTCCCATGCTCTTTTGATGTGCCAATGACACAGAAAACTTGAACTTGATGACCATAAACTTCTCGGATGCTGTTAATTTCAACTGGACTGCAATCGATCATGATCCTTGTTGGTGTGTATTCCATTCTGTCCCAGAGCCATCGAAACCATACTTGCCGACTTTCACTAACTTCTTTATCTGTGATCATAAAAGCAAGAGGGTAACCTTGTCCAGTAACTGTATGCTTAGCAACGATAGAGAACAGATACACATCAGCCCGGCCATTGATAATAGATTTGCAAATCATGTGTGTGGCATCAATACAGATCTCACTTGATCTCTTGAGCAGCTATAAAGCACATACGCATCTTAATATACGAACATTGCATTATATTCAAGTATATATCTTTTCTTACCAAAGCTTGTCGTGGTGATATCCATGCAACAACAAAAGTAGAATCCGTGATATATTCCAACGTTTGATAACCTTGATCTTTTAAAAAGAGAAGCCACTTGACTACACTTTCTTCATCGATTATATCTTTTCTTGCTAATCTTGACTGTTGGTTGGCGATGATATTCATGACATGATGCTGCTTCACACGTAAGGCTTCCGGGAACGGTCCTTCGCCTTCCTCGAGCTGATACCACAGGTTAGCATCTCTACAAGTTATCATCATAGTTTTGCTTTACACGTATAGATGATACTTACATCTTGAAGTTGTTTATCAGTCAAACGCAGATGTTCCTGAATTTGATCCCACTCCAACTTGTTATTGACAAGTTCTTCGATCCATTTACGTGTTTCAGCGGGGAGTTGTGAGCGAGTAGCATTGGTTATCTCGGTAGGGTCATGGTGTTGATGTTGCCAGTGATATACAAGTTTGATTTTGCCTGAGAATAAGTATTGAATACGGTATCGAGCACGACAAATTACTTTAATAGATGGTTTTGCAAGTCGACGTTTTTTTATGGGAGCAGGTTCAGTTGAGTCTATAAGCAGAGCAGGGACAGCTGGAGCCGATGTTTCTCTTGAGTGATCACAAAAAAAAGTGACACTACGTTCAACTGTCCGAGGACGGCCGGCATTATTTCGGCGTGCATCTGAAGCCTTGGGTACGGAGATGTACTTGTTGTTGGTGATGAAGTTGGCATGCTGCTTGGGGTTTTCTTTAACCCACTCGTCAAGTTGTTGCTGGTTGTCAAAAGTCTCTGTAACTACTTCGGTCGGGTAGGTGGGAAAGACACGGACAAGGTATCCAAGGCTATCAGATGCAGAGGTCATTGTTGTAGGTAAGCAACTGTCAAATACAAAGGTACAGTGTAGTTGCGACGCGTCGCTGTGGGAACTTTCTCTATGCTTGTGACTGACCAAATAAAATCGGGTCTATGGTCCTTTACAAAAAATAAAAAGAGAAAATTCCTCTGACGTAAATTTTTCTTGATGAATAACGAAACCGCAGCATTTCCAGTTTCCGTCTACTGTTTTTTCCAAGTTACACAAAACAATTGGCATAGGTGTCGGAGCGGAAACCTCAGAAGTGGAGTGGTTATAGGCTTTAGTTCCTTCTAAGCTAAGATGAAGTTGACAGATTCTTTCGTCAAGAATGGAAGGGCCAAGTTTCCAACGTCGATATCAGGGTCGGGCGTCTACCTCTGAGCGGCTTTTTAGCTGTATTCTTGTCGTGTGCCAAACGGTGCAGGTACGTCCTTCTATATAATCAAACGTCATGCAGGAAATGTATGTATTATTAAGTTGACTAGTCAGCTGTACTCTGTCTGCAAAAGGAAAAGTAATAATCGAGAAAGTCTAAAACTGAGGTTCTGGCTACGACTTTTGGAAGGCTCGCATTGAGGCTCTAATAGATGTTGATGGTCTGACAGCACATCTTAGCATGAAAATCGGGGAGAGGCTATGATTGAACAGCGACAGATATAGCGAGTGGTAAAATGTCAAGGAAGGCCTAGATACAGTAGTCAGTGCACCGATTAAGGGATGTAATGTCTTGAATTTTGACAGCCGTCGCGTGTGTTCAAAATAAAATCTGGTGGTTTGCATTTGGTAGCAGCTGTTCCTTGTTAAAAGGGAAGAAGAACAATTAGAGCATGTAGAAAACAAATAAAATCTTGGTTTGTGGTAGCAAAAAAGTTGTCAAAGAAGCATAAAAGATGTGTCTATCAATATGCACGGAGTCGTTATGGGACACGTCAAGGAAGTGCGGAAAAATGGTTCGTTACTTAAACGGTACTGCATGATGAGCATGATGCAAATTGGTGCTCTTTCTGTCATCATATGTTCCGGTGTGTAAAACCGTGGTCCGATCAAGTAGAGCTGCTATATCCTCTCGACAACGGCAGTATTTTAAAAGGATCATGATTATATCACAAATTTACATGCTCTGTTGTTGCCCGCTAACATGCATGCTCCAGCTGCGATTAATGAGATCGTACATGCTACATGGCATCAAAAATTGAGATCGAAAAAACGATATTTTCGTCTGATAATCGTATTCAACAACGAACCATGTGCTGATGTTGGGATTAGATAAGCTCGATACCCTCATATTTTTCAGCAATCAGTTGTCTACTACTGCACTCACTATCCGTGATATAGGTTGCGAAGACGTCCCTCAATTGTGTCATAGACTCCAAGTATCTTACGACCTGTCATCCATTCCGTCCATTTGCGTTTTTGCTGGGCCTTTCTTGCCTTTATCTTCACTCCCCTCGCTGTTCACTTTCTTGACCGCTTCCAGTTCGATAAAAATAGATAACAGGCTATCAATCTTTCCATCCCTTCATCCTAAAGTCCAAAATTCCCTTTGATACTTCTTTATGCTTTTTGACGCCTAAATTGGCCTTGGATAGCCTTATAAGACGCCAAAACGCGAATCTGAAATTTCGGATGTTCCATTGATAGTAGTAATTCGACGATTAATGATTTGTACTGTATTAAATGTTTCAAGCGTATTTTACATAGTAGTCATATTGGCTGATCATCCAGATAAGTGAGGTGGCTAAAAATAGAGGTTAGAAATATATTCATATTGTTTGTTCTATCTTTGTCAAGATGCGGGGTTAAACACTTACTGGCCACGCAGAAGGGGGACAAGAACGGACCGTTGAGTTTGCACCCTTTAAAGACAAACAATTCGGCACAATAATGCGTCAATGCAATAACGTAAGTCCAGATACCCAGTTCATACATGCTACATTAATAGATTATTTAGCGCTCAAGATATTCAATAGTGCATACGCTCGTTTCATTAAGATACTCACAACTTGTGTTCGAGATAAAATGCAGCGTAGATACGGATCATGCTGACAGACCAAGTCCAAGTGGCAAAGAAACGGGCACTCATAGGAGTCACTATGAAACATTATTATTGTTATCATATAGTTCTGCTTTCTGCGAGTCAGGCTCGCGTATACCGGCTGTAGTTATATGCGCAACATGCTAAAACACGTAAGCGTAAATATTGTCCTGACACGATTGCTTACCTTCATCAGGCTTGCCAGCATAGAGGCGCTTGGTCAACTTGTCAGTGCAAAAGTTTTGAATCGAGTTGAATATGCCCAAGGCCGAGGTAAACAAGAACCATTTAGGAAGGTAACCTTCTGGAAGTGCCGAAAACAAATCAGTGACCGTGCCCATCATGAAGTCCATGCTCTCGTTACTAAGGGTAATAGAAGGGGTGCGGAGGGCCTGTAAAAAGAGGCAACATAGCTTTTAAGCTTTCCAAAAATTCGATACTGCCACGACCAATCACATTGATCGGTTAAATCATTTAAGCACTTTTATAGGTACATTTTTTTTGTTTCCAGCAAGGTCTACTGTCGAATATATACGATGTCAAAAAGCGATCGGTTCACTCGCCCACTTGTCCTAACATCCACGGTTCAAGGACAAATCAGGCACCGTCGCAAACTCTGTAAAGATTTATTTTTCATTGATGTGCTATTAAGTGATAACACCAAAGAGCAAGTCCTGTTTCGAAGTGACGACGGAACCTGCACTCGAGAATTGGTGCAGGACACTTATCGCACAGCACGACCAGGCAGCATTATCCGTGTCGACGTCGGATTACCAACCGATCCTGGAGAAACGACATCCTATAAAGTGTGGCAATCTAATGTACCTTTGACCATGATTAAACTTTACAACGATCCAAAGACTTTTATTGCCGATCCACCACTGGGAAGCAAAGGACCTAAGCAGACGGTCGTACGGCAAGATGGTACGACAAAGCAGAAAGCGGATATGTTTTGCAAGTTTTGGATCAACCAGCGGGAGTGTGTCCGGTTACCAAATTGTCCGTACCTGCATCCGTCCGAAGAAGAATATGAGGAAGCACGCAAAACATGGATTGAGGATGTAAGTATTCTTCTACTGCGAAGAACACTGTAGGAAGGCAGACAAGTGAATACTTGGTATTAATTTGGTGCTTGTTACGAATGGGTAAATAGCGTCTAGCAGTTCGAAAAATCACAACGCATGACCCAGACGATCCACATACATCAAAAAAGTCGCATGCCATGCGGGCCATGGTGTTTGTGCAATGGATCCATCAAACGTTTGGTGACATACTCACGGACGGTGTTGGTGTATTGGACGTTGCAGGCGGCAAAGGCGACGTATCCATGTTTCTCAGTCACGCATTTAATATACCAAGTACTGTTGTCGAGCCGGAAATCCGAAAACGGCCAAACCATTGGTATGTACGGTTACGACGATATGCGTGTCGGATAGCACGGAACGAGGATCCGAGTAGCAATACGCCCATGGACGAAAAATGGCCGTACGAATTGGAGCCGACCTATCTCGGTACACTTATGGATGACAAATTTCTCGAAGACTATCCGGAGATTGTTGCAAATACTGGGCTATTAGTGGGAATGCATGCAGATCAGGCGACGGAGCCTATTGTGGATATGGCACTCAAGCTTAACAAAGCATTCGCAGTGATTCCATGCTGTGTATTTGGGCATGAGAATCGAGATCGAAGGCTTAATAACGGAGGAGAGGTAGTTACGACCGAGGAATTTATACAGTACTTGATGGAAAAGGATACCCGGATACAAAAGTCATATCTAGGATTTGAGGGCAAAAATGTTGTACTTTACTATTGGCCATAAGAGCCTTAAACTAAAATGTAATAACAACAGTAATCTTATAACCGTTGTAAAATAATAGAAACTTGTGTAATACTATAGTATATCAATAGGTGTTGATCGCTTGAAATGCATGTACGGAAAATGGTCGTTTAGAGATGTGCTTTGGCATTGTTGTTTTTGCTGCTATTGCTGACGAGTGTCCAGCCATCAATCTTCGTAGCAATCTCTTGTGCTATCGATTCAACTGCGTTATTATTCTTGCCGACCACGCTAACGACCACGCTGACATCTTTATCGCCCATGAGTGGATAGCTGCCGATCTTGATATCCCGATAGCGCGCTTGGATAGCTGACAATGTGGATGCAATTGCACCCTCACTCTTTTGTGTTGCAATATCTGTCCGTGAAAAGCCAATGATGTGCTTGCCGTTCTTCTTTAGACTGAGCTGCTGCAGATGTGGTTTCAGTGACTCTAACAACAGTTGGAAAAGGCGTGGGATGCCAGGCAGAATGTAAACGTTATCGTTGACGATGACGACAGGAATCAAGAAGCTTTGTTGGGGTCGTAACAGTTGCGCAGGATGAGGAAATGTTGCTAGCCGTTCGTATCCTTCGCGCTGTGTGATCTTGCGCTTGTTGAGCATGGCTTGCACACGTTCATAGGTATCGTTGTCCAGTTTTAGCTCAAGTTGGTATGCTTTGGCAATGGCAGCATAGGAGATATCATCATGCGTAACGCCTTTGTTGCTTTGAAAGTTTAGTAATATGAAACAGTTCGAGTCCGCTCCCCTAGTGTGTGTGTATTTATTACCTATGCCACCACTGGTGAATACAATGTCATGGTCATTTGACAGCCGTCGAATAGAGTCTGCAATAGCGTCCATGTCATCACTTACAACTTCAACACGTTTCAGTTCAATGCCAAGTTTGAATAGAAACTGAGCTGCAATGACACTTATACTTGTGAGTGACAGGTTTCTTGTACGAATAAGAACAAGAAGGTACCGTACCAAGATAGTGTGAGTTGGTGTCTTGAGTCTTTCCATTTAGAATCTCATCACCTATTATCAATGATGCTGCTGTCAACGATGGATCTTGTGCCATTATAACGCCTATTATAGTGCCACCTTCAAGAAGTGGAAGAGTGAAAAGAAGAGGGTCCTCCTTCCATTTCAAGCAAGGCGGGGATATACAGTATCGACTTATTCGTTTTTCTCATCAGCATTATATAATAGCTGCTTCGAACAGGCTCTTTGTAGCCAGTTTTGGAACAATAAATTGCTGCCGTTTTCGTGTACGAAGGGTAGCTTTTCCTGCTATGTGATCCGGAATTTTCGATGTAAGGTATTCAAGTGGAGCAACGCCAACAGTCAAAGAAAAAGTGCTCGGTCAATTCTTTTCAGTGAAGGTTGAAGGGTGAGCGTGATTGTGTGCCACATATGCGCGCTGCATTCGCGGAGAAAAAATTTTGCGTCACTGTGTGCATGAAGCAATCAAATACAAGAGCCACCTTGTTTCTCTCTCCCACACAGCTCTCTTCTTCTTTTGTTTCTCTTACCTTTAGTATTAAAAGCAATGTATCGCGCGTCGATCCCTCGTATCGTTCGCCCACTTTTACGGCGGCGCTCGACCATCGCACCACTGCTGAATGCACGCTATCCAACCGTTGGAGTACCAGCCATCACCACGGCCAGCGTTGCTGCTGTACGCTCCTTTGCGAGCAGCAAAGGCCCGCCAGAGACGGCCGACAGCTTCTTGCACGGCAACGCAGCCAACTATATTGAAGAAATGTACGAAGCATGGCTCCATGATCCATCGTCTGTCCATATATCGTGGCAAGTGTATTTCAAGAACATGAAGAACGGCGTGCAGCCTGGTCAAGCGTATATGGCGCCGCCCACCCTTGTGCCATCCGGTAGTGCGCGTTTGCCTAGTTTACCTTCAGATGTCGTTGCGGGCGCAAGCGATTTAGAGGTGCTCGACCATATGAAAATCCAGTTGATGGTACGCGCGTACCAGGTGCGCGGTCATCACATTGCCAACCTCGATCCACTGGGTATTTTGAACGCAGACTTGCAAGATTCATCACCTCCCGAGCTATCGCCCAAATTCTACGGATTCACTGAGAAAGACCTCGACCGCACCTTCACGTTGGGTCCTGGCATCCTCCCCGCGTATGGCACTGACTCAAAAAAGATGACGTTGCGTGAGATTGTTGACCATTTGCAAAAGATATATTGCAAGTATCTTTTCTTTTCTTTCTCTTTATGCAAGAAGAACAAAAGAAGGACATACTCACACGTAAACAAATACAAACCAAACAGGCGGCTCTATCGGTGTCGAGTATATCCACATCCCCGATCGCTCTCAATGTGATTGGATACGCCAACGAATTGAAACGCCCACACCGTATAAATTCACGGTCGACCAGAAACGCGTTATCTTCGACCGCTTGACGTGGTCTGACAGTTTCGAGCGCTTTATTGCATCCAAGTACCCGTCTGAAAAGCGCTTTGGCTTAGAAGGTGGCGAAACCTTGATTCCAGGCATGAAAGCAATGGTAAGCTTCTGTGATGCTTTTTCCATTAAGGAGTTCTCACCGTCACTGTGGCTTTTCCTGGTCCAAAATTGGCACTTTAGATTGACAGGTCAGTTGACCTCGGTGTTGAATCTATCGTCATTGGCATGCCACACCGTGGTCGATTGAACGTTCTCAGTAACGTGGTCCGGAAACCAAACGAATCCATCTTCTGCGAATTCAGCGGCGCTTTGGAACCATCGGAAGAAGGGTCTGGTGACGTAAAGTACCATTTAGGCATGAACTATGTCCGACCTACTCCCTCGGGTAAACGTGTCCATTTGTCCCTTGTGGCCAACCCATCTCACTTGGAAGCTGCCGATCCAGTCGTGCTAGGAAAGACCCGTGCGCTCCAATTCTATAGCAAAGACGCTGAGCGAGAGCACTCGATGGCCATTTTGATGCACGGCGATGCTGCCTTTGCAGGTCAGGGCATTGTATACGAGACCATGGGCTTCCACGACCTGCCAGCATACACGACAGGTGGTACAATCCATATTGTTGTCAACAATCAAGTTGGTTTCACGACCGATCCACGCTTTGGCCGGTCGACTCCGTACTGCACCGACATTGCCAAGAGTATCAGTGCACCAGTATTCCACGTCAATGCCGACGATGCTGAGGCTGTCACATTTGTCATGCAGCTCGCGTCGGACTGGCGACAGACGTTTCACAAGGACGTCGTCATTGATCTGGTGTGCTACCGCCGCCATGGCCACAACGAAACGGACCAGCCCAGCTTCACCCAGCCAAGAATGTACCAGGCGATCGAAAAGCAAACCCCTGTAGCTGAAAAATATGCTTCGCAGCTCAAGAGCGAGGGATCCATGTCCGACTCGGATGTTGACGAGACCAAGATGCGTGTATGGAAGATCTTGGAGGAGAGCTATGCCAAGAGCAAGGATTATACGCCCACATCGCGCGAATGGCTTTCGAGCTCATGGCCAGGATTCAAGTCGCCCAAGGAGTTGGCCGAAGAAGTTTTACCGCATTTTCCTACGGGTGTCTCCATGGAGACCCTGCAGCAGGTTGGCAAGGCATTAACCACGTTTCCTGAGAACTTCTCCATCCATCGCAATCTGAAGCGTATTCTGCAAAATCGCGAAAAGGCGCTCAACGCCGGCAAGGATATCGATTGGGCAACAGGCGAGGCATTGGCATGGGGTTCCTTGCTGTTAGAAAACAAGCATGTGCGATGCTCCGGCCAAGATGTTGAGCGTGGTACCTTTTCGCAACGCCATGCTGTCCTGCACGACCAAAAGAACGAGCGACCTTATACCTTGCTGAATCACATTTCACCTGAACAAGGCAACTTGACGATTTGCAATTCATCCTTATCCGAATACGGTGTGCTTGGTTTTGAGCTCGGGTATTCCATGGTCGATCCCAATGCATTAGTGATCTGGGAAGCTCAGTTTGGTGACTTTGCAAACAATGCCCAGTGTATCATTGATCAGTTCATAGCGGCTGGCGAGCAAAAGTGGCTGCAGCGTACTGGCTTGGTGCTGCAGCTGCCTCATGGTTATGATGGCCAAGGACCCGAGCACTCGTCATCCAGAATCGAGAGGTATCTTCAGATGTGCGACGATAACCCAAGCACATACCCATCACCCGAAAAGTTGCAGCGCCAACATCAGGATTGCAATATGCAGGTCGTCTACGCGACAACCCCAGCACAGTATTTCCATGTCATGCGCCGTCAGATCCATCGTGAATTTAGAAAGCCGGTATACCTTTGTTCTTGTTTTCGATAGTAATGGGAAGAAAAGCACATTATAAGGCGAAGTTATACTAATAACAGAACTTACTATTTGATTTTTTAGCTCATTTTGCCATTCTCCAAATCCTTACTGCGGCATCCGCTCGCACGGTCTGCGCTCGAGGATATGACAGGCGATAAACACTTCCAGTTGTATCTTCCTGACGTACATCCCGAGCATCTTCAGTCCCCAGACAAGATCAAGAAGCATATCCTGTGCACGGGCCAGGTGTACTACGCCCTCTTGCGCGCACGCGAGCAAAACAAGATTACTGATGTTGCCATATCACGTGTGGAACAACCCAATCCATTCCCCTATGAGCAGGTTAAGGATCATGTAGACAAGTATCCCAACGCCGAGGTCGTATGGTGTCAGGAAGAGCCTATGAACATGGGCATGTGGCAGCATGTCAGTCCAAGAATCAACACTGTGTTATCGCAGACGGAAAACTTTAAGAGTAAGTGAGCAAAATAGCTAGAGGATGGAGGAGTGCTTGCATAGCATAATCAGAACGCCATCTTGAATTATGTATGCTGATTCCCCCACCCCTTTTCGCCAAACGAATAGGTAAACCCGTCCAATACACAGGTCGTGAACCATCTGCCTCGGTTGCCACCGGTAATAAAAAGCGGCATTTTCAGGAAGAATACGACTTCTTAAGCTGGGCCCTTTTGGGCGAGCCTACCCAACCCAAGGAAGTACAATCCGGTGTACCAGTGTGGTAGAAATTTGTAAATCGAATACGGAAGTTGTTGCACAGATTTTTCCATACTCTTTTTAAACTGTTATGTTAAAAACCATCAAGTTATTTATCCTTTTTCTTTGGCGAAACAACAAGTATAGCTTCTACTCGAATGTACTTCACAGCAGGTTTATGTTTCTGTCGCTGCGTTTTGTATATTGAAATCAGAAAGTTTGGTTGATTTTTTACCCTTGCTTGCTTTTCTAGTAGTTAGGTGTTTGTGAATCTTTGCTTTGGTTCTGTAAAAGAGCAATAACTTCAATAACAGAGCTTAACGGTAAGCAATGGCACTTTTTTTTTGAGTGAACCCACAATTACCGCCATAACAGTGGATAGAGATAGATTGCGCTGGATTTCTTTTGTCCAGATAGAAATGCTACTCATAAAAGGCCAATGTATACAATACCTGGTATCTCCAGTACGTACATATAAGCTATGTAACTGCAGGATCACCAGTGATATCTTTGATGAGCTACAAAAGACACTATTTACGCCTCCTTTTGATAAAGAGCAACTTCGATTATGAAGACATGTTGACAGGTTTGTCAACTAGCATACTTTGTGCTCCCACTACTCCAATCATAAATCTATTAGCAATGACCTTTTCATAACATATCAATGTCTGCTTTGCCGCCAGATAAGAAACATAGCGGATCGTAATTGAGTTGTTGTTCGACTCATATCGTTCTGCACTCGCTTTCAATTGAGAAAAATAATCAATCGCAGTTGTATTCTATCCAACTCGGTAGGATAGCCGGCCACTTGTTTTTTGGTGGCTTTGTATTGTTCTGTCCACTGCTGCTGACAGCAACAGTATGCAGCAGTAATTTGAGCCACCATCATCTTTTCTTCGCTTTTTTAGAAGTCTTACCTGCATCATTGGATATGTTTAGTCGTACATCATCCCGACGTGCCATCTCTGGTGGACTTTACAGTACGGCCCACTTGTCTCCAGCTTTTGTTGGAGATTTTACGCAATGAGATCTTTGGTCGATTATCATTCAAAGACGAGAACATATACAAGAATTAACAGACAAAGTATCAAGTGCACAGCGAGCGACGGTGTCGATCAAGGCAGAGTCCTTACTCATTTTCCGTGGACCCGGTGCTGTGGATTTATCTAGCTTTGCTTGCAGTCCCCATCACCATGGAAAGTGCTATCTACAAGCATCTATGAAGCGAACGGCACAAATCAGCGATTTCAAGTCCTGGAAAAAAAAGTATCACATAGCTGTCGAAACAGCTGGTTTCATATTTGGTAAAACAGGTATCGTCAATAACTCTTCGGATGCTCTCTACCATTCAGCCACCGCTTTTAACAGATAATGATTGATAAAAAGAACTGTTCCCATAAACGTCGTTAGCTGTATAATGCATGCAAGTCTAGAGAATGGTGTGAAATAACTTATTGTTTTAAAAGATGATAATGAAAGGGAATATACATGGTGTTACATTAAGTGAGTGAAAGAGCGTATAATTTTGTTTCTTAGTAACGGTTGGATTAGAACCTTTCTTAGACAGGCAAAGGGTTGGTTCCACGTTGGAAACCAGTAATTTCATCGTTTAAAAAGATGGGAGGGATGCTGATGAGAGAAACAAAGAAGATAAATACGAGGCAAAAAACGGGACCATACGTAAGTGCAATCTCCCGACGACGTCTTCGTTGTTTGGTGGACAAGACGGACGGTCGAATCTGTTTGGATGGCCTAAGCCAAAACAGCATCAAGGAATGGATCCGATCTATGTACGGTACCAAAGTAAATGGGAACAGAAAGAACAAGATCAAATGGCCCAGGATAAAATCTGTGGTGAAAGCCGACATTTCTACGACCTTGCAAAGGTATTCTCTTGCTCCTTGAAGTCCCAACTGAAAGTAGCAAAGCGAACCAATTAGTTATCAGCCTCACAGCGCAATTTTATCCTGAATCGAAAAGAAAATACATACATTGCTTCCACGCCATTGTCCGGTCCACCAAGTGCGGTTGGTTGCATCGTGATGTAGTTCGCGAGGCAAAAAGAAGCCAACCAAAATTTTGAACACGAATCGCTCGAATGCAAACATGGTCAGTACGCCCAAGGCGGTTGATCTGACTGCATATCCTTCGAGCCACCAGAATAGCTCAAAGCATACGACAAATCCAATCAGCGATAAAGCATGGCCAATGCCAGCCATATACAATCCAACTTTTTTCGACGATTGTACGGCTGCCAAAAACATGGAAACGAATTGTAATAGCAGTAAGAAGATGGCATTCCATGCAATTGGTCCGACCGTCAAACATGCAATCCTCGCCAATGCACCTCCATGACCTAAGTCTTGATTCGGATCCCGGTTCTTGTAGAAGACGTAGCATGAGCCACACAAAACTGCTTGGACCAGCGGCATAAACACTTCAGATGCCAGAATGCTTGATAATTGAGCGCGTGGCCCAGGTACCGAAGATGTTGGTTGGGATGATGTCCTTCTCTTGATGCCCGTGATCTGTACCCGGGACTGTCGGCAGAACGTGATCCATGCATGGCCATAGTACCGGCCAGCGTTGCCTCGCGTCAGCCATCCCAGAAACTCGCGATAGTCGGTGATAAAATCTGTCAGGACGAACTGATGTGGATTAAATACAAATGGGGAAATCACCAACGAGCCGACGGTAGCCCAAAAGTAGAGCAAATGCGGAATCCACAGCGTAAGTGTCACAAAGATCAGCATAAACATGGTCCGTGCGCCGAAATAGATGCTTTGGTTCGCGAAGCGAGCGTACAGGACCGAGAAAGGTAGTCGGGCCGTTGCAAATCCACGACCCGTAGCGATGTACCGTGCGCCACCAAAGTTCAAATTGGACAGTACCGAGTTTGCATAAATCTGGTTGACGAACACTTCGAACAGTGGGGACAATGACAAGAACTGTTTGAAGAGACGCAACGTGCTTCGCCAAGTACCCTTTTCGGTCAACTCTTGCAAAAAGAGCGGCAGGAATGCGATAAAGAATACCCAGAAGATCGCAGCAATGCAGCGCTCGAGCCAATCAAACACAGGCTTCATCCTGAAGCAATTTTCTTCGACACCATGCAGCGAGCAAGAGGGTACGGACGTTGCCATTGTACCGACAAACGTCATGCAGAACAAAAACAACTGGACCGCGAAGATGATCATAATGTTGTTCATATGGAAGCCCGGATGTGCATAGTAGAATGTCAAGAACCGGTCGATTGGAAGCTGGGTGCCCAGGTAGTAGTATTCGCGTGACAACATCTGCTCGCCCATGCCTGTGCCGATCTTGGTCGTAAAATTCAAAATTGAACAAAAGCCCAGATCGCGTCCCTTGCCACACTGCAGATACTCGGTATGCTTGATCCGTCCACCTCGCGATAGTGCATTCATGCCCGCGTATATATCCTCGTTGAGATGGAGTCCACGTTGTGCCTTGCTCACGCCTCCTCGCGTTGTCATAAATGCCGCGTTCAAAAAGTCCGGATGTCCATAGTGCAGTCGTCCGCCAGTCTTGGCCATGATTCGCTGTGTCAAAGTACCAAACGTCTGCTCCTTGCCAGCTGCCACATCGCCCAAGACACCCACATTCTCTGAAAAGATATACTCACGTGCACCCACAATGGCCACAGGTGCAGGTGAGTCTTTGCGCAGAGCATAGATTTCACATGGGGCCGCTGTTTGTTCGAACTCGGAGAAAATGCTTCGCACTTTCAAGCATTCTTCGAGGTAGTTGTCTTGATTCGCGTCTACCAGCTGCAAGTACTCGCCACGATAGAAAATAATAGCGTGGTTCTGGTTGTCCGACTTGCCGTCACCAAGGATAGGGTTGCCTGGTAATCGGATCCGGTAACGAGGTACGCGACGGTAAGTGCCTTCGATCTTAGGACACTGACCATCAATCAAGACCGAGTAGAAAGTCGGCGGGGCACCAGGCGTGTTGCTGGGCTCTTCTTCAATATATGCAATCAGCAGTTGTGGATACTCGCGCAAAATAGCTTCACAGTTCTCGGCTTCCTCTGGGGTAAACTTGGCGTAGCGCTGCATGGCTACCAAATACCGGAATTTCTGATGGGCGACTGACTCCAGGTGCTCCTCGGTCGTCTTAATGTTGCCATCGGGCACAGCCAGTTCTGGATGCTCAATACGATGTAAAATCTTCAATGCGCGAGCATAGTTCATGAATCCAGAAACTGTTCTGTACAATGTTTGAGCGCGCAAAGAAGCCCACATGCGCGTCCGCATCGTATATTCTGGTTTGGATGATTTGAATCCAATACAATAGAACGGCAGATCGTCCTTGTCGCTTGCACCAGAAGGCGGAAAAGCTGCTGAGGGTGCATCATCCAGCTTGCTCTCGTCCACGTGGAACGGGTTTTCTTCCTCAGCCATAAACTTGGTATCCTTGACGAAGTTTTCCCACTCGGTCGGATGCAGGCGTTTTAAGTACTCGAGCAATGTCACACGCGTCGTGGCGTCCTCTTCGCGGATAATCTCGCGCAGTGTTAATATCATTTTTTCGGCATAGTGCGGTGTGAATACAGTGAACGTCGGCATTTGCTGGACGGAGCAAGGCACAGGAATATCAGTAGCCAAGCTCTGTGCGAAAAATGACAGGCGTCGCTCGGCCTCAGAGTGTAGCGGGAAACATTCTTGCTTTTTCATCTTGTTTTGCGGATCGAAGAAGGGTGGTGACGATATTTCGCCGTGTTGATGCTCGTCGTCGGGTGTGCGCCAATGATACAAGAGCGTCTGCAAGTTGTGGCTCGATAACAAGTGCTCACGGTACATGGCGATAATGATGGCGTTCCACATTTGCGAGCATGCCACCTTCCGCAAGGATGCAGTCCCCAGTTCTTTGGTCGCCAGAACTTTCGTATACAGCAAGTTCGGCAAACGAGCAAAGAGCGTTTTCCAAGAGGTCATGATGGAAATGCCCATACGGAACGCCTGCGAGACTGAAAACATGGTGCTCCATACGACATACCACAGATAAGTGTCCAGGAAGAACAGGATCAACTCGACCGTGAACATAAGAATACTCGTCAGTGTGGGCATAATTTGACACAGCCATTTGCCTAGCAAAGGGTCGGTGACACAATCTCGGAGATCCATGGTGCTTGTAGCTGCCAACGCGTCTCGAAAAGACAACGCCAGAAAAAAGTAAGTCTCCAGAAACTTGCATCCAAAGATGCATACCCAAAGCAAGATCGACAAGAATCGGTCATCACTGGTCATGGATGGGAAGTTGGATGTAAACGTCTTGCATGCTAGATGGGTACTCGCCCTCTTGCGGTGGAACAGATTCGCCGATGGGATAGTTGCCAACAGGATAGCAACGATTGCACCCACACCCAACTGACATGCACCGACAATCAAAGCAATAAAGCTCGTCCGGTCGATCCATAGGACATACACCGATGCGCCCACATGGCATGCAGCAAGTAAGCTTAGCATACTCAGTCTCGAAAACAGAATTTTCGCCGTACTCGACGTTGAGGGCAGGTACATAAACTCTGCCACAGTGGCAGCCATCATAAGCAGCACGGCCACCAGTCCACCCAGCGCAATGACTGACAACTTGACGGGCCTTTCTCCAAGATCCATGTACAGAAAGTCGACATTGGCTGCCATGTAGTACCAAAAGATGGAAATGTGAATAATCCAAATGCGCGAAAAGTTGGTCAGCAAATGCAACCACGAACGTGATTCGTAAAAGGTCTTGCGAAATGCGCGATCCCAGTCTACTTGTGCAAGACACGCGTATTTTTGAGATGGTGCTACGTCCTTCAGCATACGGCCATCATGGAGTCTGATCCGTTGAGCGATAGCGAGCCGATCCCAGAAAAACTGATTAAGGTCATCGTAGCCGATAATGCTGTTGTGATCTTTTTCACGGCGAATGTACTGGCCTTGGTCCAATTGATACGATTGGTCGCGAACAAATGTATACAATGGTGACACCACGTCGTCCAAAAAGCTGAGCTGTGGTTGTTCTTGTCCTGTGGCACCAGCATAATCGTCAGCCAATTTGAATATGAAGCAAATCAGCTCAGGGATGTACCGTAGCGTCGCTGCTTCACCCCATATCAGCAGATACAATGCCAATTGAGCCATGCGTTGACGGTTCGTCATTGTTTCCATCCGCTCTCGCCATTCGCGCTTGGCTTCTTCCACCAGCAAGCCCGTCGGTGTCGTCTTTGGTGGCGCTGGATGGTTGTCGTCGAGATTCAATTGAGCAGCAAAATACCACTTTCGATAGTTGGCATGCTCACCACCGATATAATCGGCGTGTAGGGTCCACAGTGCTTGCCATGGCGCCATCCTTGCGGACCGTGAATCAAGCATCGTTAATAAATGGTCAAGCATGTTATGCATATTGTCACGTTGAAACCCGAATTTTTGTGTATAGTCGCCAAATATGGATTGTATTTCTGCTATGCTCACAGGTGCGTCGCTTCCCATCCAGTTGGGATACGGTTGCTGATGATGGTGATGATGATTCGTTTTAGTATGCACGGTCGTTGTTGACTCACTGGGCGATAATGGTGGGTCGCGATGCGTGTGTGATGCTGGTGTTTGTAATGCTGTGTACAGTGTGTTTGCCGACGGACTGACACCCGGAAGGCCAGGCGATTCCAGCATCAATGCTTCAGGGCTCGAAAACGTTATATCTAGAAAAACAATATGTTTAGACTCCTTGCTCTGACGGCGATGTGTCTTGTATCAGAAGGAATGCAATAGAAGTACTTGCCTATTGTGTTTCGTTGTGGTTGATGGGACGCTTGTTGTGATGGTCGCGACATGACTTCCTCCTGATGCTGCTGTGGCCTGTCCGATGCTGCAGCCGACCTGCATAATAACAACCCACATGAGTTGATCTGTGCACACACGCCACTTATATTACTTACGGCATTTGACATCGAGGTGCGTCTGTCGACGATGTTTTTGGAGTTTTTGCTGATGATGCTGGAGGAGGTGTCATTTATTGGATGAAGGATGGGTATGGCATATGGGTCATTCAATAAGATGAAGAGAGCAACAGACGAATAGGCAGAAAAAGAAATGAAGAAAGAGAGAGAGGGAAAGAAGAACACTCAAGCTTTGTGTCTCTCTCTTTGTTGGATGATGATCCTAGGAATGAAAGAACATGCATGTACTAACTAACACAGCGGAAACAGGAAAAAACAATATATGCACAAGAAACTTGGGTGGAAAAAAAAACTTTCCGGACTGAATGTTTGTATGCTATGTCGCATAGTCCCACCACCTTTCCGTATGTTGCTAATTGCTGTTGCTGCTAAGCACAGGGTTATGCGATTCTTCCAGATAACCCCCTCACTTCAACTTGACTGTGTGGTCTTTAATTTGAACTCTTTTTCGCACAGCATTCCCGCCCGTTCATTGCAATCTTCTTCGCCACCACCGCACATGCTATTAGATAATACATATGCACACATACACAACCCCCTGCGTTTCTTCTTCTTCCTCCCCTTAATTCCGTCTTGTTGTTGTTGTTGTTGTTGTTGTTATGTGCCATCATCTGAAAGACACGATCGATATGGTTGATACAAGACAAGGTGTTTTAGTCTTGCGTTGCTACATGGCTCAAAACAAACCGCGGGGTCGATCCTCTCCAGAATACAAATAGAAAGCACTACTAATGACGGTTCCAAAAAGATCGTCATATGTGCCACCACCCTTTGCTCATCTGTCATCTGTATATTCCATTTTTTACGCATAAGATCCCTTCTTTTTCATCACCCCGCTGTATAATTACATTTGTAGAATGCCGCCCCCTCACGTTCTCAATCCACTACTTGGTCATATTCCAGGAACGGGGCACAAGAGCATCTCTTTTCATTATTGTTTTTAATCGTTTCTGTGTAAGTAAAAAACCTAAACACATATGCTGGGAAAAATTGGGAAATAGAATGGTGGCTAAGAGGGAAGGAGGAGATAAGGTCTGATAGTCGCGTTTGCTTGCTGGAAAAGAGAAAAAAGAAGTCTGTATTTGTTATGATGGTGATGGATGTGATGCAGGTTGTGCTATGTTCGTAGTGGTAGTAGTAAAACTACATCATTTCGTTACTAGTTGCTGCTATGTGCGATTGTACTTGCGGTGGTCGAGTGGGTGTTTGTTGTTTATGATACGTCAGTGAGAGAGGGCGAGTTTCTTTAGATGATGATGCATTTTCCTTTCTTTGACTTCCCTTCGCTCATGTGCAGCTGTTCTTTGCGATCCCGAATGCTCCGCATCAATAGCGTATACACTTCTTCCACATTCTGTCGTGTCTTGGCAGATGTCTCCAGGTAAGGACAGCCCCATTCCTGCGACAGCTGCTGAGCCTCCGACGATGATACTTTGCGCAAGTGGGCCAAATCCACCTTGTTGCCCACCAAGATAAATGGAATCTACACGACATCATACAAAAATTGCATTTGCATGAACGATCCCTTCCTTTTCACTATTTAACAGGAGATGTTACTTACGGTATCATCATCGAGTACTCTTAAAATTTGATCTCGGAACTCTTGCGTATGTTCAAATGATTCATGTTCGCAAACGGAAAATACGCACAGAAATCCTTCACCAGACCGGTAATAATTGTCGCGGATCTTTTTTTAAAATATGTGTATAACCAGATATTAAAGCCAACGCACACATGTATAAAAAGGTATGAGTAATCGTTTGTATAATTCGTAGTATTGTATTATACGTTACCGCTGCATATTCTTCTTGGCCTGCCGTATCGAGAATGTCAATCTGGCACTCTTGGCCATCCAACATGACCTTCTTCCTATAAGCTATTTTTCAAGAGCCAAAAAATAAAAACCAGATTAAGACCAGGACGAACAGTATAATTCAACTGTATAAGCAGAACGCTGACAAAAAAATAAAAAATAGCAACCAACGTACAGTCGGCTTTGGTCGGATCGTATTCTTCAACAAAGTCGCCGTACATGTACTGTAGTGTCAATGCTGACTTGCCGACACCACCGGAACCAACCATGATGACTTTATGGAGTGGGAGTGTTTGTTTTGATTTCTTTGCCATGGTTGTTGATGTGATAGTTTGTCTGATTTGCAGTAAAAATAGGAAAAAGCGGAAAAGAAGAAGATAAAGCAGGTAATAATAGTAATATAACCAATATGCGTTAAAACATGCTTGGCTGACTTTTTTTTTGCACCAAGCGTGCACAGTATCTCTGTATGTACAGCAACCTTCTATTTGACAACGAGGCTCATGCTTAATGTTTGGAACGTGTCCCCCTTCTTTTTATCTCGCTCTCAGATATCAATTAGCTTTTCTCCATACGAGTACACTCTGTTTGCTATTCTCCGGCTCGGTTGTGTTTGCTGTGTTAGAAGATCACGCTGGGCCGAGAACAGCAAGATCAGCCCGAGATAATATTATGATTCATAGACACACCTTCACACCTACAGATGGCATACACTCCTTTTCGGAAAGTAAATTCGCCTGTGGTGGAAAATGATGTTGTACGAAATGTAAATTCGTTCGTCGCTGAACAAATCGAGTGTCCTGTTGCCAAGACTATTTTCGTAGCTCCAACCATGGCATCTTGGATGTAAAAGAGTATCCTAATTGTATCTTTGAGAAACGGAGAAAGACTGGTCGTCCATGTATTCCCAATGAGGAGCACAAGAAAGCTATTCTTGAATGCATTGATGAAAATCCTTCAATCGTTTTGGACGACGTGATGAAACACCTAAGACGAGTGTTCACAGAAATTTACAGTATCCAAAACTACTTTGTTTCATTTCATAAAAGAAAACCCCCACCCCTTTCTTGCTGGCCGCTTTAGTGATCGCAATCTAACCCGCAGGTCGGCTTGACCCGTTGTAACCCGTGTATACATATAATATGTATGAGGTACTGATATTTATAAGGAATAAAGAGGTAACAATAGTACAATGAAAACGGACAATGGAAGGCAGCAGTAAAAAACGCGCTTTGACAGAAGACGAAAACGGAAAAACGGTTGCGATTTGGGGTCTGTTGGGAAATCGGTTGTTTTTTCTCACCCACGCGCTTTTACCAATACTTCTTTCTTTTGAAGCATACGTACCCAAGTGATTCCTTTCTGACGGCACGAACCCCTACACCTCTGAAAATGATCGCTCACACGAAGTAGATGTTGCTGGCACTACTAGGAATTTGCGCGCCATGTTGGAGTTGCGTGTATGTGGAGTTTGTGCGCTTCCAGTACTCGAGTTCAGGTTGGATGTCACTTCCTTCATCACCAGCATTGAAATCAGTCTCAACCTGTCAACTTGAGTTTTGGCCCGTCGGGTTGAACAGGCCGGGTCGGGTTAGCGTTTTCTTGACCCGCGGTCAACGGGTCAGACCCTTGAATCGACCCGACTCGATCTTTTGCGATCCTTAGCTACATGCGTGCAATGCCGAAGACTGGAACGATTGAGAGAAAACACGACTGGTCAGCTTTGTGGAGGCGTTCAGTATGCATCCCATTGCCTTGACTACCGAGAACGGTGTCGATGAAAATGCATTGATACACGAATCTCACTTACAGTCTTGCAGTCAAACTGTTGCAGTATCGGCAGTATTGCCAACAAAGCGGCGAAAGCATGACAATATAGGGACAAACACAGCTTTGTCAGTGCAGCTTTACAGTGCTCTAAAGCTGGTCCATATTCACAACAATTTCTACACCATCAATACACAGAAATGAACGACAATCTTTGCATGTTTCTCAATCAAGATTGGTCCGAAACGTCCTCAGATGCGATACGCGTGCAGTCGACTTCTTGCAGGTATGATCATGCTTGACACATCTTCAGGAAAGACCATTGTTGTGAACTGCGTCGAAGTCTATGGAAGAAGACGTACCGTTGATTCCCACAGGGGAAGTTTTTAAACAAGACGAAGCACATCATCAAGCTCTTTACCGCCGGAAATCACAAAATACCCTCATGTATGGCCAACAAGCATCCGCGACGATGATGGGACGAAGCTGATTCTGGGAACCAAGACATTCAACGCGTTGATTACATCCAGCTTACGCTTGAATAAATCCAGTGATCCTGAAATCGGGCCAACAACTTCATTGTTCTGTTTGGAAACGTCTGTTAAGTCCCTCAATAACCAGCTCTTCGTCAAGGAATCTGCGTGGCATGCTGCTTCAGCATTGGCGATCAACGAAAACACCAAAGCAATATACCCATATGACGGTCTCTTTCAATTACGACAGCTACGAACGCGTTTTCACCATCAATCAACATATATCCGATGCCGCTCGTTCAATGAACCGACGGATGATCTAACGACGCGTCCCTATACTGTTTTCACTCTTGCGGATTGGGACAACGGTGGAGATGACGCAGAATATCGACTAGGCTCCCAATTGATTCAGTCAGTGGCGTTGGCTGTGATCAGGAGCGAAGAGACGAGGCCTCCAACACTTGCAAAACAAAAAGTTTCGGCGATGCGATCTAAGTTGAAGAAAAATGGGGCAGTATGCAAAGTTTTTGACAACATCATCGGCCAATAGGCTACAACTGGGTGCTAGGCCCTGAAGACTTCGGTCAAGGCGGGTGACCTCCATCGCGGTCCCACCTCTATGGATTTGATAAAAGCTCTATTATTCGCGGTAATCCCTATGACAAGTTCTGCATAGTTCTCCCTAGTGACTGGGTGTTTATAGTTATATCATCGGTGTGCCATAATCCCTTGTATCCACTACATTATGATATTTGTAACGTTATTGACAGTTATTTATAATTGTACACTTCGAGACGATTCGCATCATTGGCAATAGCGTTTTGATTGAAGAACTGCAAAAACTTGCAAATTTATTGGCTTCACCAATTACGCAAGCAAACGTTTCAGTGCGTCAAGCAATAGCTACTGTTGTGGCATCTTGATTTTGTTGTTTCAACGGATCAATGTTACTTCAAATATAAAAGTGTCAATTTAGCACACTGATTCAAACGATTCTCCACTTTCAGATATCATCATCTACGATTGTTTAAGCTACCGCAAACCGCATATATTTATCACTGTAATATTATGCTTTTATTTTCGACCACAGGCGAATTTACTTTCCGTAAAGAGTGTATACACGGCTATAACTACTAGTAAAAATGTCATAATCATCATGGTCATCCACCAAAACTAGAAGTCAACAGTCTCCCTTGAACGTGTTTCGGTTTGCCTGAATAAGATGGTCGCGTGCAGCCGATCAACTCAGACCACTGGCTAGCTACCACTGTTATGAACTACTACTGCGACTTTGACAGGTCAAAACGATCATAATTTTAAAGACGCAGAACAAACCCTTCCAACATTAGAAACCATTTTCTGTTTAGCGTCACCACCCCAGATCCCTAGACTATATGCTCCTCTCTCTTTGATACATCACGCTCAAATAATCTGCATTATTAATTGGACGCCGCGTGCAAATATGCAATACTAGAAAGAACGTCGACTCAATGTCGGTAGTAGTAAGAGAGCGAATCATCATCGAACAATGTACGAGTACGCACAACCTTGTTCAATAAGAACGGAAAATAAGAAAGCTGCTCAATATTTTCATAGTGGTATGATGTACGTGTTTCCTTTTGTCCTCAGTCAATACTTGGGGTTTCTCGAACAAATTTTGAGCCTTGAACAAGTCCTTCTCAAGCTACCGTTCTCTTTTTTATATTGTGGAATTGGGCAGCAAAGAACACGGGTAGGATCATGCATCATAGAATACGCCTGCGTGTGTAGCAATCTTCAAATGACGGATATGCACATGATGATGAGTAAATGTATAATAATCGAGCGCTAAGCTGTAGTATTGATCGCTTCAAAATAAAAATAATTTAGAAAGTCGTCTAGCTATATCAGATGATTTTATAAGCTAATGGAAGCTAATATATAATCATGAACAAAACGTATTGTAAGTCCTCATCCTAAGATCTATTAACATTACTGAAAAATGTATCATGAAAAGAATCGGTATAAAAATTAACTACTGTAAATAAAAAATAAATGTACGAGTGGGTACACATTCATATGATATTAAGTTTGATTATGATGAATAGAACATAAGATTGCGAACAACACATATTAGCTCCACGTTCACAAAGCCCCAGAGAAAATATGTAGCAACTAATGAAGAGCTTATTGTAGCTGGTAAGCATTTGCGAACCATAGCTGGAATACAATATAGGACGCAGCACCGGTGGGATCATGGCTGGTTTTGTGTGTCCGTACATAAGCAAATGCACCATAGGTAAAGTCCCTCCTATGATAACTCAAAAAATAATGTATATGAAAGAAAGAGCGTATCTCAACCTTGTGACATGCGTAAGTGATAAGGTGGTAACTAATGTCTTCAATTCGTTCAAAGGAAACCTTGGTCGATGTATTGTATAAATACTCATGGGATGAGTAAACTTTTTCTTGCTTTGATGAATGGGAGCCTTTGGTTCAACCCTTGAGTAATTTATTGTGTGGATGGTACTGTCACTCTCCCTACTTCTTTTTTCGTCAACGATAAGGCACCGCCATTGCTTTTTTGTTTCCCAATGGACCCTCATAGGAAGATTATTCCATAATTGACGACAAGATGAAAAGAGAAATGTATCATCGTCACGCATGAGCCGGTAACTTGTAATGTAATGGGTCCATTTCATACTTGAACTTTCTGTTGAGCGATATCATTACTACTTCTTATTAACCATATCATGTGGTTCGGCGTCAGGATATTAAACGGAAACTCTTATTCAAGAAGCAGCCATTTATAGACACATGTTATATAACCTTTTGATTTATTACCTTTGATAAGAGGAAGTAGTCTTGTAAAATATGCTATGAGCTGGCAAACACTACATACTGAGATCACGAATATTACTGTATACATCTGGCTGATTACTTGAAATACTACATAGACTGAGCTACGTAGTGCGCTCTACATTCGAGAAGTGATGGTTTTTTTTTGGCTGGTTTTAATAGTAATTCTTCATCTTATACTGAGTGTCTAGTACCACATCAGGCATAAGTATAATTGTTTGCATCAAATCCCTACAAGGTGTTTGTGCGATACCTAACGTAGTAGCAACAACACTGTATTACAGATAATAGTATTGCTGTCATTTTTGATCCTTGCCTTCAAGGTTTGAAGAAGTTTCCAAGAATTTCAGATGATCTCTTCCTCAAATAAACGAAGCTAACACGCTCTATTTTATTATCAGTAATGATAAGGTATTAATTAACAACGACAAGCACGTATCGTATGGTACAGTACTATTTCTACTAGATACTACCATTTCACTTGTTTAATCGACTCGTTTATTCTGAAACTATTAAGTACCAGCTCTACAATATCTCCTTTGCTATGTAGATAACATGTAACATCATTTATGCACTTGATGCTACTCTTATACATTTAAAAACATGTAGGTGAGCAACATATAGTAAGCCAGAAGGTTGGACGATGTGGATATTTTCTAAACTGTATTAAAATGGTAGCCACATGAACACAATTTACATATAAGATCATAACACCTACGCATATTCCGAGCAAGATTATGATGAGAAAAACAAGTTGGAGCAGCTGTGCCTTTTCTGATTCACCACAAATTATAACAGTATGAACCTTAACAAGCAGCTTCAACCTTGGCTCATATTCACAATATAGCATCCACACTTTTTGATGTATTGACCACATCGAGCAAAAAGGTGTAAAAAAACATCATATTCAATATAAACAAGTACATTCCGAGCTACTACCTATTTATACATTAGCAGCATTGTTTATTATTAACCTCTCATTGAAACTCCAAGCAAGCAATAGTGATGATGATGCTGATAAATAGTACTCATGGATTTACAATAGCACCGCCAGTTTCTCTCTTTTACTACTGATAAACTCCACAATGGCAGTTTTCTTGTATATGATAAAAACACAGCCATGTTACCTGGCTGTCATTGTCGGAGAAATCTGAATTAATCTTCTTTTCTTCTTCTAATGTCTCCTGATATTCATCAACAAAAAGAATTTCGTTTTCCTTTTTCACAAAGGAAAAATAACAGTTGAGAGGGAGAAACGAGGGGTATAGAGAGAAGGAATGAGAGGGATACACGCTATATAGTAGCGTGCACACACATATAGTGATGGCCCTCGCTGATTCCCTCTTACATACCTATGCTACCCCCCTATAACTCTCGTTTCATCAATACAAGTTTAAATTATGTGCAACTCGTGGTTCTTTCGGGTTTGAGCCTATGGCATTGACGGCTACTGCTTACTACCGTACATATGCTCTATGCAGAAGTGTGTGTGTAACGAATTACAAGGTTACACATTGTGTCCCGTGGTTGATCTTTTTGAAGCAAAGCTTGCTGAAAATAACTCTTGCACATAAGAAAATATCAACTCATTTCTGAAAAGTAGCGGTTATGCATTACTTAGCATATAGCCAACTTTCTTTTAAAGCTGAGAGTAATGTGCGTGCTTTGATGTAATGAGGGGATCAACTTTCTTTATTTGTAGGGGGGCCGCGGGTTGCTGCTGCTGACTGAAGGAGAAAAGTTATACATTGCAAATTAAAAAAAATCAAGAGTCGAGAACTATCCCAGTATATAAACACATCACTTCTCTGCCTTTTTCCATTGTATATCCCGCCTTCTCTTTTTCTCTTTTTCCCTTTTTTTTGTTAAATACAAATGATGAAGCTTATTCAATTATCAGTCGTGTTAGCAGTGTGTTTTATCTTAAATATAAACGCCCAACAACCATCTGCGCCGGCAGGTGGTGCTGGAATTGCTATTACCTCTCCCGCTCTTGGTGTAAGTATTCGATGTAGTCTACTATATCATGCTACCCTAGCAACTTTTTTTTCGGTAACTAATAGTTTATATCCTGGGCTTTCATTGTCTTTTTAGACTGTTTGGACGGCTGGAAAAACAGAAAAGGTTTCCTGGTGAGTAGCAGATACCAGATTGGTTTGTAGACTGACGTAAGACAGAACGTTAACCTATTTCTCCATGATGCATCTTATGATCAATATGTCAAATAGGACTATTCAAGACAATACCGTAACTGAAATCAGCACTGTCGAGCTACGCAACGGTGGTTCTGCTAACCTCCAAATGGTCGGAAACGTTGGATCAAAGATCCCCGTGTCCGGTGGTCAATGGGACTGGGCTATCCCAGTAACTACAAAGACCGACGCTTCTTGTAAATATAACACAGGGGAAGGGAGTGTAGGATTACAAAACTTTTCCACAGTAAAGCACTTATACACAACGTGTACCCATAATATAAACCTTTACAGATGTGCTTGTTTTCAAAAGCAACAAAGGTGACACTTACTCGCCCTATTTCACCATCATGGCTGCACCACCAGGTACTGTTGCCAACGCAACAGCATCGGCATCAACTACCGGTAGCGGCACTGCTCCTGGAGCATCAGCTACCCCCTCTGGAGATCACTCGGGAGCATCTACTCCATTCCAGTTGGCATTCTCATTGGTTGGAGGATTGTCCGTTGCTGCAGCTGCTCTTTTAATCTAAAAATGTGTGCTCGTTTCGCTTCTTACTATCCTTTCAGCACACACGGTGCTTTCTTTTATCTTTTTTTTTTATTTTCATATACACACGCACACTGACTTACTAAGAAGACAGTGATAATACCATGTATTGCATAGTAATAATAGCAACGTTCACAGTAAAAGTATGGATCGATCTATTTTGAGAAAAGAAACTTTATTCTTTTAGTAATAAACTGATAATAATTCCTCTCAACCACAACAGTAACAAACAAGGGACACGCCATAAATAGCATTAGAGTCTTGAAGTCTTGTGATGTTGTCAGATTCCGGAACTCGGGTGTCCCGTCCAAAGTATTGACAACCACAACTGCTCCATCCGTAATCTTTCTTCTTTGAAGACTTTCCTTCCCCGGAACATGACGAAAAGAATAAAGGGTCGGTTCTTTATATATAAAATCTTTTTCTCTCTCACGATGGTAAATCAGGATTAAGATCAAGGATCCAGAATGGATCGCCTGGGGTTTCTTCTGTGGCGGCTTGGGGTCGTGCTCCTGCGTTAGCAGCTTCGTCCTCCGCCGACATTTCACTTTCCGAGCTTTCAACTAAGGATGGAAAAGGTATTTGTATGTTATTAGTTGTCGTTTATCACTCTATGCATAGTAACAAAAAAGGTACAATCACTTTTTTTAACTCTCTTCCCCATACAAAAACCCTTACATGTATCCTCTTGACCGGCAAGTTGTTGACCACCGGCATGCTGCCGATAAATAAGACCTCGTCGCATCCGTTCTTCGTCAGGGTATGGTTTCTCAAATACTTTGACATCTGTGCTAGACACATCGAAACCAGGAGGTGCGGATGTGTATTTGGCGAGTTTAGATGCATACGATAGGATATCCTTGAAATCCACATTGGCTGTTACAAAAGAGTATATAGTAGTTAGTGTCACGCACAATCCCGCACACACTATCCATTTTTTCTTACACTGTTCAGCGTATCGTATAGCTTTAAGTTCTCTAGATGCTTCTGTCAAGTCTCCTTCTAAACCTTCGCGAGCTGTATTGAGTTGTTTAACAAGGTCGAGCAACGCTTGCTGATGCCATTGAATTTCATCTTGAACTTTAGTTATCCGCCGTTGTCGTGCTTGATGCTTTTCAACTATTGTGGTAGTGGAAAATCAATTTTAAAGTAGGCATTGTTAGAATTGCTTGCTGATCGCGTTTGGAGAAGGAGGAAGTCGTACTTTGTTCAAGGGCAGATTGTAATCGATTGTCAACTTCAATAATACGTTTAACAAGTAGATCAGGATCGCTGGCGGTTGAATTTTCAGCAATTGCAGTTAAGGATTGAAAGAATTTTCGTGTCAATTCAGAATATTCTGTAAGTAGATTTCCAACTTGATCGCGTAAAGAAAGAGCCATGGTCGAGATATGTGTGTAAAGAAGCGGCAAGTCTGTTCCCCATGCTGAGTTTTGTTGTCGCTTGTTTCTTGATAAGGAACCTTGCGAACTACCATCATACACAAAGATAAAACCAGGTTCTTATATTGCTATAACCCTTTCTGAGGTGTCAAGCCTTTGCTCTTATATGCTATGCTTCATTGTGTTAAGAAATAGACCTGGGCTCCATATATTCACATCTGCCTTCTGCCGCGTACTGTGTCGGTATTAATACATAGCAACTGTAGACAACGCTAAATACTGAAATTGAAATTTCCAGCAGAGGTGCTATTCTAACTGGAGAAGCCGTTCTTTTTCCACTTTTAAATTATAAGCATGAGCTCCTCCACTGTCAAGCCCATGTTTCGAAATGATCTTCACGGAGTTGACGCTGTAAGCTTAACTAAAAGATCTATAAATCCAATACTCAAGTTTTTCTGTGCAGCTCAAATTGAAAACTCAAGCATCAATAGTACACGCGCCATAAGCGATTGATTCAAAACTACGTTTTGCATTACGGCAAGAAGCCTGACGAGACAAACCCTACAGCATCCGTTCGAACTGAATACGATATTCTTCGCGAACATCATAAGTATGCAATGCTGACAGTCGTCTTATTTTTGGATATAGAAAGCGAACACAGCGTGGAAAACTGACAGCTTTTTCATACAGGTTTATACGGTCAGACGACGAAGACGACGAGCAGGCTAGTTGGGAGCAACGTGTGGCAAAGAAATACTATGACACCTTGTTTAAAGAATATGCACTTTGTGATCTCAAACATTATAAAAAGGGCAAGATCGCCCTACGATGGCGCACACAGCGTGAAGTAGTCCATGGAAAAGGTAAAACTTCAACAGGTTAACAGGTGCAGAGGGGTAGCAAAAGCATGAATTGATTTTAACAAACACTTGCAAACCATTATAACGTAAATTAGGTCAATTTGTCTGTGCATCGACACGATGCGACGAAACCAAAGATCTAAAAAGCTGGGAAGTCAATTTTGGATACATTGAACATGGGGAGAAGAAGAACGAGCTGGTCAAAGTACGACTATGCCCGGATTGTTCCTATCGTTTAAATTACAGAACACAAAAACGACAAGTAAAGAAGAAGGAGACGAAACAAAAGCGTGCAAGATCAGGATCTAGTGATGAAGAGGACGTGGATAACAAACGACAAAGACGACGGAAACATCGCAAACATGAAGACGATAAATCATCATCGGATCAAGGCGACGATCAAAGTGGCGATGAACAACAGCAGAAGGGGAAAGAAGAAAAAGATGAAGCTTCCTCCATATGGAGTAAGCCTATGGAGTCGAAGCAAGAGAAAACTAAAGAAGAAGAATTTGAAGATTATTTTGCCGATCTGTTACAATAAAAATCTGATGAACATGTTGATATGATGTATTAATCATTATTTAAAACATGAATAGATGCCAATGAAGGCTGGCATGTTGGAAAGGATAATGAAAAAACAGCGCATAAGTGTGACAAATAAGTAGCTACGGCAATATCATTGACTGCGCTGGGTATATGTTAGGACGCGTGTGTAGCAAAGATATTATATATCCTGGCTTCCCTATGTTTATAAGTTTATTGAAAGAATAAGAGATGTCATTTAATGCTTTTTATAATGAGTTGAATTGAGGTGAGACGTATTGCTATAGTCCGTTTATATCCAGCAATATATTATGACCGAAGAACGCAACCGTTCCTCTTTGGCTAAGCAAACTAGCATATATTTATTTGGACATCCTTGTCTCTTGCTCCCAGTGTGCTTGATCTTATAATATATAGTATATTGGCGTCTGTGTTCCAGGTACATATTCAGTACACTGAGTAGCTAGGGACCGGATAATACGGTATAAACTACTCAATCAAATAGTTGAGATCTGGTGTGATTCATAGATTAACCATCATTACATATCCTGTATCATGCACGGCATTGCATTTTTTGCATTGGCAGGCATCGATACACAGTAAAGGGGTCGAAGGACATCATCGTATGTATACATAAAATGTAGAAAATCTGGTTGTTTCAGAACAGTTAGCCAATCTTTTCGCTTATATAAACCGTAAATTTGAGCAGTATCTATAACTGGAGTAGAAATAATCGAGGTTTGATGATAATGATGATGATGGGATTCTAAATTGAAACGTTGGAGAAATATCAAAAACCTAAGGCTGTTTTAATATAGCTGACGTCAAAGGACCTATGATATGCAGCACAGACAGTCATGCCATGCGAAGCTTGTATGCAAATTTGTGCGGATGGTCGCCGCTTTAACATCATACTGTTGCACTAACTTGGATATATGGCTAATTGGGCTTGTGGCCACCCAATATGGTTAAAAAAATTGAATTCTCACAGTTGCTTAAGCAAAATCACTAATGATGGCAAGGTTGTTTTTCCATGGTCACATGGGAAGTTGCTGAATGACCAATTTAGTTTGACGAACAACGAGAAACGATACACAGTACTTTGTTCAGGCAGCTTTGGAGTGTAAAAATATGTATGTGTTACTATGTATACTTTTGTTGGATGCATCTGCATCCAATAGATTTTATGACAATGCTTTAAAATTGTGAGAGATGATTACTGCGAATATGATAATAACAATGTAAGGCATGATAAGAAATAGACAAACTACGCGAGGAACAAAAAGGTAATATAAAGGTAACGGTGGATAAAGATGGGAAAACATTGATGATGGGATAGTAAAGATATGGGAGAAACTTGGGAGATGCAATGAAAATAAAGTAGGTAGTATAAGATAATATGGTATGATGTGATCGTTGTAGTAGCATTAGAAACTAAGCCGCCAGGCCAAGCCGTCGAATTAAACTTACACGCTTGAATCGCCATTCCTCCTCCGAATCTTGGATACGACGAACCACGTCTTCTTCTCCCAGCAGGGATCCATTACCAACCACGTAGGATTTGGCAAAAGTATACTTCCACAAAACTCGGGCATCGACTCCAGCACCTTCTAGCATGTGTTGAAGACGAGATAGACGGGTATGGCATTCGTGTGTGTGGCATTGGACATAGTCGAGCAGGGCGGGAGTAACTAGGTCGTCGGTTGCGTTATCAAGATCGCCGGTGTTGCTTTTGTTGTCGGTGTTGCGGGCAGCGGAGCTTGCATTGTCGTGATGGAAACTATGCATGTCATGAACCGTGGGAAAGTAGGGTTGCTGAGTTGTTGTCATGGTAACTGGATGTAATGATGGCGTCAATGGACGCTGCTCCTCTTGCAAATGAACAATGTGGGAGAGGACAGGCTCTGATAATGGATCGTACTTGAAGAATCCACGGCGTGCCAGCGCATGGCCCAGATGTGCATACCGTTGTGGATAGATTTGCGTGGGCATGATTTCCGGTTCCAGGCCTGACATGATCCAACCGAGCGTCACTCGAAGCCAATGCGGTTCCATGCGTGGCGCCTGCATTGTCGGTACCGATGTGTTGGATGAAGGATAGGCATAATAGTATGAAGAATTTACCGCTGGTGCTCCTTCCTGGGCGTACGACAAGGCGAGAATCAGGCCTTTGTCGCCCACATAATGCTCACCGCCATGAACATCTGACACAGTTGTTGACCATGGTGGAAGCTCATATAAGCGCTCGACTGCAGGATTGTATTGCAGATGGAATAGCATTAGCGCTTGGTCCGCTGGACTCATATCACTTGACAACAGCGCTGTAGAAGCGGCAAACGACGATGGACCCCCATTTGGCATCCAATCGCTAAAATGAATCTGCATGCGGCGATGGCAGGTGCTCCAGGGATTGCTCGCGTCAACCATCATGGGGACAAGTGCAGCATTCGGATGTGGACGGAATTCGACAATGCGGTTGACGGGGTCGTAGGAATGTGGGTTTAGTTCGACAGACAATTTTCTGGACTTGTCGCCAATGCGCAGATACACCTTCCGCTGCTGCGTTTTGATGCTCATATAGATAAACTCCTCAGCCATATTTTGCCACGTCCTGCACACGCTGCGTATCCGATACGCCTCTGTGAGTGGCATAAATGAGAGAATATGTAAAAGCATCTCTGGTGCAAGGCGTTCCATGATGGATCGACTAGTAGTGGTAGTAGCAGCAGTAGGAGCCATAGTATATGTGTGTGTCTGAAAATGAGTATGTATGAGTGTGGAAAAAAAAAGAGACAACAACAATTTGACAATCAAAAAATAATTAAAGAGGCAAGGTATATAAAGGAGAGATGAGAATCGATGGATGGATATAACGGGAAAAAGTAAAATGCAAACAACAAGGGTGCATTGATTGCAGGCTATCCGCGTTCGGGATATTAAAGTTTGCGTTTTTGAGATTTTGTGTTAGATACAATACGCTGTGTCGGCTGCCAGGTGTAACCTTCTCGGTTGCTTGGGAAGAGACGTGGATGTTTGTTGCTTTGATACGTGTAACCGCCAGTCTGGAACAACAGCAAAATATACTCGCCAGCTGCTTGGCGCTCTTCAGTGCTTGGCGCCATCGGCGGCACAAGTACTAGTGCTCTTCTCCTAGCATGTAATGAATTAGGCGATGTCTTTGACAACTTACTCTTCAGTCATCACTAGCAGGCTCATTGACGCCATCGGTTTTGCTCATGCTGCTTAAAAATATTAGATTTATTGTCACGTCGTACACTACATAATGATGCTAGATACTGTTGTTATAAGGGCACGTTTCGAATTTACTCCACCCCTTTCTCCAATGATTCCGCGGAATGCGGAAAGAGCTTCAAGCGTCCCAAGAATATTAGGCGACTCATTAAGGGGAGGAGAAGAGGGAGTTTCGCAGGAGGTTTGTATATGTAGGGTGTACCTCCACACCTTAGAAATACTATGCGCACATGCCTGATGTGTGCATACTTGAATACAGCGCCGAGTAGAGAGATCTACTTTAGTGGGAAAAACCTTATGAAATCCTAATCTGATATGATACCGATTTCGGTTTGGGCGGTATTATTTCTCTACTCGTTGAATCGTTGAACCGCATCTTTAAAGTAACAATGTGTCATATCGATCACTCCTGCTCAAGTACCGCTAGTGGAATGGTACGAGCCACAGCTACCTATCTTATAATTCTGCCGACGGCGGTTGAGAGCTAAAGAGCAGGAATGCCTGTTGAAGATAATACACAATGTGGCTGAGTCCGCTTTGCGAAACGGGGCACACAATTTGCCGCGACAGCAACAACACAGCTATGATCACCTTAGAAAGCACAGCCTTTCGTTTCACCTTGAATAGTTTTGTTGCACATAGTGGGGCTGCTACGCCATAAAACAGTGTTGGAAGTCTGGGATTCTTCTAATGATAATGCATCACGCACTTGTGTCCATATTGACTATTTATATCCTTTTGGACCATGCGCACATTATATTACGAATATACATTATCGCTGTTATGCTTGTTCATACTTAGTATCATGTTGCACTTCCGCGGAAGACGAAACAAAATGGAGAAAATGGAAATCATCGTCATCGCTGTATGCCGGGCACTTGAATATATATATATATATATATATATATATGATGCTCCATCGATCTCAGTTTTTATTTTGGTGAGCTAGCATGTCCCAAAATTAGCACTTTGTGAAACTTTGACAAAAGAGCATCGTGCCTAATAAAAGACCGAGCTTATCAACAGTTTTTGTAAACCATCTGGAGCAGCCTCATTTTATTTTATGTTTGGCGTATGTCGTTCTCAAAGTTGCTATTTAGACTTGATTCAGTCGCTTAGATAGATTTACTCAGCCACTTTATATGTGCCTGTCAAACATTCATGCAGGTTGGATAAGGAGAGGTAGTAGAGGAGCATGAGGAAATATATTACACTTGCTGCTGGGTTGCAAAGCCGCGGGTGATGTTTTCTATTGCTAGGCTATTTTTTGTTTCTCAGCAGCCAAAGAGTTTTATCAGATCTTCCTTGTTTTCACACGTGTAATATACCATCCTCCTTTCTCTCTTTTCTCCCTTTCTCGGAACAACAAGAAAAGCTACTCTAACTGGTGAACATTGTCAGATTATTAGTTCCGCTTAAGCCTATGTAATGTACACCTAAATATGAATAAAAAGTTCCCTTGTGAAGGTAAAGTTTCAAGGCTGCTTTACGATGTGAAACAAAGTAATGATTGTTGTATTTTAGAGTGCCGTGAGCAAAAACGTAAATGCGACTGCAAACAACCTTGTGATAGGTACGAATATTAGCAACCCTCGAGCGAAACAGACTCAAAGAAGAACCAGGTGTTAACCCCTATATATCTTTCAAAATATCAATAACAGGTGCGAACGATTCAACCTCAAATGTGTATACCTCCAAGCCGTTTCACCTCGTGATCAAGAATATGTCGAAATTGCAAAACGCGAGGAGATGCGATGCGAAATTAAAGCTTTGACAGAACAATCGGAAATGCTTGATCGAGAAATGCGTAGTCTGCAGTCCGCCATACGAGTTCAGCATCAACAATCACCACCCATGTCAGCCCAAGACGACGTTGTGAGTCTGTATAGAAAGGGACGGCCATATCTTGTCTCTCCCATGATAATACCCCATTCTTCACCTATCAACGACTTGACTGTGACAACGCCACCTGACGCTTCTTGCTCTCCTTTCTCCTCGGTGGATGATAGCGTTAGCATCGTTAGCAACAGCAGCAACCATACAGCAGAGCCAGCAGATAACCGTCATAAACAACATGATCTTTACTATAACAGCACTAGTAATAAACGACGACGAGTGATTGCTCGAGAAGGCCAACTTTCTGTGGCGTTGATACGTGACAGAAACAAACATAAGCCCTGGACATTGACGGTCAAAGATGGAAAAATGGCAATAGAGACATTCATAAACAGCCATAGCGACCTTATGGCTCGAGTATGGGATATGACAAGCACCCTGCGGGCTCAGGATAGTGTTCCTTTCTCATTCTTTGCCTTTTCCACAGTTGGCGCGCTTGTGAAAATGTTCAATACTATGATACTCAACAAATACGGCAAGACTTATTGTCGAAGTATGGTGAACGCCATGCGCATCTCCTCTTCTTTCTCATCTCCGCCAGCAACAACTCCTCCAGATACGACTTTGACTACAAGCGACGAGACCACTACTCCAAATACATCATTGATACCATCATCGCCATCGCTACAAAATATCGAATCCCTTATTATGCCACTTCTCGAGGCCTATTTTCGCTGTCGCCATCTTTGCCACCTTGCACTCCATATTCCCACCTTCATGCGTCTTTTTGTTACGAACTACTCCGAAATCTCTACCTCTCCTGTTGTCATGGCACTCTGTGCAACCATCTGCGTCAGCGACAATGCCTGTTGCCACCATATTACGAAGCTTGTGCCACACACTCTGCTCAATGCACATGCGAAAATGTACTATGATAGAGCAAGGCAGCTTATATCTGATCGATTCGACGACTTGTGCCTAGAAATATTTGCGACTTACGTATTTCTCACCAGCTACATACTACATTCATCTGCATCATCACCATCAACAACGACAACAACGGATAATGACAACATTGTACAACAGCATCATTACCGTGATTTAGCCGAGCGATTTATGCAGCTACTGGAACCTTGTCACGCAAATTGGCCACTTGATGAATCGATCCTATTCCGAAAACTTAAAACATACCTGCAACGACTGTTGACGTACGAACTGGCATTAAAATTCAAAAACAACGATACCAACATGCGAGAAACAGGCTATGTACGGTTCTACGAAGCCTCACACAGTAACTCTCAGCTGCAATGGGTTACTGCAGAGGACGATGAAGACACGTTACGCGAGTTTACCGAGATGCAAAGATACCTGCAGCAATTACGCGGAGCCGTATACGAAAACAGCCGTGCGTCAGGCATTCCGTCACGAGACCTCACGGTGCTAACGGAAACGGTCATACAGCAACAAATTAAGCATGCAACTGCTCATTGGTATATGCATATTCTGCCGGACAGGTTCAAATTGCCTTTACCCGTTTTAGATGCCACCTCCATATCTGACAGCTCCTATTTCTCTACGCTTGAAGCACAATCCCAAGCCAAAGGCATTGTGCCGATCTTGACCATCTTAGCGCTTTACGATGAGATTATTTTGATCATCCAGTCGTTTCTTCATAAGAGAATCCCGAATCCTGCAACCAACTGGTACTTTTTGGATCAATACTGGCAAGGCGGCAAAATCATGATTAACAAAAACGAACATCCTGCGGGCGAGAAATGGGTGCGGCGCATCACTAAATTATTGTCAGTCAAGGAGGCAATCGAATACCCAGGCACAGATGACGAGTTCTTTAGCATGTTGAAAGAGCTCATGTTTCCGAGCCAGCCGGTCAAGACGTCGGTGGTGCAGATCGGCATTCAAGTGGCGATCAATATGGTGCGATTGCTACGCTTTATACAAATGTCTGAAACCTGGTCGTGCTTTTTCGATATGCGTATCTTGACAGATGTCTGGATTGTCATGTTTCGAATACTCCGATTTGAAGATTACTTGGATGCAAACGATCGGCGCTGGATGCCAACGATCCGGAAGGATATGAATCACTGCCTGGCCATGGCTCGCAAGCAGCTCGGCAGTGAAGATGATATCGGGGTATATGTCCAGGGATTGGACAAAGACTTTCGAGATCTGTACGTTTCGTTTTCCTCGTAGTCTTCTTTATCGACACATTTGTGGCTTTTGCTTTCTAGTTTCGTTTTCTTATTTATCCTCCTCTTTTGTTTTGTTTTCTATACTGTACATAGCACTAAATAGCACTCTATTGTATTTTTCTAAGCACCTCTCTCTTTGTAAACGAATGACCTGCTTTTTTTTACCTATCCATGCCCCTTCTCCTAAATGTTTAAAGAATATATAATTTTGGTAACCAGTTTCTCGGTTCACTTCCAGCAGTTTGACTATCAAGTTATGCTTATGCAACCCCATGACGAACTATTTGTGACCTAATAATTGAGTATAGCAATGATAAGAGCGTCTACCTTCTCGAAAGCAGTACGTCAAACATACCGAACATATAAAAAGGTGGCGAATTATTGCCAGTGAGGATGCAGAAAAGTATGCCCAATTTCAGGCGGCACGCTTGGAACAAGATAGAAGGGCATAGAACATAAGATTTAAGCATAGGACGGTTAAATTCGACAGGCACCAAGGAACCATTGCCATTAAGCTAACCTTAAAAATGTTCTATCAGGTTCTGTCCTCCAAATATGGACAATGGATAGGCCATGTCCCACGGATATTGGGTTTTCCAGAACAATTAGGAACATGAACCTACTTTTCCTTGCGTGCTTTACTCTTCTTTTGCTTTTCCATTGATGCCGGAGTAGCTTTGGAGGTATGTGGAACCAGGTGCAGTATTCCGATCGAAAGGCAACGAACATCACATTTGTATATCCACGCGCGTACGCCTGCAAAATGTACGTGAGTGTGTAGGAATTTATATAACATCTTTTTTGCCTTCTTTCATTTCCATGTGAACCAAACGACATATCATCATCGTCATCGTCATCGTCATCTTTCACTTCCCTTATATCGCTAAGACCTATTTATCTTAACGATCCGCAAACCAACAACGTAAGTAAACTTCCGCTTTTAAGATTTTTTACCCTGCCATAGAAACATCTATACACATCTTTTTACATTTACATATAAATACCGCCAACACATAATCCGTATTTAGGCTTCCCCCTCCGGGATCCCCATTTGCATTTTCTCCATTGATCGCATCAAGAATATCTCTTTGTATTTCGATGTTTGAAACTGTTTCTTCAACCAACATCTCAAGATTGACTTTGGACATTTTACAGCTGATATTGGAGTACTTGGACACTTACTCGCTGGCAGAGCTATCACAAACATGTCGCCTCTTCCATTCACTCGTACGACGGGAACTCAGTTTCGAATCAGCACGCTTCCATTTACGCGTCCAACAATTGCAGCAGGCGCGAACAACGCGACAAGACTCGATATCCGTGTTTCCCATGTCAGGTGACGATGGTGAAGGTGACAGTAAAGAAGACGACGACCATCACGACGACGTCAGTGGCGAGTATAATGAAGACGTGACAGGTGGCGGTGGCGGTGCGGGTGGCGGCTATGCACTTTTGTCATCTGCAGCTCCAACCACAGCGACTGCAGCAACGACAACTACGTCGACACCAACAATGCCGCTTAATTTACCTCCACCCGTATACCATCAGCGATGTATTGCATGCATTGGCAATCGATTGTACATGCCATTCATGACAGTGGAGCCTGTGTGTTTTATATATGATATTCGGCGTGGAATTTGGCAGAGGCAGCAACTTCAACCATATCCTGACTACACACCTTTCGTAGCTCCAGCGGCAGCGATCGGCTCGCGTATTTACATGTTTGGTGGGCGTCAAGTCATGTCTACAACGTTGTCGAATGATGTGGTCGTACTTGATATAGAGACGTGGTCGTTCGAGCGGATAAGATTGATGCGTGGGCAGGTGCCTCGACCTCGGCATGATCATACCGTGGATGTGTTGAACAGGCGATACTTGGTTGTGTTTGGAGGTGCCTGCTCCAACTCGCCGGGTAAGTCGTCCTCCTCCTTCCTACTACTTCCATTACTACTACTACTAAATCACCACCATCATCATTATCCACACCAACGACCCGTGCGACTCACTGGCGTCTTTGATACTACTATGATACGAGCATATTAAGGCAAAGCATTTTACTTACTTTATCACTTCTCGGTACCCCCTCCCCCCCCCTTCCCTTCTCCTTTTGTTGACCTACCTGCTAAACTATTCTACAGGAGAAAACGATTTGCATCTGTTCGATACCGAAACAAATACTTGGAACGAACCTAGAACAGAAGGGTAAGTTATTGTGCATGTGTGGATTACGGAGAAAGTCATATTTAAATACACGACAACTATAGGCAGATACCTCCAATTCGGTTTGGACATGCATCTGCGGTGCTCCAGGACGATCTGTACATCTTTGGCGGGTGCCAAATTCAGCCCGAATGGAATATGGTTCACGATGTGCTGTATCGCTTGGACACGGAGACATGGACATGGTACAAGTACGATCATCCAGAGGCCTACTCGTATCGCCGCGGAGATGCTGTGATGAGATCTGAACCGATCGCCGACTCGCTACGGCGTGATCTGATCCTGGAGACGACTGGAAATCCGCCACGCGATCGATTTTATTGTACAATGCAAGCGATCGGATCACACAAGCTGGTTGTATTTGGTGGTCAAACAGTACGCCAAGATCGCGATGATAATAACATCCTCCATGCACACTCGCTACGATCCATCGATGTGTTCAATATCCGCCGGAAACACTGGTCTGCAATCTCAACCACATCTTTTGATGGCGAGCACCATGCCTATCCGCAAGACTTGACGTGTTTCATGCTCTCCGACAATCAACAAGACGGAGGATATAGTTTGCTTTTGATCGGTCAGCAAAAGACATTTTCCTTGTCCACCGGTGATTCTTCGTCCGGTGCCAGCAGTGGAGAGTTGTATCAACACACCGGTTCGACACCATCTACAGGTGGGGGCTCGCTCACACACATTTCGCCACCTATGCGGCCTCAACCTATGGCGGCTCCGGAGCATGATACGTACTCTATAACGCCTCATCCGCCAACAACACGTCAACCGCAACCACCGTCATTGATGCATGCACATACTTCCTCTGAACCGTCAAACACAACACGCCATCTTGTTTCGTCTTCTTCTTCAACAGCAACAGGAACAATAGCAACATCACCACCATCGCATGTCCACCCTTATGCAGCATATATCCCGGCGACACACCACCATCACCACCATCATCACCATCATCACCAATTTCGACAACCGTCTTCTGGAGGTACCGATGCTTTGGATCAGCGTACACGTCGTGCACATAGTAGGCCTGTGACAGATTATGAGGGATTTTTGGAACACATCAACGCGTATGAGGAATATATCCAAAATCCATCAGCAAGGAATCGTGGATCACAACAAAGTGGAAGTAGTGGGGATTCACTAGCAAGTCATTCACTTCCTGCACCTTCCTCTTTCTCTGCTCATCCCATAGAGTCTGCAACGACGACGATGGCGACGCTACAGCCTCCACATCCACCAGTAACAACAGCAATACCGACGATGCAAGATCATCCTGTATTTTCACCAATATCTGAAGGGGACATGGGCGATCAGAGCGGGGGTAGCAGTAGTAGTAGTCATAGGCAACATTACAACATTGAGCCACTTTGCATGATGCTGACTTTGGATCGCGAATAAAAAAAGTTTCGTTGCTGTTTTCATTATGTATTTGTTTGTTTGGATGTGCACAAGATAATATAACCAGAAAATCAATCACAACACGTAAATATATTATGTAATGTTTGCTTCTCTGTTTGTCGATCCTACTATTTTATGCACTACTGTTTATCTTGTTTGAAACCCACCACTTCTTTTATGTCGTTCAATTGAAAGTATGCATATTGATGCGTTTGACCTCTCCTTTACCTCTTTTTCAGGCCATCCCCGATTCAAAGGCAAGCTGTTATTGCTAACATAATGATAAACAACTGTCGTGTGGTTATATGTGAGGAAAAATTACTCATGTATTTGGAAACAAGCATTTTTCTAGCTAACTCACCATCTATTGTATAGTCCTCTTTACCGCAAACGCGTAATTCCTACTTGCTAGTGCAATTTAGGATTACTTGTACCCTTTATTGACACACGACACAGAGTGAATACAACCTAATCAAATACTATATATTACTCGTGACCCAATACCTTATTAATTACGCCATACGGTTGTTAGTGTGCTTACTCTAATACACAATACCAGCGTTGTGGAAGGTTCCTGAGATTTCGGATGATTATCATGACAGGCGTCATTCTACATTTTTCTAATGGTATATTTTCTGTATAGTTGCTATACTGCTGGTGGTAATGGACTATATGGTGTAGTAGTATAACGTATAACACTTTTGGTTGATCAGTTATCCATGTTGAACGTATGAAGCGTTTTCAGACCTAAAGATACATTGAACTGTTGAGCTAGCAAACAGTATATCTTAAACGACTTAGTGGCACCTCAATAATTAGCTTTTCCTCAATCTTATACTACCGTAGTACGATACTAATATGTATATTTTATGTATCATCGTCTTTCTCCTAAGTTGAAAGTATAGTGGAGAGTGCATGGGATTGTTCACTTACAACCCTACAAAAACGCACACACTCATCGCAAAACTAAAATTCTCAAACGATCCAAAGTCGTTTTCAACTGTCATCACTTGTAAAGTTACGAAAGTTTGGAAACGGCCCTACAAGACAACATCAAACAATTAAAGAAGACGTCCAGTATAGCATTCTTCGTGATTCTTTTTCTTCTGTATCACTTACAATTATTTCGTGTACGCGTTACACGACTTAACCATATCAAACATTATCAATTGTATTATCATATTATGTGCTAATCAGCACATGATTTTAAGAAACGAAGATAAGAGAGAGACATTCTGAAGTTCCAATTTTGGTTTCTGGTGCATCTTCCATACGAGTGTCATCGCGATAGGCCTACAGTTAAGAGACTGTTGATCCAAGTTTCTAAGTCAAATACGATAGTTACCGTTAATTATATGTATACAGAAACGGATTGGTACATGGACCTTTTGATTCATACACTCCCATACATGATGTGGCGTTGGACTAGGGCCAGATATTGAACTGGGACTAGTGTCGTAATAGTATCCGCTAATTGAGTAACACATCATACATATATATATGTTTGTAATTGCAAGTGGAGTGACCGGATCCAATGTAGTAGGGTTGACGATGATAAATTTATAATTTTTATCGTTGGATGTGTACAATAAAATTGTGGGTCCTTACTGAATCTTCAATTGATTCTAGACTGTATGATATGTTCTAGCAGAAACAATGAAGTGCCCAAATAAATAAACGCCAATCTAATTTATAACATCGTTGTTGTTATTTTTTTCCTCTAACAGGTATTGCCAGTTACTGTGATTCGTTGCAGCAAATCAATTAAATAACAATATGCGGATATTCGGTCGGCTTTAGCAAAAAAGGGATAAGGAGATCGCCATGACCATCATCGTCAGTGGGTCAGAGATAAAGAGTCTGATTGATTACCATTTCATTATTAATACAGCTGCATTTCGTCGGCCAAGAGCTTTGTTCAACCCCACTCCCTAAAATTATCACATAAGCAAGTTTCTCGCATCCACCTTGTCAGTTCCCCCCAAACTTCTATCAGTTCTTTTTGCTTGATGGATTTTATGGGCTACAGCGTAGCACGCAGCTACGGTGTCCTACTATTCTTCATAAATTTTTATGGAGCGTAAAACTTGTATTATGAGGAGCTTCCCGCATCCCCGTTCATCACACAGTGCACTTCCCGTTCATCACACAGGGCACTCCCCGTTCATCAAACAGTGCACTTCCCGTTCATCACACAGTGCACTCCCCTTTCTACACTCCCCCCCCCCCAATGTTATAATACGCTAATCTTGCATAATACAAATTATCTCACAAAGAAGTTCCACACGCCACACACTATTCTTCTTTGTAACAGCTATATTAACGTTCTTTCAGCTCATTGTCAGACATATAAAGTCCGTAATGATCTGAATGAATGCAGCACGAAGAGTGATTAACAAAGTAAGTAAATTTTAAGCCATGCACCGTTAAATGCGGTAAACCTACGATTGGTTTTTCTGGTTGGTATTTAAATCAATTATATTTTTATTCGTGCTAGTTTCGACTCTCTTCTTTTACGATACTACATTCTTGTACCAACAGCAGCATCATATTACTTTCTTCTACTGCTGCTGCTATACTACCATCATCATCATTCCAAACCAAAACAGAAAACAACCTCATCGATTCAACATGGGAAGCATTACATTATCATCATCGTCAACTTTGCTTGCCACTCTGTATCTTCTATTCATCGTAACAATCACTACCGCTGACCAGATCTTTATCGATGAGCCTCCAGCTAATGGCATCTTTCAAGTCAATTCCCCTATGGATATCCGGTATCACAGTATGTTTCTTTCTTCTCTAAATATTATTTTGAGAAAGAACAGCAAGTGGTGTAATTTTAAGTACATGATGCTAAAATTTGATTATTTTTTAACTTGGCATGATCTGGATGATCCATCACTTGGTGTAAAACGTATAATTTTCAGTACGTAAGAACGGCATGGCAGGACTCGGATCTACAACTGTGAACATCATCAACGCCGATACGCACGAGCTTGTCACAGATCTATCTAATGCAACGTGGAAGCCCAACAACAAGGATTTGTCGGTGAAGAGCGTATGGTATATTCCCCAAGACTTAAGTAATGGTACCTATACGCTGCGCGTATCTGGCACGTAAGTATTGTTATCTATCGACAAGTTCATTTCCGGTGGTGGTTCTTTTTCATCTCTGCTACTTGAGTCTAACAAAATGTGCTGTAGTGCAACTTTCCCATGCTCATCTTCACATAATGGCAAAGGCAAGTATTGCAAACATAGCGTATTGTGTTTAAATTAGGAAGAGGAGAAGCTCACCATTACAAACACTTTTTTTTTGTTACTTTAGCTCCATATACCCGGTGCCAAACAGTATTAGAAAGGACCGTGACCTTTGTTGTATTAAATCCTTAATATCATTGACATATATTCCATTATTTTCATTTATTCTCCTTTACTTCTTATGCAAACAAGACGCAAACCACGGACATATAGAAAAAGAAATAGAAAGGGCCTAACGAGGATTGGTCGACCCAGAAAAGCTTGCTTGGAACTAAGGGAGCAGAAAGAGATGAAGGAGAAAGAGTACAATAATAAAGGGGAATTTTTTTCCAAATGTGGTTTTAATCAAGAATGCGGTCAGACCATTGTGCACAACTTATAATCGCTTGTTTCCCTTGTTTCTCTTTCGCTCAGTCAAACACTGAAAGAAGAAACGTTATCTCATACCGCATCTTTATTGTTTGCAATTCCAGTCAATTGTAATTTTCTTCGTTTCTAACATCCAAACCAACTCGCCAAAAGAAGCAACATACATGCTCATGGAAAATAACGGCGATGAATTGGAAAGACATAAGGCAGTGACCGTTTCGTTAGCCTCCACCACATCATCGTCATCCTCCGTACCTTCACCGCCGCTGCCGCAGAAGATCGCCGCCGCTAATAATACCACGACGTCCATGTCCAGTGCCGCGACTGAGCCGCACCCCTCTTCTTCTCTGAAACGGCCACATACTGTTGCACCATCTGTAAGTATAGCTTTAGTTCAGCAAAACCGATCTTTTACTCGCCCATAACCTACCAGCACCAACAGCAGCCAGCTAAATGTTTCTCCTCTATGTAGATAATGGCCGATATTGAGCAAACGATCACTGTACTTTTGACATACACCAAAAAGTTCCTTGAAGCCTTGACAGCATGGTCGCTAGGTCAAATGATGGATGTTCAAGTGATGAGTGTATACAAAGATCTGGCCAGTCAATTCGAACGTGTCAAGCAAGCATTGCAGGCTGCACCACTAACAGTGAGGTGATTTGAAAACAACAACAGCTTGAAATAAAAAAGTGTGATAAGTGTCTCAGTAGAGAGAAAGGGGGAAATGCTTACACTTCCAGCTTATTTATGCCGCCGCGCGCTCATGCATTCTCCCACTTTTGCACAATGATAAAGCGATGTAGCTCATATCCCCGACCAACTCTACGAATGCTTGGCTGCAACACTCGACAATCCACCTTCAAAAACAGCATTAGAGCAGCACTTACCAACAATCCGTGACATAATTTTGCGCTTGTTGCAATCGTTGAAGCATAAACAGGCCCAAGTGCGCGAGGCACCGCCTGCATCAATTGCACCCCTTCGTCGCACATCGCGCGGTAGTAGCAGCAACAATAGCACGACGTCGTCAACATCGTCATCGTCGTCGCCCGTCAGCTCTCCGCGTGCAAGTCATCGGTCATCTTCTTCTATAATGTCACATAGCAATGCTGCTGCTGTCCGTAGCTCTGATCTTGATATGACCGACGTGAATACACAAAACGCGCTCGATGCGCTCAAGCAACAGGATAACCTAGCCCGTAGGTCATCAGTTCGACGCGCGAACACTTTGCACAGTGATGGTAATTCACCTGTGACACCACCCCGGCGACATCCGACATTGATCCGTCGAAACAATGATGGTGTGCCGCCACCGCCGCCAATCGTATCGCCACAACAGCGACTGTGTCATTCCGCAACGACATCAAATGCAGTAGAAGAGAAAGAGAAGCAACGGGTGGAGAGAAAAGGTGATTATGCAACCTGGAAAAAAGCAAGAGACAGCGAGACTCCGCAGGGAATATTTGTGGGGGGTGAAGATGTGTTGTGAATGTGTATTTATGTGGGACAAGGCTGGTTTTTTGTTGACATGCTAAAACCCAAAATAGCTGGGAGCCTATCAGGTGCATTCCCTTTGTTTTTGCAAATGGGCGACCAGGTGAAGAAGGTGATGTGGCAGCAGCATGAACCTGTGACACCAGCAGCACTTGGCATGGCATTTCTCGAAAAGTTTGGCCTTCCAAAGGACTGCGTCAAGGCAGACATTGGCAACAGCAAAGGCATCATCAAGATACAGGACTCGGTCAGCAGGATCATGTACGAGCTCGAGGATATGAGTGATGTGGGGCCCCATGCCCTTCTATCGTTAGCGTCACCGGTAGCATCATCTTCATCAATGGCCTCACACCCTACTAGGGCTACAGCTGGTACTACAATGTCATCATCATCGTCACAAGGTATGATTATAATAACGTATGTTTTATATAATCTATGTGTGTAAAAAATAGAACGATGCGGAAAATCAGGGGGTGAGATCCATATAAACAACTAATATAATTTGCATTCTGTATAATATTAACAATACGTCTATTGTTACAGATAACGTGGACATAATTTCAGCCAAATTGGACCGCATCCATCAAGAGTTACGAGAGCATCGAAGGGTTTACCAAAACCAACGTGAGACGCCGACAATCCATCATCAACCAGCAGCAGCAGCAGATGAAATAGGCAGCAACGTGGTGGCGACCACCAGCACGAGTGACAGCAGCAGCAAAAGAAACAATGGTGCAAAGGTGATGCATCACACCATCCTTCAGCAACAGCAAGACGAAATTGAACACTTACGACGTGATCTAGGAGTGCTGCGACAAGTAGCCAAGGAGTTTCAGCGAGAGACTACTGCACTCTTGTCAGAGCTCAAAAACACCGCTGCTGCCGCTGCTGCTAGTACTACCACCACTACTACCACAGCAGCAGCATCATCCCCATCATCAAAGACGCACAACAGTATGCTAGTGATGCATCATCATGATCCTGAGGGCGGGAATAACAACAACAACAGCAGCAGCAGCAGCAACCGACGCAGCTATGTATTGGAGACGAAACAACGTGCCGAAACTATGGCAAACTCAATCACTGGACGGATGCAGGATCTGCAGGACATGATTGACCAGCTTAAATTAGATGTGACACAACGACGTTGCCGCCCGTCTCAAGCCCAACTTGATCATTGCCAAACAGAAGGGAGGGCTTTGGAAGATGAAATCGAGCGGCTGTCCGAATTGACTCGGTCAGTGAAGCCGACATGGAAGGCCACCTGGGAGGCTGAACTGCAGATGGTCGTCAAAGAACAGCAGTTTTTGAAAGATCAAGAGGCGTTGCTCCTGGATTTACGGGACGACCATGCGGACTTGCTTCATGTTCTGCAACAGCTTTTGAAGATATCTGAGATTCAAGCTCGCGGAAACGGCAAGAAGAAATTCGTTCCGCCGCCGTCGGCCCTGTTTTGTGGAGGTGGCGTTGGTAATGGCGATGGTGGTGACCGCAACAACAACAACAACAACAACAGCAGCAGCAGCAGTATAACTCTTGGTGGCGGCACTGCTATCTGTGAAGAAGAGGCGATGTCAAATGTCCTGAAACAATTATCAACGATCGAAGTTGACCATGGAAGACGTGTCAAGGCGCTGCAACAGGCGGAGAAGATGCGGGCACGTGAGCTTGCTAATCGAATTGACGACTTCGAAAGAGAACTGTCATCGTTTGTGGAGTCAAGGAAACTCAAAAAGACGGGCGGAGCGGACCATGTTGATCGGCAGCGGCAGAAGAAGGACCAGCAGGTTCTCAGGGACCTCTATCAAAGTAAAACCCAAAAGAAAGCCAACAATAATAACGATACGACCATTACTGAATGACGTACTGTTGCATACAATCGGAGTGCAATTGCGTGTATGAGTGTGTGTGGTGTGCGCTGTTTATTTTCCACTTGCGCATCTATCCAATTTGAGGCAAGAGGGCTTTCCCAATTGATCGGGGGCGGGGGTGGGGTTGGGGTGCCTTACAGAAGAGAGTGAGCAACAAGTTTTAGATTCTTGTGGGAGCATCTGGGGGGATTGCAAAAGGAAAAAAACAGGGTTCGCTTACCGATAATAATGAGAATAATAAAAGCGGATGTACTCGATGAACAAATCCGGAAAGGGGCAATAACATATAAAAAGGGTGAGTTGCTGTCAGATCACACAGCTTTCCCTCACTCGACATAATTCTCTTCAATCTTCCTGTACCATATATTTCCATCGCATAAGCATCTTCTTCCACCATACTAAACACAATGTGCTCTTACAATAACAACAACAACAACAACAACAACAACACCGTGTACAATACAACCACCACCTCCAACGACAACGCCGCCGTTATCCATAGCAACTCGATCTCATCCTCCGCTTCTTCAATGCTGATCACCATGGCAACAAACAGCTACTATGGTTTCTGTGCCGGTTGCGGCGTCGACGTAACTCGCTTTAGGTATTGACTTTGCCATTACACCAGCTGGACTTACCAGCATTAACAGATGGCCCTGAATATGTCTTGACCGAGTGAATTAACATTGTCTTTTGCATCGTATCTGATAGCCACGAGTTCTGGTGCCCTACGGTCCGTAGAAGATAATTGCTCTACGCTTCGAGTTGGTGATACATCATCATGCAACAAGGACCTACCGACCTAGCAACCATCTTTAATTTTATCCCTCTTTCCTTCCTTCATTCGTTCTTGTGCTTATTATGCGTATATATTCACCCCATCTTTTGTTCTTCTTCGTGTGTGTATATCCCTTTTGGATTCCCTCAATCCTTCTTTATTCTATTCATACCGTGATTTCTTCTAGCCATTACTCCTATTACTAACTACTACATCCACTCTATATTTCTTTTTCGTGCCGCCTACATACTACTACTCTCATCGTATACCACCGTTTCCCTTCCTCTTTATGGCTGCGCAAGCCAGTTATTCCATGTATATGTTTCTTTCTACCTTTCATTATCTCTTTCTCTTTCTCTTTCTCTACGATATGTACATATTATACCCTTCTTCTTTTCAACCCTCGGGATGGTTTTCATGTCTTTTAACAACTTACACTTCTTTTTTTATTTTCTCTTTTTGTCTAAACACCATACATAACATACCTTCCACTTGTTTCTTCATTCTCTGCTCTCACGCGCACGCGCACGCATAAACTGATGATGGCGCCCCCCGACATCTATACATATCACCGTCTCCTCTACGTACATACATGTTCCTATGTACATACAAACACCACATATTTCTCTCTATTTCTCTTTGTATTACATCTCTTTTCTTCGTTTCGAGCCGCGCTCTTTATCTTCTTTTCCTCACTATATATATTTCTTCCTCGTCTTCTCTACTACTGTATACAACAACCACACCAATAAACATATGAAAAACGATTTGGCCAATGATATAAACTCAACTTCTTATCAATCCTGATGGGGCAAACCCGAAAACAATGTATTTATTATGGAAGGTTTCTTTCATGCAAACACCGCATATATTCTTTCTCCTTCTCTTTCTTCTTAAGATTCGTGTTTTGAATACAAACACAAGCAGCGGAAGATGAAGGAAGAGAGAGATAGAGAGGGTGCAGTGAGTGTACATGACTGCATACAAACACGCACGAGGGAACCCCCATGATCTTGTTTAGCTTGTATCACTTTAGCTGACGACAGCGACAACAGCATTAACATCTCCCACAAATCCCCTAATTCTCCCCGCACCACAATGCTTTGGGCTCACCCCTGACTGGTGCTGGTGGCATTGTCATTCTTAGTCTGATAACAATAATTGTTATTGGTACTTGTTATTATCATTTAGAGCAGCGATTGGGCAAAAGAACCAAGCACCATCATAATGCATGCCACACCCCCAATGTCTTTCCCCACATAAAAAAAACAAGCTATATAATATTACATATACAGTACACACGCTCCGCAATATACATGGGACATTTTGAATATCGTGTTCCGTGGCGTTCGGAAGACAATAACGATGGTGATGATGCGTTCATGGTGCATATATATACGTTACGGCTACTTCCTGCAGGGGACTCAAAATAATACATATGGCGGGGAAAAATAAGGGGTTCTTTTCACGCACACAAAAAAAAAGAAGCGAATATGCGTAGCGGCAATACGTCGTATAGTTATAGCAATAAAAAGTTGAGAATGAATGAATTATTTCCAGACTAAAAGAATACAAACAAGCATGAAAAGAAAACTTGTTGAATGCTATTATTGCCGTGAGTGGCACCATCAATCCCACTTTTCTGTGTATATTCCCACTTTATTAGCTTAGCAATCTGACATACAATTGATACAAAACAACAAATAAAGCCACGCGCTAAATGAAATAACAAATCCTCACTATCATTGTCGGCAATGTGTATTATTCTCCTTATAGGTTTTTATTATGCACGTTACAATGCCGTTTTTTTTTGTCAAGGTGCGTTGAAAAGCATAAAGAAAGTAATTGTAAAGACACGACAGATGAGCTAATGGAACAGGAAGGAGGTAGAAAATGCATACTCCTTCGTAGTAGTACAGCATGCCAACTTTTCATAATATGTAATAATAGTATTTATTGGTATTATTCAAGCCATAATTTCTATGTAATTGCTGGGAATACAGCCTAGTCCACGAGTGCAATGCCACGTTTCATCCCACAGTACTGCATTCCACCAGCCTTCGTCTTGGGACATTCCGACAACAGCAAACAAACTACCGCGTTTGAAAGAAATCTCCGTCTCCTCGTTGGCAAGATAGTCATACTTGGCTCGTACTATATCGGATATGCAATAGTAATAGTAGTATTAGAAAAATAAACGTAGTTAGTATGGCTTCGCTCCATTTATTTTGTGCTCGCACATAGCTGTCATTAGCAGTTAGTCTTATTCCTTCGTCACCCCCTCACCCCTTTTCTCTTCTCCAAAATAGCCCCTTATAAACTCACCCCAAAACATGATTGGCCTGCCATCTGGCAGCTGTTGTTGTTGATGGTGATCATCTGCATGAGGGGCCGCTGCTTGCGGAGTTGTCGCTAAGGATGATCCTGTCGGCATCATCAACGGAGAGTTAGTTGGTTTGCTATTATTATTATTATTGTTGTTGTTGTAGTAGTACGGGCTTGATGCAGGCCATGGTGAGGACCCATTAGCATTTGACGGCGGAATGTTGGGTGAGTGTGGAGCGGCCATCGGACTCGCTGGTTGCGGGTAAGTATAATGTGGCGCAGGTGAGTGCATATGTGTCGTCATCATGGCAGGGGACGAAGGGGCCATCATCGGTGAATGTGGGGCTGCCATCATGCTTGGACCTGTCGTCATCGCCAAAGTGGTTGGTTGCATTGCTGGTGAGTGCATCATGTTTAGAGGAGGAGGCAGTGGTTGATGTGTCATGGCTGGTGAATGAAGAGGCGAAGGAGCAGCAGAACCACCAGCAGCCATCATCATCGGCGAATGAGGTGGTGCCATCATATTCGACTGTGGCGACGGATGCGGCTGGGAAAAGGATGAGGGTGGTTGTGAAACAGGAACCATGGCTGGTGAGTGGGGTGGATGCATGTTGACGGGAGAATACGGAGCAGTTGCTATGGAGCTTTGCCTTGGCGGTGTCATTGAGTTGTGAACATTGCTAGGTAACGTTCCTGTTGTTGCAGTAGATGTGGATGGCTTCATTGAAGGCGACCGCGAGTCTTGGAGTTGCTGTGGCTGTGGTCTAGGTGACTTCGGTGGCTGTTGCTGATGTTGTTGTTGCATGGGAATAATTGCTTGTTGGTTGTCGTTTGCCATACTACCACGAGGTTGTTGCGATGATGATGATGATGATGATGATGATGATGAGGGTGCTGGTGCCTGTGTTTGATTTGGTTCAAGAGGTGGTCGGTTGTCTCGTTTCTTGCTAGTGCTAGCAGTTTGGAACCTATCGACCGGTGGCGGTAAGGGTCGTTCGTCTCGTTGTTTCTTTTGATACTGATGGACAGAACGCGCATTAGTCATAGTTGCTTGAAGTGAATCAACCGCTCGATCATCTCGTTTCGGGTGAGCAGATCGATTAATCATTTGCTGCTGCTGCTGTTGGTGATGAGCAGAGTGTTCCATGGTGGTGGTACTGGTTGACGGCTGTGGTATTGCTCGATCCTCTCGTTCATGATGCTGGGCAGGCTGGATTTGAGTGTGCTTTTCAGTAGTTGGCCTATCATCATATCGCTTTTGAAGGCCGGAACGACTACTATTGCTACCACTACTATTACTGTTGCCACTACTACCGATACTGGTGCCGTTATTGTTATTTGTCAAGGTGTTTGAAGATTCGAATTTCTTGAGCAGCGCATCCAGTCCCATGTCACTTGTAGCCAGGGGTTTCCGTTTAACCATCATGCTATTGCACTTGGCAGTTTGCTGTTCGTTGGGCTTATTAATGGATGCTACTGCCGGTTGCTTCACCATTGTCGTAGCCGTGCTACTCATAGTCCGTGGTCGTGGAGGCAGTCGTTTATTGTGCACAGCTTCTTGCTTGAACTTTTTGGCGAAAAACTCTACATAGTCAGACGTGGCTTGACAAGGAAAGAGATTATAAAATTATTTTAGTAGATGTTTCCAACCGTATACCGCGAAACAGATAGCATCAAGAATTAAAATCAGTAGCTTACTAGGTGCTGTGGAGCTACCAATACTAGTGCCAAGGTTCTCGATACAATGAACCAATTCTTCTTCGATAGTACAGGTCTCCAACTGACTACGGATTTTTTCGCTCCATTCATCTTGCACCAATAGCCGTGCCGAGCATAAGTTGGCGTAATCCCATACGTTGCTTGTAAGAATATCCATCCGCTCGTGTTCAAAAACTTCCATTTGCTTTATACAAAGTAAAAGCAGGAGGGTTGTAACAAAATGTGAGTTCGTGATACGTACTTGGTATATTAATCATATAATTAGCATGAGTATTGCCTACCTGACAAGCCTTTATCCAGGCAATGTTCCATTCTCTCACAGCCTTGTCAGCTGCATCCACGGCGGACTGATAGTCGCTTGCTAGTAATGATATACGCACAGGCATTTGCATTGTCATTATCTTGTCTCTTATTAGTTGAGAAAATAGATAGCTGCCACTTACAAATCGATGATGGTTGTCTTCCACTCTGCATTTGATACTGTTCGCGTACCAATACAAGCTGCTTCACTTTTTTCTGTCTATCGTCATAGATGGTATCCAAAGCATCCACCAGCTAAGTGAGTCATTAAATTTGGTTTAGTAAGCATACATATACAGAGAAAGAGAGCAAGAGCGTGTGCATTTTATCTTACCTTATCCAGCTCGCCACGGTGTGTTGTGATCCACTCCTTTAACGGACCGGCGACTTCTTGCTCCAACCTACCGGCCATATCTATGTGCGACTGCGCAGACTTGACGATTTCTAGGTAGACGGTTTGGATCGCCTGCGTTGATGCAGTAGTAGTATTGGCTGCACCATTGTCTTCTTGCCCTTGCTCATCTCTTGCTGTCGCCTTTTTGTTCAGCTTCAACAAGTTTTGTCCATATTCACGCTCGAATAATGCTCTGTACATTCATTTAGTAGGAGAGTTCGCTGATTATTAGATGTCACGGATATAGTCCTTACCTCTGATTATATAGCGCCAGTATATCGTCCAAGGTATCATACGATTGCTTGATTTTTGAGACCAGTTTATCCATACCCTGCTTGTCGCATGTCTTCAAAAGAAGAGCGTAGATATGTCAGTATATTAGCTATGGCTGTTATCCCTTCCCCGTCTCATTATCTTGTATTGTTAATTGGTTAAATACAATATCTGTAAGCATCATACCCAAAAATGTTCTTCCAACGATACCACGGACGAAAGAGGAGGAAATGAAGACTCAGCGTTGACAGAATTAGGTGGCATCACGGCGTCAGTTATGTTTTGTTCGGGATCAATAGTTCTTCTTTTGATTCAGAAAAGAATAACAGAAAATCAAAGAAGAGAACAAAATAAAAGAAAGAAAACGCTTCCTTGTAAAACTTACAACGATGACGAAAATTGGGCTGCATGAACACAACATTTCTCTCTGTTTGGATATCCGGTTGCCCGAAATGGATATTGCATCACGCCAACGCCTGTCCCACCATGATTCCACAGTATCGTAATCAATAAAAAGAGCCTCATTCTTTCAAGAGGTTTTTTTTAAATATGGAGTATACGCAACAGAATGTACATGCATAAAAGAATGTGAAAGCACAAAAACGGAGATGAGAAAATTAGATATTATTACTAGTTAAGAGCGGATGATGACAATGACAGATGATGGATTGGCTTGGTTTGTGAGTGAGTAAGTGTGGTGATCATGTATGTGCGTATTTTACTGGCTTGATGGATCAGCATTTCCCATGCCCATGTTTTGCTGCTGCTGTTGCTGCTGCTGTTGCTGTTGTTGTTGTTGCTGCTGCTGCTGAGCTTGTTGTTGCATTAAAGCACGCTGTTGAGCCGCTGCCGCAGCTGCAACTTGTTGGTGATACTGCTGTTGCAAATTCATGGGAAACTGCTGCTGCTGCCGCTGCTGCTGAGGTTGTTGCTGCTGTCCACCTCCACTGTTCTGTTGCATATTAGCCGCGTGCCGATTCAACCCTGCGAGCATATGAGCCCTGCTCAGATCTTGTACATTCGCATTTTGTTGCTGGCCTTGCTGCTGGGCGCGTATAGCGTTGGCTCGTTGGAATAATGCAATCTGTTGTGGTGTCAATTGCTGCCCAGGTTGCTGCTGACCACCAACAGCACCAGGAGGCTGTTGCTGTTGGCCAGCTCGGCCACGCATTGCCATATTGCCCCGTTGCATCATCAATTGCTGTAATAGCTGGGCTTGCAGTGGGTTCATTTGTGCGGGATTGATTCCAGGTATCTTGCCAGCAGCCAATTGCTGTTGTTGTTGTTGCGTGGCTAAAGCTGCTTGTTGTGGTGTCAATTGCCGTTGCTGCTGTTGGCCAGGCTGCGGTTGTTGCTGCTGCTGCTGTTGCTGTTGCAACTGTGGATTGCGACCTTGTGCTGCAGCCGCCGCCGCCGCCGCTTGTTGGGCTTGGAGGGCTCTGGCTTGTGCTTGTAACTGAGCATGTATCTGAGCCGGTAACTGTTGCTGTGGTAACTGTTGTGCCTGTGTCTGAGCAGGGGTTTGAGGCTGTTGTTGTGGCAGCTGTTGTGGAGGTTGCTGAGGGGTTTGTTGAGGGGTTTGCTGTGGGGTTTGCTGATGCTGTTGCTGAGGAGTTTGTTGTTGTTGTTGTTGTTGTTGTTGTGCTTGTGCTTGCAGATGACGGGCTTGATATTGTTGAAGAATGCTGTGCTGTTGCTGCTGTATTGACCCCAGCTGTTGCTGGTACACTTCTTGTGTGATTTGGCCTTGTTGAAGCATGGTAGTCAGCCGTTGTCGTTGCATCATGCACATTGCCATCTGTTGCTGATGCTGTGGCGAGAGTTGTGACAGGATCTGTTGAGCTTGATTCTGTGGCTATATGAGTGACGATATGTACAAGACCATTAGATTATCATTAGCTTTTAAATATCATGATAATAACACACATAGTGAGACACTTTACCCTTGGCTGCTGTTGAAATGGCTGCTGTGGCGATGGTTGATTACCACCACCCATCATCTGCTGCTGCTGTTGCTGCTGCTGCTGCTGCTGCTGTTGTTGTTGTTGACGAGCACTGGCTATTGCTTGCTGCAACTGCTGTTGCTGTAATAAACTGGTATTTCCAGACGCAGCAAATTGGCTTAATAACTGCTGAGCTGCACCAGGCGGGATGGCACGCGAAGCAAGCAACTGCTGTATCCGTTGCAAATTGATTTGTTGCTGTTGATGTTGTTGCTGTTGTTGCTGTGGATTGTTACTGTTTGCAGCAAGCGCATTTGCCAGTGTCGTTTGCTGCATACCTGCAAGCGAAGGACTTGGTGCATGGCCGTTTGCTCCAACTCCAGTAGGCATATTCGGCCGGCCAGGACCAGCACCGGTAGCAGCAGCAGACATACCGTTCATGGCCAACATAGCTGCATTGTTATGTGGGGTGCCTGGTGGTACGTACGCGCCCTGAGGCATCGAGCTCATGGTAGGCGCATGCTGCGCTGCCATTTGTGTGGTTGCACGCAACGGAAGCGCCAAGGATTGCATGGTGGATTGGGGAGGTAGCGAAGTGATATGATGCTGTTGTGGAGTTTGAGGGGGTTGTTGTGTTTGTTGCTGTGGAGTGCCGAGTTGCGCATGTGACTGGGAAGGAGTAGGTTGCGATTTCACACTAGCATTGGCCATACCCATCGGCGGTTGTTGTTGTTGTGGCTGTCGTGGAAGGTTGGCTTGAGCCATAGAAGGTGTAGGGGCATGTGCTTGCGTTGGTGTCGCAAGATGGGGTTGGGTTGGCGTAGAGTTTCTTGATGGGGTATGTGAAGATGGCGTGGGTGGCTGCTGTTGTTGTGGTTGTGGTGGTACTTGTTGCTGTTGCTGTTGCTGTTGTTGAGCGGCTTCCTGCTGTTGCTGTAGTTGGGTCTGTTTCTGCTTTGACTTTGATTGCGGCTGGGACGTTAAGTGTTGTTGTGGAGGCTGTGAAGTTTGGGCTTGCACTTGCGGTGTCTGTGCTTGTTGGGACGTCGTGGGTGCAGAAACTTGTGGTGCACCGCCGGGTTGAGATAGTTGACCCTGTTGAGCCGCATGTGCCTGAGCTTGCGCTTGGGCCAGCATGTTAAGCTGCTGCGCCGACAGTTGTTTGCCTTGTTGCTTTGCACGCGCCTGTTGTGCTTGAAGCTGCTGTAATTGAAAATTGTACTGTTGTTGCTGATGCTGCTGTTGTTGCGTCTGTTGTTGCTGTGTCTGTGTCTGTTGCTGTTGTTGCACCTGAGCAGCAGCCAGACGGCCAGCGACAGAAGGTGACCGTGGTACGGGATTCGCAATGTTGTTGTCAGATACCAGACGATTGAATAAACCATATGTACTTTTTAAATGGACAGTGTACGTTTCCATAAGGTACTCTGGACCAATCTTGAACCTAGTAAGTAATAAAATTGAAAACATTCCTCCTCGTTAGTTACTCTTTCCCGTTTCCTATCCATCGTTTCTTCAACACAGTGACATCGAAAGCCTCGCTCGCTTGTCATATATCAAACAGAGCAGGAAAAACGTACTCGATATTGCCACCGTTGATACTGGTATCGTATACAGTGCCCCAGCGAAATATGCCATCGTACTCGTTGTTTTGCATAAACAAATCCACAACTGTAAAAACCGTTTCTATACTTTATGTCTTAATAGCCATGATTTCTACTATGGTCACATTACAAATCCCATCCGACAGAAAAGACTTACTTTCGCCTTCTGGTCGCTCAAACCGGATCGTACGAACACATTTGCGACCATCTGGTAAATTAGGCGGTTCAAGAACAACCTTACGCCCACCTTTTTCCGTTCGAATATTTAACAAATCCAGTCAGTAAGAAAACAAAAACGTAACAAGAAGCTAGTCTTTTGATCCTTTCGACAAGTTTTACCTTTCTTCTTGACCTCGACAGATGGCAATGGCTCGGTATCCAACTTTTGCCGTTTTGACCTCCAATCATACAAGAATGATATCTTTCCAAAACTTATGACAGAAGTTAGTTAATAACCTTGGAGCTTAGCATTCCCAAATATTCTAAAACAAGCAACACAATTTATATTACCTTGGCTCGAATGGGAATGATCGCTTGGCACGCTAAAGAGGAAAGAAAATTTAGTCCTAGCTTTCGCTCACTACTGTCCTTTACAAAGATACATGCACATACACGAAATCTTCCATCATTACCCCCAGCGGTATGAAAAATATGCTTACCTTATCCATCAAAGTCATGAGTTTATTATTTTCAGCCTTCTTAGCCAACTTCTGTTCCCGTTCTAGGGAATTCCACTTTTGCCGTCGTTTAACCTTTCGATGTCCAGTAGCATACTCAATTGCATTACTTATACGCGTAACATGAATAGACGGATCAAGGCAAAGAGGGTCTTCCGTTGCAAGCTATATATTTGTATAATCCATCGTGTAAGCATCCAGCTTTTCCCCTTTCAGCATCCACAGGATTCGCAATTCAACGTTGATCTACTTCTTACCAGCACTTTGGATTCCACTTCAAGCGCCACGTCTTCTGTCCACGGGAATCCCCATTCTTCGTTCAGTAGCAACATGTCTGTCCATAAACTCTCAGCTGTGGGCTGCATCGCGACACGTTTAATTAATGGAGCTGGTTTATCTGGTTTGCGATGGTCGTGTATTTCAACAATTAGGCATCCTGAGTTATACGTACAACAACAGTTAGTTAATGCTAGCCTTCCCCGCAAGCTACTCTGGAAAAAAGGGATACGAGTTTTTGCCGGCTTCTTCGTTCTCGTTTTCGTTATTATTCATATATAAGCGCACCTTCATAGTATCGACACGAAGCTTCGTCGAGCACGTCCATCAGATCGGGTGGAAGTCGTTTTTCTTTAATACAGGTTAAAAAATCCTATTCGTTTTGCGAATATATCTGTAAATAAAACTAGTTCGCTAGCTTGCAAACAGTGACAACAAAAGTAGCTTTGGTTACCTTAAACTGGCTTTTATACGAAAAGAACCCATCCTGAAAACAGTGTTAAAAGGTTGATAGTTAGGCGTGTTTACGTGTGTATGCGTTCGTTCATTTCGTTTGGTATGTTTAAACGTGCGTAATACGCGCGCACTCGTATATGCTGCAATGACAACAAGTAATTAGAAGAATTACCTCATGTTCAAATTTAAAATAGGTAGGATATAAATGAAGAACTAAAGACGGTGGTTCGTTGGCATAACGAGCTAGTAAATCTATTTGTTAAGTAGTTCTTGCGTGTTAACGATGGTACTTCTTTTTCTCTTCCCTCGATTCGCGCAAACTCTTTATATAAAAAGCACCTTTTTCATCTCGTCGTAGCGATCGCTAAATTGTAGTAAAGAAAGCATTAGAAGCAAGAAAAGTTCACATAAGAAAAGTGAAATTGTTCGAACCTGATCTGTCTCGTTTTCATTTACTTCTTGTCGTTGTCGTTGTTGTTGTTGCTGCTGTTGTTGTTGTCTTTGCCAATTAAGACGTCTCTCCTTGTTACTGCTGCTACCACCAGTGCCACCAGCACCAGTGCCGTTGGTGTTGTTGCTTCTTCGAGACAGAGTCGCAGCTTGCTTTGAGTGAAGCTCTGCCATTTGCGTTACTGCATTCTGGTTTGCTTGTAGCTTTGCCATCAATTTGGCAGACGCCATGGCGGAGCGATATAATAAGTAGGGCGGAGAGAAAGACGTTGAGTGTGGGGGAGAGTCAAGCGAAGTTAATTTTATAGGGACTGTGGCAGCTGGCAAGCCTGTGGTATAAGCTCAGAGCAGGATAGTCATATAAGATGCTTGCAATTACCGATCCAAAAGAGTTCAATGCAATTTTCATTGAAATATGCTTAATGTGATACGGTATTACTCTTTGACAATAGCGTTTCTGCGATATTTTCCTGTTCTTTTATGACACACAATACGTGAGGTACGCAACAACAGGCAACATTTTCATTGTCTGTAGTAAAAGAACGGTACACTTTGGCTTACAGCTACTAAGGCTATTTTCGTCAACTAGCAAGGTGCTACTCAACAGCATGATATGACCGTAGATGTTACCCTCTGTATGTATTACAGTATTAATGCTGTGTTGGTGCTTCCCAATGGAGCAATTCCGTTAGCGGAGCAGCAGGTACACACACGTAAAGCGTATGCGCAGTCGTGCCTTTTCCTTTTCTTTCTGTGTTGACAAAACGCACCGGACTACACCCTACCAAGCATTCCTCAATCTAACACCGTCACAAGAAATGAGCCAAGCTATCGGACAACCCAACCATCTCGAATTCGAATCCTACATTAGCAACTATACTGGTACGAATGAACACAGAAGCAAGATTTTTTGAAAGTTACGCGGTCAAAAACTAATTATTCCAAAAGGGCGTACTGCGATCGAACGAGCTATATTCATATCGAAACAATGCAACAGCCTCGAAGTTGAAGCACTCACATGGGCAGCAGCCGAAATCAAAAAGTCGACGCGCGACACTGAAAAATATTCAACTTGTATAAAAGCTTTAAACGTGGCATTACGTACTCGAGGCCAACCCACAGTCGAGTCTGACCAGACATGGATTAATACTACCAACCGAGAAAACAAGGCCAATATCGAACAACTGGAAAATGAGCTCAAAGGTGGAAAAACAATGCTCAAAGAAAATACACGGGTAAACAATATGTTTTGCTTACTATAGTATGGCTTGAAAGACTTCAGATACTCAATGTGTATACGATTTATGTAGGATGGATTAAATCGAATTGGTGAGCTTTATCATCAATGCGGTGATCTTGCGAACGCACTCAAATCCTATGTCCGATCCCGCGATTATTGTTCCAATAGTGAGCAACTCCTGGAAATGTGCTTCCGCGTCATCCAGGTATGTTGGACGTATACCTTTGTGTGGTCAGCATATGCTTGATTGCAAGTGATATGTAAACACAGTGGCTACCCATATGTTAAATGCAGCGATTTAATTTGGTATATGTACTCTGCCCTTTGTATACTATCAAAGGTCAATATGGATCAAGAAAACTATACACATGTCAGCAGCTACGTTGCTCGAGCCGAAGCCACACCCAACCTGCCGAAAAAAGACTTGGTTCAAGCCAAGCTCGACAGTTGCCGTGCTTTGGTCAGTCTGCATCAATACGAACCCTATGTCCATGCTGCCAACGCGTTTATGGGTGTATCCTTTGAAATGAACAATACATTCAACGCTGTACTGTCAGCCAATGACGTCGCCATGTACGGTACTTTGTGCGCTTTAGCCTCTTACAGTCGGCAAGAATTGCGTAACAAGGTTTTGTCTAATTCAGCATTCAAGAGTTATCTGGAACTGGAGCCACACATGCGCGAAATGATTGATACATTTTACAACTCAAAATACGCCTCCTGCCTGGAATTACTGGAAAGTTATCGAGTAAGACTTGTTCCACTCTCTTTTATTATCGAATATGGGTGGCCTAACTAACTTTAGATACGAATAATGGTGGCAATTGTCATTGGTAGAATGATTTCTTGCTAGATATTCATCTGGCACCTCATATTCCCAAACTTTTCCAACTGATCCGTGAGAAAGCCATGGTGCAATACTGTATACCCTTTTCCACAGTCGACTTGAATCGTATGGCCACGGCGTTTCATACAGATGTGGCAACATTACAAAACGAACTCACCGAATTGATTGGTCGCGACCGTCGTATTGCTGCTCGTATTGATAGTCATCAAAAGGTTGGTGGTCAAATTCACTCCTAGGATCATAGGCACAGGACAACCTGGCTAATCTAATCATACTACAAAAATCAGATCTTGTATGCCAAGAAGCGCGATCAGCGTCGTCGAGCCATGAAGCATTCAATGCAAGCAGGCACCGACTATGAAAAGTCGAGCAAAGCATTGATACTGCGTTTGAAGTTGCTTAGTGCCGACATGATTGTCAAATAAAGAAATCTCTGTATAGATGCGTTACATAGTTACTTTCCAATTACACAAAACCCAAGAATTGCATAATTTGAATTGCTCCTGAGACATTTGTTGCTATTAATACTTGTAATATTACGTTTGTATGCTTCAATTAGTTCATTTTTAGGGCTAATGTGGACCTTTCTACATCTCCTTCTTGTTTCGTATATATTTCTTACCTCTTTCACCCGTATTATACACTGATTGAACATTGCACAACGGGCATACACTATATCCTCTGTTGCCATTACCTTCACTACTTGTTCGTTTTAAACTATTTTGTGCAAGACATGAATATTAAAACCAGGACAGTGAACGTATAAGAATGAAATTTATGTGTCAAAAAAAAGAGGTGCACCCCTTTGACCGATGCATACAACGAAAATCACACTTTGCTGGTGGTTAAACGAGATATATGAAGCATATTGAACAGTTCTACTATTATTGATTCAAGCAATATATAAAAGACATCCTATGAGAGCACTGCATGCATTCTCCATTGTCTGAATTTAGTAATATTGCTCGTTCCTCATCTATCACGTAGCTACGTCAGGTTGACGATGTGCACACGACGCATTACACTGCTCGCCGCTTTTGCATTAGCTTTCCCATCGTCCGCCAATCAAAATGGATCGGGGCTACGAACATCTTACAATGCGTTGCAAAACGTATACGTTGTCATCCGCTTAGTACAGCGTCTTTTTCCTTCTCCTCTATTCTTTTCCTTACTATTCTTTTTATCTTTTTTAAAACTTGGCAAAGTAAAAGAAAATATGGCAGACGAAAGCGTTGTAGCACTTGGTCAGAGATTCCAGCAATTGCGTGGCCGACCTGGCAAGTACGGAGGTGGTGAATATGACGAAGCGATTGATTCACCTGAAGGTGAGAAATTCAAAGTCATGAAGGTAAGAAAACGCGAAGAAACCGTGAGAAGAGAAGAGATATTTAAAAAAAGAGCTATTTGTGAATAGCAAGGAATGGACAGCATTGACATTTGAGGTTGAGTGGTATTTTAGGCATTGGGTGATCAACTTGGATTACCTGGTACACCAGCTGCCGACCTTCTTGCTCGCTTCGGTAAGCCAGACGAGCTGACGCCGTCCTTGCAGTCTCAAGGTGGCGGCGGTGCTGTTCCGCTTATGCCAGGTAAGAGGCGGACGGTTTTATTGAGAGAGCTATCATGCGTAAAAGAGCCTGGTAACACACACCGAAAAAGGTATCGACTAAACATTTTCACAAAAGGTCCGACCATGGACGCCTCGGCAGCGACGGGTCAACAGCAACAGCAACCTCCATACTTTTTAGTCTACTACTGGCGTCAAAAGAGTGATTATCTTTATTTCAAGGCAAGTTTTTCATGAGGGAGGGAGAGAGAAGGTGGCCTCGTCAGTATATTTGTACAAAGAGTGAGGGCTGACAAACGAAATTTGCACTCGGTATTTTAGATCGACCCGATCAAGGAGACCGTCATTACTTCTGACTGGAACTTGGCGCCGGATCAGTAGTAACTATATTGATGGCTACTCTTAATATAAATATTACCCCCAGTCATTTTGTCCTAAGTCTGTCTTTTTTCCACTGTAAAAACCTGGGTTAGAGCAACGAATAATAAAAGAGAGCTTACTACTGTCTTTTGCCGCAGCTACTGCTCTTCGTGATGTATACGGGAAATTGAATCGGAATTATGCTAGTACCTAGTAAATGCGAGATGACACCTGTCATTTCGCTTTAGTCGCTTCGCTTAGGTGTCGCGTATCCACTATTCTGAGCTGTTGCTACCGACGTATTTATGTATATATTGTACGATATGTACACACACAGAAGCTTGTAGAACTATAGCAGCAACGGTCAATAACAAATAGTACTCGTCAGGATATGTTTACTGTTACTCTTGCCTCTTATTCTATTCGTGTTTCTCTTCCCTTAGTTCTACTGCGACTGGCAGATTCTTCGGTTGATATAGAGCCTTTTTACTTGCTCTTTCCAATAACGCCTCTCACCTAATATACTCTTTTCCGCTAGGCAACTAGCGACCAACTAAAAAACGAAAACCACAACTATGCGATTGTGAAAATCGCTTCGCGTGCGGTATAACCTTACTGCGGAAAGTGTTGGGGTTAATGGTATAGTCATGTCCGTATGGATACTCTCATATTATATAATGGCATTTTGATATTATGACACTTTCGGCTCATCAATAGTATGAACAGCTCAGACAAACAGAAGGAGTTTCTTCCTCTTATACGTATGTAATTAGAGCGTATTTTCAAATATTGCTTCCGGTATTATAGACATCTTCTAACATTTTGCTCTTGCCACAGCAAAATAAGTTGGAGTGGGTGTATAATAGCAAAACCAACATAAATGCTATTCTGTGACAATTACACGATATCGGCTTTGTTCTTTTATGATACCTCAATTCATGAATACGCTCTGGATAATGGACCTTTTCGGCGCGACACTCGTAATACCTACAACCCTACTCTCACACATTAAAAACCTGCATATGGTATATAAACTTAAGCTCCAGTATTTCGTTTATTTACATACCTCACACATTCTATAAATATAACATCAAGTTAATAAATAAATAATGATGTATCATACTCGTTATTATGTAATCGGCATTACACGAATGTTGACATCGACCTACTTGAGCAATTTTGGGTTGATCGCTTCAGTCGCAATCACTTCGTTTCCTAATCCACGCCCTGGTTGCCAAAATATTTCTCTAAGCAAGATCACTGCACATAAATGTGGCGATTACATGTTTATTGGCAACGCTGTGCTTTTTATAATATGTGTGTGCATCGACCACTTATACACCCGTGTGGCAGCGGTCATTTATCCGAGTTTCAATCATACCTTCTGAGTAGGCGCTAGTAGTTGCCGCTGGAAGCGTGGTGGTGATTTTGAACAGACATGTATAGATACCAGCGATCCTTCGTGTTTGAAGAGCTTAGAGAGAGAGAGGCATTATTGTCAGTTTGGAAATTACTTGTAATGAGACCTGGCGATGGAGGAGATAACAGCGTTATTGTCAGACACTTGTTTTCATTGAAATCATGCATCGTCTCGTTAGAGCGCATTACACACTCGAAATTCTGAACGCGTGATACGTTAGAATAGGAAATTGGTTTACTGTACAGTACCTTTGGAAAGAGCACTGTTTACGTAAGCGGTACCTTAGATCCAGCCATTGAACTGCCAATCGACTACTACTTGTTTCTGATGATTCAAGTTATCGAAAGGTGAAGATGTAACGATAACTTTATACTTGGCGAAGAAGGAAGGCGACCAATGTACGGTCTTCAATACGATGATGGGCAAACACTACACCCCATCAAATCAACAGCAATTCGCAGCAATATTGAAAACAGCAACAAAGGAGACTAATATATAAGGATTATCTGATAAGACAAGATGGCGGCACCTTGATTTCCAGCACGTAAAACTTCTCATGGTGGTAGAACTACAACTATACGTCATTTACGAATTGGCTCGGAAACCAGCGGCAGTAGCAGTTATAGGGGCTGCGATGCTTGCGATGACGAAACACCATAAATCCATGAGCGAACAGCTGCCGCAGTAGTTGCATCGGTGGATGTTTGAGCATCAGCAACAAGAAGCCGCAGCTTCTCGTCAAACGAATATCACTATTGAAACCTATTACGATTTTAACACCTCTACAATATACATTTATTTAACAGCTCCAGCTCTCGGTTCTTCACTTAGTGTACTTATAATGCACGTTTAAATATCACTATTAGCTAACCATCATGTTTACTTTAGATTACAACTAATCATACTAGAACATCGGACTACTGTACATATCTTGTTGTTTACGTGATATTGTATGCGGTTAACATAGCTAATTCAACAATCATCGATGTAATAATGCATAGACTATGTAACATAATGAATACTATAAGATATCAAAACTGTTGCACATTTGCACTATATAGTCAGGCATTTTCTGCTTACTTAGGATAAAGTTTGAAAAAATCTCTAACATAGCATGATGTTGTTGCTCTGAGATATAAACGCCTATTCCTAATCATTCCTTTAGTAGTAGCAATCGAATTGTTTGGCTATGCATAATACGCCCAAGGATAACTTGGTGCAAAGTCTTATATTCTTGGCTCTTTCACTGGTATTTATGTTAAAGTTAAAGGAGGAGCTAGCTGCAAAGGAAGGAGCGGAAAAGGTGAAAGCAAAATGCAGGGTATAAGTAAAGGATAGTACATCATCCACGGATAGAAATGATAACCATATATTGGAAGGGGTTCAATAGATCACTTTCTTCTTGACAAAGGTAACAACTCATTGGAAACTATTAGGAGCATTTTATATGGTATACTTTTGAAAGAGACGTCGCTAACGATCTATTGTCGAGTACTATTCCTACAGTTACAAGAAAAGCTTTGTCCTCAACTCAGGAGATACTGATGATATGGTTTTTCATGCTGCCAAATATGTAAAGTAAGTACACAGAGTCCGTGCATCATGCAAACGAACTTGACGATCTACACAGCTACTCGATGAGTTGTTTTTCTACCTAAACATGATTACTACATGCATCTATATATCACTTTCACGTACGGAGTCGTGTACTTTCGAGATGCTAATATTGGCGATTACATTGAGAATCCAACGTAGTATACATGATGTATTTATGTTGTGAGATCGCAGTGTTGCAATTACCAGCTCATATACGCGATACGGATCGTCATAGTAATATATTCCTGTGCTACGTGCATGGAAAGTTAAAAAATATCGAAAATAAGGAGAGCACATTATCATCGTCAGATACTATCAAATGGAAATAAATGAGGGCACGCTTTTGTTTATACAACTTTTCGTTCCCCTACTGTCGAAAGATTATACAGAGGCTTGCTTCTAGCTGGATGGGCTTGCCCTGTAACAACAGATATGTAAATCATCTATATTAGGCTATTTTATCCCACATGACCAAGTTTTGTTCGTGGGAATCTAGTTTGTCTTTTACCCTTTCTGTCATTATTGATTATTGGATAAGCGCTGAGGAGAAATAACCCTTTTGTTCTTCCGAGGAAAAAGGAAGCTCAAAGAGGAGCTTTGGATGATGATACGCGTCGAGCGACATCGTGCGGGAATGTAAGGTTATGACTCGATAAGAAAAGACCAGGAGGGCCGCTCAAAAAGCTGTGGTGGTGACAACGATGGCTTGATGCGCTGCTTCTCCTACACCTTTGCTGCATATTTTTCGGGATAGTGTATCCGACAAACAGACAGATCGTTGCATATCCTTTCTATATTTGAAAACAGCAAGCGTTATAGCAGTAAAAATAATGATGATTGCGATCAACTTAATTTGTGAGATATTATTGAGTATTAATGAGGATGATAGTACTGTCACTCATCTTCATTACATGATTTACAGTCATGGTGTGTCGTTACCATAAGTATAATATTGCAATCTCTTCACTCATGTACAGTGACTAAAATAACTGGACCACCTATAGAAAAACAAATATTGACCGAGCGCTACTATGGGATTTAGTGTTTTCATAAGTTGTACGTAGTAGACGAGGAATAGAATCAAAAACAAATACTAAACATTGTTGATTGCTATAGAAAGCATTTGTTTATTTTTCCGATTATTAAATATATCCTTTATGGGACTCGAAGTGTATGTACATGCCGAAAGGAGGGTGAAACCGACATGGATCATGATGGTGAATGATAGAGAAGCGCATCTACGTGGAAACACAGGAAAGAAATGTGAGGTGTATGCATTGCATGCATGAACTAAATGGGACAAGGTTCATTAATAGGGCTGTTCAAAAGATACAAAAATATATAAAGAGAAAACATACTGAAAATGGAACGGCGTCAACTAGGCAACACATCAATCAGCGAGCAATCACATTCTTTTTTCATCGGCAGAGTTTTAATCTTTGTTCCTAGTCTGCCATCATCATCATCATCATCATCATCATCACCATCAAGCACTTTGATTATTAGTATGACACGACGACTACAAAGCTCAGCTACACATTATTGCCATTACCACAGCCATCATCACAGCTACCATTTGACCAACAACAGCCATCAGATGTCCAAGAGTAAAAGTAATGCTATCAGTCATGGTAGCAGTATCGTATCTCGGTGGCTATATAAACTCATCGGTACGTGCTGCATTATGGTTATCGAAGTTGTTACTCCGTTTTGCGAAAGCAAAACTTTAGACCCAAATTCTAATTTTTTTAAACTTTGCACAGCAACAGGTCCGTCTCCAAGGACACCTCACCATTACCATCACCACAACAGTAACCATCATCAAAAATCGCATCCGACGACACTGCTCTCCAAAAGTTCTGTCACCTTTTCCTCTTCAAACCTTTTCTCTCACTCGTACGATTTCGACCACCAACCCGATTCTTGGAATAGCGCAATCTCCACCACTGTCACTGCTGCGTCTGCAGTTCCACCGTCGCCATCAGTAGAAGAGCACAAGTGTAAAACCAACAACGAAAATAACAACAGCCACGTTGCTTCCCGACTTGCTAGCCAACTCAGCTCCTATCCATCGTCGTCGTCGTCGTCTTCTTCTTTTTCTACTTCTTTAATTCATACCAATAGCCTAGAGTGGGATATTATGCCAGCACCAAAACTTACAGATCGTCGACCTGATACAGTACCTGTGCTAACAGAAGATATAGCTGACCAGGTAGGTAAAACTTACAAAACACTTGATAAAAAACGGAGTTTTCCGTTCCCATTTCATGCAGAAAAGGAAAAAGTAACTCTGTGGATTGTTGACAGCTCAAACCATACCTTCCACGGCGGTTCCGAGTGGCTCCTCAATGGACGTTGTTGTATAGCTTGGATCAGCACGGGGTAAGCTTATCAACGCTTTATCGCCGAGTGCGCAGCAATAAAGGCCCGTGCTTGCTGACCATTAAAGATGCGGATGATCAGGTAACGAAAACCGAAATCTAGTTGTGCCAGGTCCCGGTGTCTTTTGCCTAATTAAAATCGAATAGGTCTTTGGTGCATTTTTAAATGAAACGCTGAAATCAAGCCCTTCCTACTATGGCACAGGGGAATGGTATGGCTGTGTGTGTAGAGTATACGGACGAAAGAGTTAAGCTAACAAAACACAACACTTGTCATACATAGCTTTTTATGGAAGAAAGATCCAGAGACGGGGCGATGCAGAGTTTATGCTTGGACTGGCAAAAACGAGTACATGATTTTGGCCGAATCTGACTTCATTGCAATAGGTGGAGGGTAAGTTAACATAAGCAATAGATGGCGGGGGTGACGATCCATCCCATTCCTGCGTTCTTTCTATCAAGGTTCTCTGTTTATTAATCGACTTCTTTGCGGTGGCGGTCGTTATCTTTCCCTAATTTAGCGAAGGCAAGTTTGGATTATGGATCAACTCCGATCTAGAACGTGGCCACAGTGAACGATGTCCAACATTCGAGAACGAAGCGTTGTCCATCACGTCAGAGTTTGACTGCATCCAACTTGAGGTGTGGGGGTTCCGCATCTGATGCACCGTCCTTTTCAATAGACACCCGTACTTACTCATCCTTTCTCCTTTTCTTTTGGACCACCAACCTTTGCATATATTCCCCCCACCCCCAGCACGAGCCTTCATCCATCCATCCATACAACGTATTTATCGACCCCACCCTATATTCTGCAAAGAATCCTTCCCAGGGGAGGCAACGCATCATTCACGCACCACATCAATAAAAGCAAACGTGCACTTCATTCACTTGGGAAATGCTCACGCCTTATTTTCAATCTGCGGAGGGACTGCAGAGTAGACAAAGACCGCTACTAGTCATCAAGAAACGCCAATACTGCTGCTGACTTCCATCATAACGCTATGTCGTTTTTACGTGTCCGTTAGTAAGCTAACTGTGCTTAGTAATGGGTCGTTTGGCAAAAGACGATGACAAACAAAAACAATTCTTGTACTTATAGATTTTTCAAACGTGAACGTGAATTCAAGTGACTTTCACCAAGGAACACGCGCAAAACTATGGTTTCTCAAGATAAAAATTGCCCGCACAGCAACGCCAAATTCGATAAGGTTCAAAAAAAAGATTAGAAGAAAAAACGCCGAGTCGGGCAGAAAAGCATCTCACAGGAACCAGTAAGCAGGAAAAGCAGACTCATGTTCAAAACGGTTGTTACAGAGATATCCAACGAGAATGAGCAGATGAATTCCTTGTTCGCTACCACTACAGTCATGAATAACCCATTGACTATGTTGTTGGGCTTCGTCAGCAACTTATCAGCAGCGTATTAGTTTAGAGCAATAACGCGCGTCAAAAGCATTTAGGCAAGATGGGATGCGTAAGCGTCGGTGTCTTAATTAGGAGCAGAGACAACGTTTTTTCCCATATGCGTCGTGCACGTAACACCCCCCTCCCAACTTTTGGTCTCGGCATAAAAGGATTGGTGCAACAAAGAAAGCAAGAAAGTAATGAAGCTTTTTAGCTCTGACTTTAGTCGCGCTCTCTTTTGTTGACATAAGCAGCAACAGGCTATCGATCGGATAGGCAAAAGCTTAAGAAATACCCGAACGAACGAAGGCGAGGAAAAATAAATTGCGATTCTGATTGAAGGCCGAAACAGGTGAAATTCCCCGCTCAGGGTCAGCTCTACTAAGCAGCAGTAGCAGCAGCAGCAGCAGGTGTGGTGGTGGTAGTCGTCAATGCGATAGATGAGATCATTTACAGTGGAGCCAATCCCTTGAAGCCTATATTTTATCCGATAACGTCATGCGAGAGAAGCGATTGTGTGTGTGCACGAACAAAAAGCCCCCAGTGTTTTCCCGCAATAACCCGCAGAAAGAGAGAAGGAGAGGGCCTCGCAAAGATTAGCTATGCCATAATCGAAATGAATAAATCCGATAGGGCCGGTGGTGCGCAAAAGCAAGCAATCCACCAATCGCATTTGCCAGGCTGCGATGGACCATTGACCCACTGCACCCCCAACGCGCACACAATCCTGTTTGCCCTTCTTTGTCAGCCAAACTCAGTTCCAACTTTTTCCTTCCCGGTTCTTTTGGACGTTTTCCGCTCCTCCTTTTTTTATTCTTGCTCTTCCTCTCTCTTCTGTTTTTCCTTTTGTTTCTTTCATATTCAACAAACAGCACACTTCTCCTCCCTGCCCTCGTCTTGCGTATCCAACAATCTAAACAGCAGCATGTCCAATCCAGTACAGGAAATCCAGATCCAGGTCGCTAAGGAGCTCAAGGGCTTCGCCACTATTGTTGGTAATGCCACGTTTTTTTAATTGTCACAAAAAAAATCTTTCGTGTCGGAACGGACCCAGTCACTCCCCGAAACCTTACGCGTCTGTCGTCGTCGTCGTCGTCGTTGCCATGGTGTGGAGGGCCATACAGCGGTTGGGATGGCGACGGATTGATTGGGAGGGAGGGACAGTGTCGGCTTCGTTGACAACCGAATCGCTGCCGCTGTAGCTTGGAAGGAAGGGAAGGCTCATGCATATCGTGTTTGTTTGTATTAGTACTCGGTGCCTCGGGTGACTTGGCGAAAAAGAAAACATACCCCGCCCTTTTCAAGCTGTTCAAGAATGGCTTCTTACCCCAGAACTCGCACATTGTCGGCTACGCACGCACGCAAATGACACACGAGGACTATCTCGGCCGTGTGACCCAGTACATCAAGGCTTCCGACGACGAACTTGCACAATTTAAGGCCATCACAAGCTACCATGCTGGCAAATACGATGAGGACGCGTCTTGGCAGTCGCTCAACCAATACGTAACCGAGAACGAGAATTCCCGTGGCTGCGTTGCTGGTCATCGCAACCGCGTATACTACATGGCCTTGCCACCCTCTGTCTTTGTCCCCGTCGCAAAGGGCCTGAAGAAGAACGTGTACGCCGAGGATGGCGTCAACCGATTGATCGTTGAAAAGCCATTTGGTATGGACACAGACAGCTCAAACGACCTTGCACGCGAGCTGGGTGCTTTGTTCCCTGAAAACGAGGTAAAGCAAATCGTTTTGGATGGATACGGACTTCTTCATTTCGATTGGATAAAAGAATAGATCAGAGAAAGAAGGAATGCCACTGACTGTTTCATTATCAGATTTACCGCATCGATCACTATTTGGGCAAGGAAATGGTCAAGAACGTGATGACGATGAGATTCTCCAACATCTTCTTTAGCCAGATCTGGGACCGCAAATACATTGATAACGTCCAGATCACGTTCAAGGAAACGATTGGCACTGAAGGCCGTGGCGGTTACTTTGATGACTTCGGCATTCTCCGGGATGTTATGCAAAACCGTAAGTGCGCTTTCTGCTCTTTGATGGGGAAATCTCAGCTTGTCTTTCAGGGTTAGTGCTCAAATCACCATATGCCCTGCTTCACGATAGATCTGCTCCAAGTCTTGTCACTAATTGCAATGGAACGTCCTATCTCGACCGAGTCCGAAGCCATCCGCGATGAGAAGGTCAAGGTGCTCAAGTGCATCCCACCCATCTCGGCGGATGACGCCTTATTGGGTCAATATGTGGCAGCCAATGGCAAGCCAGGATATTTGGACGACGACACTTTGAAGAACAAGCAGAGCCGCACACCCACATTTGCGGCATTGACCTTGTGGATCCAGAACGAGCGCTGGGAAGGTGTGCCCTTCATTATGAAGGCAGGCAAGGCTCTCGACTCGGCCAAGGTCGAAATCCGTATCCAGTTCCGCAACGTTGCTGGTAGTCTTTACAAGGGTGCCCCTCGCAATGAACTCGTGATGCGGGTGCAACCGCGGGAAGCCGTTTACATCAAATTCAACAACAAGCAGCCGGGTCTTTCCTACAGTACGATCCAATCCGACCTCGACTTGTCGTACCACGACCGCTTTACGGACATGCAAATCCCAGACGCCTATGAATCACTCATCCTGGATGTCCTGCGCAACGACCACTCCAACTTTGTGCGTGACGATGAGCTCGAGACCGCCTGGAAGATCTTTACGCCCTTGCTGCACCAGATTGACCAGCGCGCTGACTTGCCATTGCACACGTATCCTTACGGCTCGCGTGGTCCTGCTGAACTCGATGCCTTTGTCCGCAAGTATGGCTATGACCGGTCAAACGCAAACTACTCGTGGCCCGTTCAGAGCGTCTCCCATGTCAACAGCTCCAACAAGCTGTAAATTTTGTCCATAGTCCAACATAGTCACACTCACCCGCAACCATCACGACCACTCATACACACACACACATCTCCACTCTCCATTCATCCCAATATGTACACACTCCCAGAAACAATACCGCGTTATGCCAAAGAGGAAGATTCTCCCTTATCCCGCTTTTCCCAACCTATTCTTGTTAAAAAAGCCCCATTAGCATTCTATTTCTCTGGAAACAGTTCTTTTATTCCCCGTGATTTCGTAACGCATCTTCTTTTCCTTTCTTCTTTTAATATCTAGTGGCAAAAACCCAGTTTTCTTTATCTACTAAGAAAGTCCACGTGTGTAAAATTGCTGCTGCACAAGGAAACAGATGTCGGGCTTGATGATCTTTTTGTGCGACCCAACAATCATATGATGGGGTTTTCCTTATCTGAACCACCGCACCAAATGCCTCATTTACGCCCCTTCACCGTCACTGCACACAAACGGTGAGTCATTAATTGACAGCATAAAAAGATGACTACCAGGACGTCACTTGACAAAAAGATGTTACGTAGCAGTCATTGTACAATCCGAAGCTCAAGCAATGAAGGCTTGTGACATGAAGGTGGAAAAGCAGAAACTGTATTATGCAAGCAACGTGATCTAATGGGCTATATACGCAAATGAGCCAATCTCAAAACCTTTAATTTTGTTGAGTTATAAACATATCTCGTAGCAACGATCTGTTAGCATGATGATGTTGTCAGCAAAGATATAAAGAAAGAAGATCGTACGCTAGGTATGAGTCTGTACTACATATGTAGTCACGAATATTCATCGCTCGCTAATTGTTTGTTTACGTCGACGCAAAGGAGAAACACTTGGCTCTGCCAAGCTGTGTAAATCACATTTTACTTGGCTGGCGAACAGCTAATGTTTTTGTCTTGGCTCGTTTGCAATAAAGTTTGAACACCAAAGCTTTAATATGTATCAGCATTCTTTCATTAGTTTTTATTTCCTTCGCACGAGTAAGTATATGAGTACAATCTTTCTCTTGCAACCAGATGAAAACGCAGATCATCACAGACGCGAAGTTACATATACGACGGCTGAAACACTATTACTTACGTAGTAAGCTGCTGTGATCTACGTTAATAGATTTTGACGCCACCAAGCGCATCTCCCTTTGACCTATGATGATATAGACGACCAGTACCCGTCAGATGTGTATGGACTTGGACCTTATTAGCTAGCAGTATTCGTTCCACGACTGCATACCGAGCTTCTTGTTAAAACATCCGTTAATTAGAAAATCTGAAGAACGGAGTACGTACCAATTTTTCTTGTCGAAACCTATTGATTTTTCATAAAGCTTCTTAGGCTATCATGATATGATGCCATTCCTTTTTTCACATGTCTTTACATACATAAACTGTCATACATAACTACATAACTGTCACGATTATCAGCTCATATAACGAGCGAAGTAACAGTTTAATTGTGCATCTACAAGACGTTTTATTCAATCCATGGAAAAATGCAGAATTGACCTATTCGCTTGAAAGCTTTCATTAGCATGATTCTCCGCCGAGGAAAGATTAATACAGTAATGCCATTTTTTTCATTCTTTGATAGTCTTTACATTCATTCTGACCACATATACTTCTTCATCTACTAGAATACCGTTTCGATGATGCATACAATACTCGGACCCGATAACATTAGCAGCATCGTGTCGACGAATATTTGGACCAATAGTTGTAACGCGAAGCGGCTACTAGTTCGAAATCTTGCGCGGAGTATATGACGATGCGCCACTTTAATTTTGGGCTCACAGTAACACGCAGGCAGGCAACAGTGGTGGCGCACCAGATGCATATGTCACACAGTATGCATTGGACATCGTTTACTTGTACAATAATACGAGCACCAAGATGAATAGCGATTGTTTTGACCCGGCGACCTGTGCTAAAAACACATATGGTATCGAGAGATACTGTACTTGTCATGATTTACTAACGAGCGCTTGCTCTATCCATATTCTGTTCTGGTAGCACATAGACCTATACAAATGAATTGAGTGACAGATGCGTACCACCTTTGTTATAAGCTGCTGATTAACTGAGCGCTTCTTCCGTGTGTGCTTATGGTATGTAGCGCAGTAGATTTACCTGTATTCGACCGCCTTGGTAATGCGTAATTCTCCGTAAGTAGTATAGCAATGGCCCTGGAATACTTAATTGAATGAGTACAGTCGACCCCGTTAACGTCAACCCTCAGGGTACCAGCAAAAGTGTTGACCATATCGAGGGTTGAGACACCGGGGCTAGAGAATAGGCAAAATCTTTAACTGCTAAATTTGAAAGGGTACCAGCGAATCGGTTGACGCTATCGGGGGTTGACGTTAACTGGGGCTGACTGTAGGCAGTATTATCATTAATAAAGACACAGCACCAAAATGCTTATACCGTATAAGGAATAATAGACAAGTTTATTATTATATAAATAAAGGTCAAAAATATGAATCCATACAAGAGAGAGAGCATATATCATAAGATGTGATACTAAAGTAGAGGATTGGAGCAATACTTTACAAAAATTCGATATGTTTTAACCATTACCAATGGATATAATCGGTAGCTTCACAATCAATAGGGTAAGCATCCAAATCGGGGTTATCCTCGCCAGTGCAGCAGGAAATGAAAATGCTCTTCTCCATGTCAAGCAAGCTGTCAGTCTCCCGGACAACACATTTTGAAGAGTCTTGTTCGAGAATCTTATAACCAAACCACTCGCAGCATTCTTGCGTGGTACCGGCAGAGCTTCCTTCAGGACATTGATAAGTGCAATTGTTATGATAGGGGCTATAGGTCGACTTGCACTCAAAATGGTGAGCATCAACATCCGGAGTTTCTTCGTCGAGGCAGCATGACAAGAAATCGTTTTTGTCGGCGTCCCGGTTGTCATCAGTATTCAGCACAGTGCATGTTGGTTGATCATTGAGTTTCGTAAATTCGTATGGCGAGCAGCACTCTGCCGTCTTGTTAACAGAATTTCCGGGGCACTGATAAAAGCACTTGTACCATGATGGGTCTTCGGCATGTGTTCCACGTACATATGCGAGCGCCAAAAGAGCTGCAGCACCGAGAGTCTTGGAGAAAAGCATTATTGATGGTATCAAGTTGGGTTTGACTTAAAAAAGAAAGCTGGTGTCCATCGGTTCTCACGAACTGACGCTTTTATAGTTTTCTCCCTTCAGATAACTCTCACTCACAACTATATATCGTGCGTATATATTCAAGGGGGCTGAGGAAGCGCGCGAGAACATTAGCGCGGAGATGTATACCGCTATACACTGACAAAGGAATATACCAGGCTACAGTTGCACAACTGTATATTACAACCGAGGATGCTGACACTTGTACAAAAGTCGTGAGCGTTCAAATCTAAACGTAATTGGGTTAAAAATAGTAAAAAGACTTGAAGGGCGTTTTGAAGCTGTGGAGTTTGTAGTGGAAAAGACGTACGACGGACGACGGGAAGTTTGAAGAATTAGTGATGTGTAAGTGTGTGGATGTTGTTTCACAGGTCAGTGGAAGTTTATATTTGTCATTTGAATGAGCAACTACATGTTGTATTATATCATCATATTAATAAGGTGCACCACTCCACACAACAGCACTGGAATTCCAACGTGTTTTCGAGCAATATAGATATTATAGGAAAAGAAATGCTCGCTTATAAAACAAATTGGGTCGTATATAACGTTCGAGTGTACCACCTTAACACGCTAAGGATTTTGTAATGCTGTGGATGGTGGTATCATCCTGAAATATCGGTCGCTTACAGGCTTCCTGTAAATATAATGGTCATTCTCACTGTATCAGGTTGTGATGATGATTATTACTCATTAAAATAATATAGTGTAACACGTTTTTAAAATAAGACAAAACGGAGAATATATCTCCTTTTTAAGAAAAAATGTAGTACGACGTGTCTGACTAAAAAAAGGTATATACCTGTAAAAGTTGCTTACAGCCAAGTACCAAATGGATACTACAACGTTGGAAACCTCTACTCCGAGGTCCCTTGTAAAAAGCGTTTTACGGAGCAAGATATGAAAGTTAAAGGAACTATATAGCTATTTATTGCCGCCTTTTTCAAGCGTTGCTCTCTTCATAATAAATACATGTTTCTAGAGCAAGCACAATATCTTTGATTCATTACAGGCAGACATCGGAGAGATCACGTGAAAAGTTAAGCCTCATCCTTCCTTAGCTTACTATTTTATGCCAGATATAATACCAATTTGGTATGATACACGACGCGTGAATCTTCAATGATAATGAAAGGTAGAATGCTACTCAGGTCCTGTATACAGTAGCAATATTATTTTATACTGATGTGAGAGCACAAATAAACAAATGCATACTTCATACGATCTGTTTTTAAAAAGTTAACACGACGTAGTACACCGTTGAATCAAACATCATTTACAGAATCTGTAGCTGTCGTTGGAGGAGTGGGGAACTCGTTCTTAGTTTATCAAGGGAAGATACACACGCATCATAGCGTAGCAATCTACTAGTATGATTCACGGTGTGCTATAGACCACCCTCATGGTTGCTTGGCAGTATTGATATAGACATGATGGTGAAGACCCACGTTTACAGCGTCATTACAGCGAAAATAAAAAAAAATATTTAGATAAAAATGTCACGCGAAATATGCACTGGTTGCTTGAAAATTGTTGTAATACATACATCGATCGCATGTATAATATGGAAGATCTATTTTTGCATCATCATCGTCATCGTCATCATCATGACCAATAGTGTCTTTTGGTCTAAGTGCTGCTTTGTTACATAATATTGAAAGTCTGAGAAATAATGGCTCTTCTATGACGTATATATGATGGATAATAAGCGGCTATACTATTCATTTTCCCTCCATCGTACGTTCAATGATTTATGCTCCTGTGTGATTTTTCAATACTGTCGACCCCATTAATTTCAAATACGTTAAGCCTTCATCTGGACTCGATTGAGAATCCAAATTAGCAAAAATATTCAATCTATTTTCGTTCATTTTCACACCCCATTAGTTTCACAGAAACTGAGGGATATTGGCTTCAGAACCAACTGGGATCGTCTGCCTGTATCGTGTTTGTGCCATCGCATTTTTTGATGATTTAAGAGTATAACAGCGAATGTCGAAGGATTTTTATCACGCAGCGCCGCACTTCTATAGCACTTACTGTATTAATAATAATGTTTGCTTCACTATGTATATACACTCAGGTAGCCGCTCCATGTATCCAGCACAACTGCCCCTGCTTGTCTTTTTAAAATGAAAAATAAAATTGCCCTACTTTATCTATCATTTCCTTGTAGATACTGTTTTATTTCGTATGCATCGCAAAAAGGCTATAGTGTAGATCAACCCGTGTTATTCGGGTAGTGATCAAGTTCATCGATATTAATAATTATATACTTCTCACGAAAGATGTAGTTTATAGAGTTTATGCTTGATGTATAGCTTTGTATACAAAAGATTTCAAGTAAGACGAAATAAACTCAATTTGCTAAATTGTAAGGCCAATTCAGGAAAAAGAAAACAGGAAGGAGATCTTTTAATGTAAATAGGATTTTATGGAAAGCATATTTATGGTTATGAGAAGCAATAAAAATGACCTGAAGTTACGGAATTAATATTCCTATGTCTATTAAAGTTGTTCTCAATATATAGTGAAGAAGAGTAGAAAAATCACTTTGAAGTAAGAAACGGATTAAAAGCCTGTACCTGATACTAGGTTAATTTTCACAGCAACACGTTGATAAGTATATATAGATCCAGTAAGCAGCACGGTATTATCATATTAAAGTGCTCTTATCGGGAACATGGAGCTAGTAATGTACAGTACAGCACATTGTCAACATAGCTCAGTTGGTGGTCAATCTTAATTTTTCTTAACTATAGTCTGCGTTTATAGATACAGAAATCGGTAGGAATTTGCTTAATGATTTCGTCAAAGTAAAGGGTCATTGATCATAGTGTAGATTTAGGTTATAGGCATGACTTATCAACTAACGTCAGAACAGATATATTACTTTGTGTCTGACGGAAAAGTGGTCAATGTATACATACACGATCATTATTACGTCGTAGTGGTACAAAAGACTTTTCTTCATTTAGCTGAGAGCACGACACTTTACATTTCCACAGGCATATCTATAGCGTTTATGCCTCGCGTGCTCCTGTTTGATCTCGCTTTGTAACTATTTGGCTTCCACTTGGGGAAGTTGGATCTAGCGTACGTTCGCTGCTACTGTATGAAAAAGTGAAAGAATTCGCTGAGTTCTGGCGCGGCATTTCAGGTACGGTATACCTGCCAAAAAAATTAAATAAATTAGCGGAGCTGCCCTGCAGTTGCGGGACATTTATGCACTCGGCACATTTATGCACTGCTATGGAATGGCATCCAAGACAATGACAGGCAATACTTGAGAACTTTTCCCTCCACTTCTGTTTTGAAGTTTTAGGGCACAGTAGTACTATCAAAGGATTTCAACTGACGACAGCGGAGTTGCCTGTAACAATTTTTAGCACTCCTCCCACCTGTGGTGCTCACGGTTTTTCTCTGCACCAAACCAGAACGTCTTACAAAGCAACAATCAACACATCAGCCCACTAAATGATCAATAAGTATGTATGAAAGAGATTACGTAGCTCTAACAAGAGTACGTAGCTTTAGCACTTGCTAACACATTTGACATAGTAACAAACTGGCTTCTTACAAAAGAATCCTGAATTGCTCGAAGCATTGCCACTGAGCTTTGCTTTAAACAAGAGCCTTCCGAAAGTCTGGGGCACGACTTCAACTGCCCCTGATCAACGGTAAAAAGCGATAGGTAAGAGGCACAGAATACTTTAATGGTTTTTTTCTCTTATCCTTAATTTCTAGTAATTTCTTTTAACACGTTTTTATCAATGTTCTTTTTTTATCTCACAATTGCAGGCATGCATTGCTGCTTGGGACCAATTCTTCCACCCTTTTACTTTTTCTTTTAAACAGCTCATGTCAATAGACTTGCCCAATGTGTGCAGCGGCTTAAAGGTGCGCGCGAGATTGAGGGCTTCCTGCCGCACGTTCCGTCGTGCATGGCGCGTTGATATGAGCATGCTTAGTAGTCCTAAATCGTAACCGGCTCAAGTATATGTCCTCTGCGAGTATTCAGAGTAAGAGAGGACGAATCCCTACTTGTCCGCCGACCAGTGGCTGCGAACTTTTTATTTATTTGCTTCTAAGGAGCTCCAAGCGTGACTAGTCCTGCCCCTCTGACCGTGGCTAGCTGCGCGTGGGGCATTCTTAAACCATCAGGGAACCTTCTGCTGCTTGAGTACTCGCGTAGTTGTGTACTCCCAAGTGGGTTTGTGGACGCTGGGGAAGGGCTCGCCTCTCAGTTAGGAACTCTCTCTGCGATCTTTTTTTATTACGTTCATCTCTTCCTATTATGCCCTCTTTTCTGAAACGATGGCGCGGTCCCGAGCAGTGGCGCATCTTTAATTGCGCGGGCTGTTGTCTGGTGGACTTATCGACGAATGGTGTAGGTATCATGGAAAATCAGGAGTGTGTATGGAGTAGGATGATATGCTGGTCAGACAAAAATTAGGCTTGCGCGGTTATTTACTTTTTTCTTGTAGTTGCTGGAGATGTACCTCTCGACAAGTGAAAAGTTGGTGTGTAATGTAATTTGCATTGTGCCGCCATGCTGGCGAACAAGGGCTCGCTAGAACCATACCAAAAAAGTAAGCATTCCTGATGAGTATAATCGAGGTGGTATACGGGACATGGCCAGGTGGTTACAAAAAGCTAATGACCATTCGTTGATCATATCTAGGCGCTTCTTACGAATAACTCTACGTGTTTGGTGCTTTATCTGGTCTAGGCCCTGCTTAGAGTAGCTTTTATACAATAAAGTCTTTGGTCGATTATCATCAAAAGACGAGAACACATACAAGAATAAACAGACAAAGTATCAAGCGCACAGCGAGTGACGGTGTCGATCAAGGCAGGGTTCTTATTCTTTTTGCGTGGACCCGGTGCTGTGGATTTATCTAGCTTTGCTGAGAATCCCTAGCGCCATGGGAAGCGTGTGTCTAAGCATTGATATTCTTCCTTTGTATTGCGTACCCACTTACTTCTAGTGTTCCTGCAGTCCAATCCATCCGGTATATCACGGTTCTGGAAAAACCTGAAATAAAGGTGCCAGCTGACCAGCCACTTTTGATGTGATGCAGTCTGACAATATTGCTCGAGTGCGTTCTTTCGGTGCAGCTCCTTGTATGAAATTCATATTCTTCCCTATGTTCCATCAATGAACACACCCTGACCAGTCCAATATTTGGAGTTCAAATGAGGATAATTACCGAAGCCGCAGAATAACAAGCGTAGGGATTTCTACGGTTAAGTAGCCGTTTTTTATCCTCACTATAGCAATAACTATAAAAGGTGCTCATGATCTTTTATGACAAATTGTTGCGAGCAAAGACTGTGTAGGATTGAAGATGGATGATCTTCATTGTATAGTTTTATCCAATCAATGTAAGTCTATGGTGGGTTTAGTTATGTAGACGAGCTATCCTTAGAATCGGGAGACGATACTCATCTATTCCGCTCTTTTTGCGCGTTTGCTGCATGTATGATAGTAAAAAGCTTAACTGTTTCAATCGTTACTCTTATGATTTCAGGTACGATTAGTAATTTAAGTCTTCTTGTGACCATATTATGACTGTGATTCACCAGCCTCTCCAGAGCAATGTATTGTACAACACGATAAAGAGTCTCATTATCACTGCTACTCCGGCCGTGTTCTATCAAGAACTGTGAGCGAGCCCAGTGCTCCAGGCCAAATTGGGTCGGCGTGAACTAGTACCGGAGAGTCAGATCTGTGCGACAATGATAAACATTTTCTTTTTGTACTCCCCATCTCTCCCGATACCCATGAACCTTATCTGAATCCCATTTTTCAAAGTTTTCCCACGTTATTTACAAACTTGAGGTTGAGAGATATTAGAAAAAGCCGTTTTTTCTTTTTATATGATCTTCTGTTGTTCGTGCTTTATAGTAGAATGATAATAAAGGAAGAAAAAGTTGGTTTTTTATGATACATTTATACTACCGAGGTAGAGAACAAAAAACGGGCTGTTTTTTAAGTGTGTGTGTCTTGAGTGCGTGTAAGTATGGTTATACAGAATGCGAATAAAGATTTTGGAGGATGGATGGGTGGAATCACGAGATATTACAATGCATGAGATAGGTTTTCAAAAGAAAAAGAGAGATATGGCGGATGAAAGAGGGATGTATACAGAAATTTACTGAAGGTTGGAGGGGTAAGCGAAGCCTTCGATGGGAACAAAGTTCTCCTTGATGGCACGCGTGGAGACGAAGCGGGTCAACAAGGTCAAACTACCAGCCTTGTCGTTGGTACCAGAGGCACGACCACCACCGAAGGGCTGCTGGCCAACAACAGCACCAGTGCTCTTGTCGTTGACATAGAAGTTACCAGCCAAGTGACGCAACAAATTGGTACCGATGGTGATGTTTTCACGGCTGCGGGCAAACAAGGCACCGGTCAAGGCGTACTGAGTGGTTTCACCGATCAGCTTGCAGGTCTCTTCAAAGCTTTCTTCGTATTCGTAGACGGTGACAACAGGGCCGAAGATTTCGTCAACCATGGTCTTGGTCTTGGGGTTGCTGGTAGCAATGACGGTGGGCTGGATGTAGTAACCAACAGAGTCGTCAGTCTTGCCACCGGCCAAGATCTCGCACTCGGAGCTGGAAGCAGCGTAGTCAACGAACGACTTGATCTTGTCAAAGGCAAACTTGTTGATGACAGGGCCGGTGAAGTGCTGGAATTCGTGGACGGGACCCTGGGTGATCTTGGCGTGTTCGGCGACCAAGTACGACTTGAACTCCTGGGCCAAAGCCTTGGGGACGTAGACACGCGAAGTGGCAGAGCACTTTTGACCCTGGAACTCAAAGGCACCACGGATGGTCTGCAGAGCAGCGTGCTTCAAATCGGCCGAAGCCAAGTCGGGGTGCAAGATGTGGAAGTTCTTGCCACCGGTCTCGCCAACAATACGGGGGTAGCTCTTGTACAAGTCAATGTTGTTGCCAATGTCCTTCCACAGCTTGCGGAACACGTGGGTCGAGCCAGTGAAGTGGAGCGAGGCAAAGTCGGGGCTGCTCAAAGCGGCGGCGCAGATTTCCTCAGCGGGACCGGGGACAAACTGGATGACACCAGCGGGCAAACCGGCTTCCTCGAACAACTGGTAGACCAAGTAGTTGGAGTAGACGGCCGAGGGCGAGGGCTTCCAGAGCACAACGTTGCCCATCAAGGCGGGGGCACCGGGCAAGTTGCCGGCAATAGCGGTGAAGTTGAAGGGGGTCACGGCGAAAACGAAACCTTCCAAGGCGCGGAATTCGACACGGTTCCAAACACCAGCAGAGTTCTTGGGGGGCTGCTGGGTGTACAACTCTTCGGCGTACTTGCAGTTGAAGCGCAAGAAGTCGGCCAACTCAGCAGCAGAGTCGATCTCGGCTTGCCAGATGTTCTTACCCTGACCCAACATGGTAGCAGCCATCATCTGGTAGCTAAGATACGATACGCGTTCCTGATAAGCTTATCTCATCTTGCATCCCACTCGATTTCCTTTGGCCTCCCCTCCTTCCACCCATTCCATCCATCAATCAGGGCACTTACCGGTACTTGGAGGACAACAAGTCAGCGGCCTTCATGAAGACGGCAGCACGCTCGTTGAAGGGAAGAGCCTCCCAGCGGGCACGGGCAGCCAAGGCACCATCAATAGCCTTCTGGGTCAAGGCAGCATCACCCTCGTGGTAGGTGCAGAGAACGCTCTTGTGCTCGGAGGGGTTCAACTGCTGCGAGGTCTTGCCAGTGTAGATCTGAAATGGAGTTTGTCATAAGCCGAGTTAGTCTTCTTCCTCAAATGGTTCCCAATTCTCCATTCAATCAAGATGCTCTTACCTTTTCACCGTTGATGACGACGGGAACCTCGAAAGGAACCTGTGCACGCATCTCCTCGATGGCAGCCTGGAGCTTTTGACGCTCAACAGAGCCAGGGGCATACGAGAGCTATATACACAAAACGATATATTGTCAGGATACATCCCTTCACCGAATGAAACGCATCAACAAACAAGGGAAACACGACATTACCATAGGCTCGTTGTCGATGGCGGGAAGCTTGAACTGGGCGAGCGAAGGGGTTTGGAGCGAGTGAGCCATCTTTGGGTGAGAAGTTGTGTTTTGGTATGGAGGAGGAAGTAAAGGAAAACGAAAGGAGCGGTCGGTATGCGAGCTTCTTTTATACGTTGTACCTGTCAAACACAGAAAAAAAAGCAGTAACCAATCAGTGCAGGTGGTGTAGGATCGAGCGCTGAAGAAAGTTAAGTTAACTGAGATTCGGTCGATTACGGGGCCAGCGGACGGAGCGGTATCTGAAGATGACTGAATTAAGGTTTTCCGATCTGAAACAGCCGCCCACTCTCATTAGTCCACTGCCCTCCGCCTCCCCAATCTCGTTTTTACTGAAAGCGAAACTGTCTGTGCGACCCTGCTTGGTGAGTATAACAAGACGCGTCCCCACTTGTCTCCCTTGTTTAGCGCTTGGATGATAGACAACGAATTGATACGTATCTTTCTTCTTATCCCCCACCCACCTCCCACGCACACGTACACACATCCCAATGTGCAACGAGAAAACTTTGAAAATAGGAATGCCCAGCATTCTCAAAGGGAGAGGGGAAACCTTCTGTAATACAACATCTTCTTTTGCTGTGGCAATCACACACAGACACGACTTATTCTTTCGTTAATGCTCACTATCGACACTGTTTGTACTTCTATATCATTACGTAGCAGGCTTATTATTGAGATCGTAAACTTCGTTTAGTAAGCCAATTATGCGGTGCCGTTGCTGCTGTCGCTCCTCATGCCCGCGCCCTCCTATTACACCACCACCAGCGCTGTGTCCGTCTTCCTCATCGTCTTCCTCTTCTCCCTCGGGTTCCCATGAAACCACATTATGTGTAGTTCGTGTAAACGAGTCGCCTAGGTTGCTTGGCTCGTGTCCTTCTGGCACACCGTATCGGTTCAATCGCAATGTAGGCGACGGCTCATCTCTTGCCCGTCTGCTCTTTTGGAATTCCGAAATACGCGTGAGATACGTGGACCCTTCAATATCCGTCGGCTCCCAACCGGGGTTATTGGCCTTTGAGAACGTTTAGAAAGACAGAATACATGGTATATCATTAGGTTGAGTGCCATAACGCAAGAAAAAAAAAACCGATCTTCCTCGCTCCGCACACAAAGACATGATCATTTCTTTATCTGTCCTCTTACCTTGAAGTTCAAGAAACTCTTTTCCATCTTGCCGTCGTTACTCATCAAGTGCTCATCTTCTGCTCGAGTTTGTGCGCCGTACTTGGCATCACCATGTTTATTGAAATCGAACTGTGAAAAACTGCACACGTAGCCAAGTCCATCCACATGAACCGTAAACTCCCGGAATGCATCAATAATTTGCTCCGCACACGTCGGCAGCGAAAACCAGAGTACCAGAGGAGTGAAGATCACGCTCAAAAGCTCTTGCACAAACAGCATCGCCTTGTATGTAAAAAGCTGGCAGAATTGTCCTCGAACCTTATTGGTGTTAAGGAAAAAAAGAGTTAATGTGCAAGGCAAGATTAGGTTTTCTTTCGTGCCATGTGTCGCGTAGTACACATGTAACATGGATGTACGTTGTTGTTGTCGCTTATCTTTGAATTCTATATACTGCGATTCATTACCTCGTCCGTGTGTAACTTGCCACGCCATTCTTCTGGACAATAGTGGGTAAACTTCATGACTTGTTGCAACAGCTCTTCGGGTTCAAAGATCAAGTGCTCGTCCGGAATCATACCGCGACTCACAGCAAATACACCACCAAACAGGCCCAAGTAAAAAAGAATCGTGCCGTTTGGTGAGATCTCAAAGTTCAGTAACGCTTCCGAGTCAAACATGGTCACGACAAACAGCACCCCAGCAAACGATCCTGAAATGAACGCAACAAATCTTTTTTTTTTTTCGGGTAGAAAATATTTAGCAACATACATGATCACCGTCGATACTGTCACCATGAATACCGTTACCATAGATACGCCCACTCCCTTTCTTTGTCTCTGTTTAGCTTACCTAGCAAGAAGGGCAGTCTTTTCCTTTGGAAACTGGTCGACATATCTGTTTGCTAGACTGTTGCAGCTGCTGAGTCGAGCCTTGAAGAAATGGGGCAACTCGTTGAATTCACGAAACTTCCATTTCGCGTAAGGTGAAAACGCTCGCGTGCCGATTTCGCTTGGATTTTTGTGATATTCCTATCAAGAACAAATTGAAATAAAGCTCCGCATCAAAAACAACAGATCTATCCGATCCAACCCCACCCCCGTTCGTTTGCCCCCCGCCAAAGGACGACGGGACGATGTGTGGGAAATAGTGCGTATTCTGCACACACGCATACCGCAGCATTAGTACACCTACCTCGAAATACCGGAAAAAGAAAAAGGCAAGCAGGTACACCAAAATGAATGGTGCAAAGATAAAATTAAGCCACCCCATAAATACAAGTCGTCGACGGAGCCTACTCGTTCGATATATCTTAGCCTCATTTTCATTTTCTATCTTGCTTCCTGACCCCACTACAGTATTTTTACTGTCTCTCTCTTCCTTTCTTAAGGACTCAGACTCACACCATAGACATGCACAAATCAAATACATATACGGTAAATAGATCACTTACCCAGCCGCTAAAATTGCGCGATTCTTTTCATGTAAAAAGCGCTTGCGCAGCTGACCTCGTTCATCGAACACGTAGCTCAGCACACAGAATGCCACGTTCCATTCCAAGTCGCGAGTGAACAAATGCATGTTTCGTAAACCAGGCGAAGGAATCGTAATGTCCAAGGTACGTTTGTTGAATAGAGCAATCAGGTAGTTTTCTTGTCGCATGATCCGGCTCGTTACTGCATGTTCGTCCACACGATAAGGTGATGTACTGGCCGTGGTCGGATTGCTTTCATGGATATTGGTTATTCGTTCCAATACTGTTTGCCACGCTACAGTTTGGATATCTTCCTGAATTAGAAAAATAGTGGCATATTGCTACTGATTAATAAACTGTGATAATACATATCTATAAAGGAAGCGAGCGAGTGAGGGATCTTGCTTACATCTGGTATCTCAAGCAAATGATGGTAGAAATCATGCATTTCCTTCAATGCTGGCCAATCCAATACGAAGCGTAGTGCTTGCCATGCCCACCACAGGATAAATATGACTAAAAACATAGTGGTTGTGCCTGATAATCTGCTGTTCATGTCAGCTGAGTTGTTATTTTTTCATAATGATCTTATTCATGCGGGTGTAATTTGCACCACATTACAAAGACAGACAGACACTTGACCTTGATATACACTGAGGCACCAAGACGTCCGATAAGGACGTATGATGAGGTATCTCTGAATAGTCAACACATCCGATCAAGAACGTAGAGAATCCAATCACAAATGCGAGCGTTCTATTAATTGCATTCATATGTTACTACCTTCCCTTTTCTCTGTCAAAAATAAATAGAAAAGGCAAAAGAGAATAATACTTGCAATAGGTTCAAGAAACGGCCAAGCAAGATACAATACATGCCTCGTCCCTGATAGTAATCATACACTCTTTGAAAAAAATCGTCCAGATCGTTGACATTGGCCCAGCGCCAAGTAGTGCGATCAAGTGTTGTCATGCGCTGTCTTGTTGAGGTTGAAGTAGTAGCCGGCTGTGGTAATTCAGTAGCGACTTTTTTCCGTGAGTTGTGGTGGTGTAAAGGGTGTTGTTGCTCTTCTTGTTCTTCCAGCATGAGCGATGCTGGTGCTTCTAGATCCTCCGAATTATCGTCGTCTTGGTCAATAGAGTCATAAGCAGAAGTGGGAACTTGTTGATAATTGTGTCGTTGGAAGCGTAGGGTGCGATTAAATGTCCTCGTTGCTGCTGCTGTTGACGATTCCTCCATTCCATACTCGTCGTCAGAATGCTCTTGTGCCAGCAAACGTGATCTGTTCATTTCATATGAATGTGCGCTTACGTATAGTATGCGTTTAGAAAAAAATAAAATAAAAGAGGCACACGCACCAAAAGAGAAAAGGGGTAACAACGGGGTAGGGGTAAAGAAACAAGAAACAGCAGTGTTGATGTCGTAATAAATCCGCGTGCTCACCATCAGGGCCAGCAGCTGCGGGTTGGTGTGACCCAAAACGACTATTTTCCCAGTAGCACTCTCTGAACTGCGGATTCAGAAACAGGATTCATGCAAAAATGCAGACCCCTTCAATTTAACAGCGCTGCGGCCGGAATTTAACAAGAACCTCTTCTCTCTCTTTCTTTCTTTTCTACACGAGATTAACAAAATGGCAACGGAAGCTGAGCATCGTGACCCATGTCGTCAGTCTATACGGCGGTTCTCCGTGATGCATATTCCACAACCTGTGTATTTAGGCGTCGATATCGAGATTCCTGAAGAAGAAGAAGAAGAAGGCGACAAATCAACTAGGAATAAGAACACCCGCTGCAACTGCGAGAATGGTCAAGAAGGCGTTGTATGTAACTACGCCATCTCTGTCCATGACGGATCTTACACGACTGACTATTTCTCGGGCCAGCTATGTTTGCACGACACTGCGAACACGAGTTACAACCACCATCGTAGCGAAGCACTATCCAAATTGTGCGATATCATCCAAGCATTTTCCTTGGCCCAACATTATAAGATACACATGGTCGCTTGCTCAGCTTGGAACCGTGAGCTACAACAATACGATGGCGGTGATAAACCAGAGCAGACGGCCATGAGCTATTCTTGGAGCAAGTTAGACGCATTACCGGTTCAAGTGAAAACGAATGGTCCAACTGCAGATGAGCGTGCTAGTGCTGCTGTTCGAAAATCTGTCATTTGGTAGGCAACAGAGGAAAAATACCGACAGTGGAGTTGCTGTATACAATGGCATCATGGTGACATACTTTCGATACGGATACGGATACGGAACATTATTTTTTATAGGATGAGTCCCAACCAGCCCGGAAATCTTCCACGCACTATGATTGGATTCCGCCATGAGGTAAGAGAAAAATGACATGTTCTGTTGAGTTCTATCATATACTTTTATACTGATTGAAGGTGCAATGTAATTTTTCGCGCATTAAAATAAAGGTTGAAGGTGTAGTATATATCACAAGTCGGGTGAGAGGAAATTAGGCAGCGTTACTAATAACAACCCCTGTTCTGATTTTACTATAACTCTTTAGTGGATTTCAATTACTGGATCCATATGGCTGGATTAGCAGATTATCGTGAAACAGTGGGCAAGGATACCTGGCGGGTATTGGAAGAATTGACCAAGGAATTCAAGAAACGTGATTTAAAAATATCATTTTTTTCATCAACGCCACAAGGTGGCGGAGGTAGAGTATGCAAATTCGCTGTCGTGGATAGGTACCTGCATAACGACCATAGGCTTTCCTAAGCAATTTTTACCATTTAGTGGCCCTGATGCGACATGCGTTACTACGGTTTTTCAACTTGCTAGGAATCCGGGCACACTGTAAGTTTGTCCTTCCTTTCACAATACAAGTACTTAACAAAGACGCAACATATTACAGGGTTCGTGATGCGACCCAAGCCTGAAATATATAGAATCACCAAGCAAAAATTCCATAACGTGCTGCAAGGTGTGGCAAAACCAGGCGTTGAACTACAAGAGCGCGACAAGACCATGTTTCTTGACTGGACGGAGGAGAATGTAAACCGGTTCTGGGCCGACGACAATGACCCTATCAAAACTTCGGACGTGATTGTGATTGACGACCCTCAGGTCAGTGGCATCATTCCACATATCCGCAGACTTGTCGACAAGAACAAAAAAGATGTGCGGGTCATCTTCCGGTCGCATATTGAAATCCGTGCGGATCTTTTACGTGATCATCCTGACGGACGCGAGTCGAAAACATGGAAGTAAGTTCAGTGGACTCAAACAACGTTTATATGGGCGATTTATGATACATTAAAACTTTGCATGATGCGCCTAGTTTTTTATGGGATTTCATCAAGTATGCCGACCTATTTATTGCCCATCCCGTCCAAAACTTTGTGCCTGACGATGTCCCACGCAAAACTGTCGCCCTTATGCCTGCATGCACAGACCCATTGGATGGTTTAAACAAGTATATGAGTGGATATACTATGGATTACTATGAGCGTGTATTTAACCGTATGTGTGTTGATCAAGGCGCACAAGAAGTGGATTGGGAACGTCCATATTTTGTACAAGTCGCGCGTTTTGACCCTTCCAAGGGTATACCAGATTGTTTGGAGGCCTATTCTCGCTTAAGAGATCGACTCGAGAAAGAAGATTATGATCCCGCCTATATACCGCAACTTGTCATCTGTAAGTTGACTTGTTATGTCTTGGGGAAGTCGTGGAAGAGATAGTCAAGAAAGGAGAAAAGGTGGCCTTTGTTTATGCAATGTCTAGCAGTACTTTTTATCTTAACTCCACACTATATGTAGGTGGCCATGGCTCCATTGATGATCCTGAAGGCGCCGTGATCTATGAAGAAACCCATAAACGAGCCAGTCGCATGACATATGCCAGTGATGTCACTGTGGCACGACTTCCACCCTCAGACCAGCTGCTCAACATGATCCTACGCAACGCACGCGCGGCGTTGCAATTGAGCCACCGTGAAGGATTCGAAATCAAAGTAACCGAAGCACACCACAAGGGTATCCCCGTGATCGCCTATGACGCAGGCGGTATTCCACTACAGATCCAAGATGGTGTGGATGGATTCCTGTTACCTGTGGGCGATACGGCGGCCGTAGCTGATTACATGTATCGGCTGTTGACGGATAACAACCTCCATGCAAAAGTGTCCAAATCGGCAAGGGCGTGTATGACTGAGGAATACTTTACCGTCTGGAACGCAATGAATTGGCTGCATCTGTTTATCGAAATGACCAACAACAACGACAGCAAGGGTACCTCCACCGACGCTCGATTGACGGGTGAAGAGTGTACACGAGATCACAACAACTCAGGGATAGGGAATACTATGAAAGTGTCGGACATGTGGCGAAAAAAGTATAGCCATCACGATGAAACCAAGAAGGACTGTGATGCGACGTAGGAGAGGAAGAGCGGGGCCTTTTTTTTCCGTTGCTGGGATGATATGTAATTAATGGATAGATGTAGCAGTATTGTCGATATATACACATAGGCGTGTAATACATATAGAAGGTTCTTTTAACTTTTTTTTTTGCCAAAACGCTGATGGTGGGGTATGGGTATATAAGGAGCTGCTCTTTTGGGCTCGGAAGATGCGTGTATAGTTTTAGCTACTAGATGATGGTCCTTTCCCTGGTGATCCCGGCCGTCTAGAAGGGTCTGCAAAGGGCAGTGATGGTGGTGGATAGTTGGTGCTAGGTGAGGATTGCTGCGCAAGTGATCGTAACAAAGTCGGTTGTCTAGCGCCGTTGTTGCTACTACTGCTGCCATTCGCATACTCGGATGAGCAGCTCGCCAACTTTGTGTAATGAGTCCTACTGTTCGATGAAGCAGTAGCAGCAGCTGTTGTTGAAGACGACGATGATATTGATGTGGTATCTTGTTGATCAGGTTGTTGTGCTCGTCGTTTTTTCGCGCTTTCTTTCAGTTTTTCCCATCGCTCACGATACTTGTTCATCAGTGCCTGCTGCTTTTCGCTTTGCATGCGTAACTGGCGGTTTTCATCCTCCAACTCTTTGACGCGCGCAACTATAATACAAGTTTATATTGTATGAGCTCAGTTACAGTCGCTCAGATACCTCTATTTCTCTTTCTCCGTGTTTGTGTGTGCTCAACATTAAGAAATTCATTCCATGCAATATCTTACCGAGATCGCCTGAAGACGGTCGCATGTAGCTACTGTAAGGCGCTGTGTTGCTGCTTGCGGCCATAAGAGCTGCTGATGAAGATGCACGCATATGGGAATAATCTTGACTCTGCATGATCCGTTTGGCTTGTTTTTGAACATCATTGCGGAATTGAAGAATACTGCTCTTCAACATATTGCTTTCCTCTGCCGTCTTTTCGTGAGGAGATGCCGGTTATTTTACACATCTTTGAGCTGTATAATCCCCCGTCTCTCTCTCTTCCCCACTACTATACCTTTTCCAATGTGTGCACTCGACGCACGAGCTGCTCAATCTTCTTCTTAAGCTGTTCGTTTTCAGCAGCGTAAACGTGGTTTCTAAACGCGTCATATAAAATAAAGCATTCGTATGTTAGCTGGGAGTTGCAATCAACTTCTGTTTTGTTGTTCGCTGTTATGTTTTGTTAACTTCAGTTATACTTATGTAAGGTGTCTTACCTCACAGCAACTCCACTTGTAGCTCCTCCAGCTACAATGCCACCACCATCTGCTCCTCCTTGTATTGGCTCAGGTACGAAGAAATACGACTCGACCATTTTTGCTGCCATGCCATCATCCTCTTCCTCCTCCTGCTGTTGCTGTTGTTGCTGATGCCATGCTGGCGTTGGGTTATCGTTTTCATTCAACGGTGCCGATGCAAATGCAACTGGATTCGAAAGTTTATCCACTAATGTTTCGACAACTTCCCAAAACTTATTGAATGGATCCGAATCATCTTCGTCGTCATCATCAAGCTGATAATCCAGTACGTTTATTAATCAGTAAATGCATACACCAGATGTTTAAAGCAAATAGTACTTTTTTCTACTTACTCTACCATCTGGTGGAAGCACAGCGTACGAACCACCGATGGCTGGCGACATTGCGCCATTGCTTGGATGCTGCTGTTGCTGGAATCGTCTATTTGGTTGAAGTGCGTGGCGTAACCCATTCATGTCAAAGCTGCTAATATTATTGACACCACCGCCTTGTCGTACATTTCGCTGATATTGATCATGTTGTTGCTGTGCTAGTTGCTGCTGTTGTCGTTGCTGCTGCTCTTGCTGTTGCATTAATAATAACTGTTGCTGACGTTGTCGTTCTTCCTCTTCTTGCTGCTGCTGTATCTTTGATATCTTGCGTTTGAGCTCTTTGGCTTTACGTAAATGGTCCAGGTGCAAAAGTCGAAGTGTTTTACAAGTCTAGCAGCAAAAAATTTTAGTAAACATGATTTTTAAAGAATATCAGGAGAGGCAGAGAAACATACGACTGCATCTTGAGTAAATTCAATGGCTTTTTGAAATTGCTCTGTCAAAGTGTTGCAAGTGGAAGATTTAATAAAATAAATCCGGTTACTGTTGCATTGTTATCGGAGAAGATTATACCAGCTGCTTTGGCATGAGCCTCGGCGGCTTCAGCCCACTCTTCACGATCTTCGTAATCCTCCGCAGCATTGGCGTACGAATGACCCTTTTGTTTTTTGAATAAAGTGGTTGGCATTAAATTTCGTGTGGTTCCAAGCGTTCCAGTGATATAAGACTACGTACTGCATTTACAGGTGAATTGGCTGTCATTTTTCAAAGATGCTTTTAACAGAAGGTAAAAACAAAACGGGGGAAGAGAGAGAAATAAGAAAAGGTGAGGAAGTTTGAGCCACATGAACAGTGCTTGGTGTGACACGAATTGCCCAGCAGCAATTGGAAAGGGATTTCCGCTACTCTTTTTTCAAGTTGCGACACTTAATTCGCATAAATATCGGTTCTTTTGGTGCTACTCTGCTACTATCATTGTTACTATAGGCCATACTGGCATAAGTCTATTTGATACGCTATGATAAGCTACTGGTAACTTTCCCATAGTAATGCTCTATTTTCCAAGAACATCAGTATATACACGTCAAATAATCTTTGGACCATCTGTGTTTAGATACACGATAAATTGTCGCAGATAAGTAGTATCGAAACCTTGCTGAATGTGATGGATTCCACACATAGTGATTAAGCATAATATACGGAAAGAAAGGCTGCCAATACTATGAATTATATATATGAAGACAAGGGAAAAGTAGTAGTAATGTTATACGTATGTTCATACTGTAGCACTAAAGTTGAAAAGAAATGAATAACTACAAGAACAATAAGCGAGAACGGTGAAGTCAAGATAAGCAAATCGGCTTCTAGCTCTGTTTTATATACACAATAATATGGCAGCACCAATATCATCATCATCGGCCAAATTATATCATGTGATACACCACATCATCATTAAAATCATTAGAATCAAAGACAATTATATATGAGCGACATCAGCTATGCTAATTGTCTGTAATTTCGATCCATTCGTCACTACAACTGTATTTTATGAAGAAAGGTCTTCCGTTACCAGTGCCTACGCTTTGGTGAAAAAGTATAACGAGGTTTCGGATATGCTAGATGTAATATCGAAGAAGCAGCCACTACAATAACTTCATGCTAAAGATACAGCCATTAACATCATCACTATCATATCCACGCATCCGATTTTCTGCGGTCAGCCCCTTTTAATTTCCAATCCGTCGAGCTTTCAAGGAAACTCAAAACTTTCGTTAAGTAGCCCTGGGAGTATGCCTGGTTGTAAGGAGCTCTTGCCCGGTGTGTATGGGAGGCGTGAACCTTTTCACCCGCTATCTGTGGCGTAAGCAAAGTTAAAATCTTGCGGCGGCTCCCACAAAATTTGGCCGTTCATATGGGGGCAGAGCACTAAGTGAGGCTGAAGAGGCAGATAAGTTGGCATTTATGCATCAATAGCATTCGCTGTCTGGTAATTAACAGCATAGCAACAATATAGAACGAATAGACGTATATGGTTCAGTAAGATTGATGGTTCTGAAGGAAACTTTTTGAAATTAATAATAGACAACTGCAAGTAAAAGAAAAGGAAAATGACAAAGAAAATATACAGAAGAAGAAGGTTCATATGTATGTATTAAGGTTAAGAGACAGAGAGCGAGGGATAGAGATAGTAGAGGCAGGCGACCCACAAAAAAATTACATAAAGGAAAGAGAAATGGTTGACGAACATAGTATGGAGTAAATAGCTGGGGGCAATGGCGTATATAAAATTGGTGATAGTAAAAGGGAATCCAAGGAGAAAAGGAAGGGCATAGATACGTTGTGTGTATTATCCACACATTCTGATGACAGCGTTGTTAGATCGATGTTTTAGAGTAGTGTAAGAGATTGTGGGAAACTTGTCGCATTGATGAGGTGGCAGTGTTGGTGGTATTAATGGAATGGCGAAGAGTTTGCTCGGATCATGGACTGGGACCGTTGCCGTCCAGTGAGCTGTTGTGGTGTTTGCGTCGCCATACGCAATAAGCGGCTATTGCTTGTAGTAACAGTAGGCCAAGAGCGGCGGTTGTTTGCAGGTCGCGGTCGTATCTCGGGAGGACAAGACACCACCGAGTTTCTGCTAGCACTACGTTGACGTTGTGTTCGGACAGGTGTTGAGGCGCGCTCAAAATTCATGATATTGACTGGGCCTGCAGTTGCAGCAGTTGAAGTACCAGCAGCAGCAGCAGTACCGATACCAGAAGAGGAGTGGAGGAGAACGCGTCCGCTTGTTTTGCTTTGAGCAGCAATGGCACGCTGTGCTTGTTCGATAAGCACTTGAAGCATGCCCTTTATCCGCTCAAATACTTGATCTGCTTCCTTATCACTGCTCTCCTCATCATCCTCGTCACTACTAGTGCTACCATCTTCGTTCCTCTAATTTAAGAAAAAAAACATAGATTTCATATGTTAGTTTGTTGAAGTTGTAAGAAAATGCGTTATTTCATTGTCCACAATAAAGCTTTTATTATTGCCTCAGAAAACGTCATGGAAACGGGCGTGGGAGGTAACGAGGTATCCACTTGCCTAATATGTTGAACAACAGCAACAAATCAATGCGCTTATTACTCATTGTGTACAAATGCCTCCCTACGTATCCTTTGGGCACTTACCTCTGTGTAATCAAACGCTCGAGTTCTGCAATACGTGCTGCTTGTTGGCGAGTCTGTTCTTCCAAAGAGGCATTGACCGTGGATAGCGAGTTGATTTCGATCTCCAAGTCGGCTATCTTAGTTATATGCAATGCGTCAATTAATGTTTTTTCATACATAATCCGCACGTGAACCGTGCGTATGACCTCGAAGCAATTTTAAAATACCTTGCGATTCAATTTTGCACCACCATGAATATTGGTATTGTTGCTAGTACTACTGACGGTGGATTGTTGGTCGTTGTTGATGGTGACAAACTCGCCCCTGCCGTTCAAAATCGTGCATCCTTGTTTCATCCTGGCGACGACTTCAGGCTCGTCTTCTTCTGACGACGACCCGTCGGGCGTGATATCATCATCACTATTGTCCTCGATGTCCGAGTTATCGTTGTCGTCATCGTCTATTTCGTCTTCTTCATCCGTACTATCAGTAGACATCTGTGACAGCGCGGATGCGATCCGAGATAGTGGCGTATAGTTGTGCTGCTGCTGCTGTTGTTGCTGAGTACGATAACCCAGCGGCGACATGGGTCGATGATACTGCTGCATATTCTTGGCAATCACAGACCAGCCAGTGGGCGAGGGCGATCGAACAGAAGTGAATGGCGAACCAGGTCGATTATGAACAACAAAACCGCCATTGAGTTTGCTGTAGGCCTGTTGTTGCTCATTTGAGAGAATCGAAGATGACGACGAAGACCATGTGGACGTCGAGGAGGTCATTGAGCCTGCGGTTGTGATCGATGGCGTCGTTGTCGAAGAATGCTCGTTATTGAGAGCATTGTTGTTATTGTTCTGGTGGGCTAAAAAGTAAGGGCGTCTGAATGCTTGCAGCATTGGAGAGGAGGGACGAATTATGTTTACAGCCCGGGGTGGGCGACGTCTTTGGTCCTCCTCCATGGGTTATAACAGAAGAAAAGGGAAAAAGGAAGCAAGCCAAAGAAGGAGAAATAGCGAAAAGAAGAAGCAAAAACAAATATCAGAAAAGACAATTGTTTATTCTTTGCATACTGGAAAGCGAGACCCCCCAGAGTTATTTTTTTTAGTTACACACATGTACACCCAATCTATCCTTGTTTGCGACGCTTGTCCCGAGGACCTCCACTGGGCGGCTGCTTCTATTTTGCCACGAGGCAGGAACCATGGAATGAAAAAATGGTGCTTAGTTAAGATTAAATGGAAATGTATTAATACGAACAAACATGAGCACACACAGCGTGTGTGTGTAAGCAGCACATGGCAAGCAATAGCTGCTACTCACCCTGGCGATCGACTGCCCCCGTTGCATTTTTGAGCGATGTTCAGCTTCCAACTTGTCAACCGTCTTTTTCAGCTCAAGCATATGAAGTAAAGAATGGTGCAGCAAGTCGTATTTCTGCACGACTTGACCTGTCGGCATCATCGGTCGGACAGCTACATTGGTGTTGACAAACAATAGCAGTCAATCAACAGAAGCAATCCGTCCAGTCAGCCATCAGCGTGATGTACAGTATATGTGTGTCTTGTGTGCGTATGTGCTACCACTTCCTATTGTCCCCCACCCCTCCCCCAAATAACTCGTCGTGTTCAACTCAGAAAGCCTGCACTTACGAATATCCAAATCTGCCATCGCTTTTAATAATTTTTGCTGTAATGCTTGCTTAGTAACCACGGGTAACTTTTGACTCCGTACATAAACGCCTTGCATCATCTTTTCTTTCCGTTCAGGCACGACATCTGATAGCCACGATAGATGCATACATATCAAGATACACCCCTCTGTTAGTATCGCAAGATTGCTGTCCAAGAACAAGTTTTCATATTAACCGAAATGATATACCTTCCAAAATGCCGGATGAAGCATTCGATATCCGCCGGTTCTTCTTAGTACCACCACTACTACTACCTCCTGGAGTACCCGTTCCAGTTTCGTCCGCCCTTTTCTTCTTTTTGCTGTCCAATCCAGATGTACTAGCAGTACCACCAGCAATGCCAATCCCACCAGGGGTAGCTAGCGTTCCTCCTGATGCTCCTCCAGATGCATTTGTGGCGCCACCAGCGCTTCCGTTCACATTGTTAGCACCAACACCTCCACTCGATCCTGCTGCCGCTGATCCTCCTGTCCCTGCCGCTGCTGTGGGCGTAAGCGGTGTTAGCGGTGCTTGCTGAGCCTGCTCAAGCTGCAATGCGTTGAGTAGTGCCTCTCGCTCACGTGCTAACCGTGGTTCGTTCAATTCGATACGTTTGGCCTCAACAAAGAGTGCTTGCTCTTGTTCAATCTGTTCCTCGGTCCGGTTAAACAGAGAAACCAGTGCTTCTTTGCGTCCCGTTTCTTTTGCTTTGTCATATGCGTATTGTTGAATGAGAGCTTGTCTTTCTTGTGGGTATTCACCCGGTGTATGCGGTCTAGCTTTGATGAGTTTGCGTTGTACAGTGTAATATCGATCTTTCAGGTCCTATATCCAAAAGCAGCGGTAATGGTGAAGCTGAGTGCATTTCTCTCGTACGAAAATTTATGTTTTCAACATTTACCTCTATGCTTCTAGACTTGTTTGCAAAATTATATCGATCTTCAATTACTGGGAACCGTAAATCAAACCTTCGACATAATTGAAATAGATAGTCAGTTTCGTCTTTACTCCAATCGGAATCTAAGAGAAATAAATGATTTACGAGTTAGATTATAAACATTTTTATTATCCACGATATACATCATTACCTGACAAGTATCTATCATAGTCATCATCGGTATATTCGGGCACATCAATAACACGGTTGAATTTCGCAAATTGATACTCTAGAAAACAGGAAAAATTGTATCAATGAGTGCTGTGGGGATACTTTACCGGTGCAAGTATCTGCTTGACAGTCGTACACAATTACGAAGGACAACATACCTTCATTGCTTTTGCTTTCAGGTATCCAGTGGTGTAAAGCAAGATCATCAGGTCGAGCTGGATTCGTAAACGATTGTTGGATCCTTTACAATAATCAAAGCTTTTATTAACTGTTGTCCATTTTTTTGACGTTATCAAAACTTGGCAACGTACCATGGCGTAGCTTTCTGTTTTGTGTTGTATTTGGCTTTGAATGTGGGTTTTACAAAAGCGATCGGTGGTGCACCACCTGCGAGCGCATATATATCTCTGCTAATTGTGTCTGCACAATGCGTAAAATAGAAATTAAAAGATTTTGATCTGTCAGCTCAATCGTCGTCCGTTAAAGTACGCGCAATGATTGTCTTTAAGCTGCTATACCGGATTGTTTTTTGGATGCTGTTGATTTTTCTTCTGGATTCATTACAGCTTTTTTGCTGGTTGTGTGTATTGGTATCTTGAAGCGCTAATGTGCGTGCGTACGTCGGGATTTGAAGAAATCTACATGTTGCCCGATTTTGACAACAAAATATGGAATCATCGGTTGCTATAAAAGAACTACCGCTACTACTTTATCTTTACATGCAGTGAATACACATTGAAAGTATAATCTAGAGCCGTGTTATAGTTCTATATAAACACCGTACATAAGCGCATTAAATATGCAAGCGGACAGCGAGATGTGTAAGAAGATACGAGTGTGTAGTTTTGTCTGATATCTTACCAACACTTGCTTTACTTCCTCCATCAAAGCACCACCACTATTATCTCCATGGTTTTACAATAACAAAGGAGCGTCACTCTATGTGGTCGACGGACATATTCATATAAATCATGCTGGTCCGGACGAGCGGGGATATAAAGAAGTGGTGCTACACAAAAAGCAGTTACGATAAAAGAAAACCGATTATCTTCTCTTTTTTCTTACTCTATCATGTCTTCTCCGTTTGCCTCTTCAGCATTATTTAAGCCAATCCGAGTGGGGAATCAACAACTTGATCATCGGATAGTCCTTTGTCCACTTAATCGACGCCGCTGCGACAACGAATATGCACCTACTGACTCAATGATTGAATACTACCGTCAACGGGCCACACCGAACGCATTGGTCATCATGGAAGCAACCATGATTTCTGCAGATGCTGGTGCTTATCCACATGCGCCAGGTATTTATTCAACGCATCAGATCCAACAATGGCGCAAAGTGACAGACGCGGTCCACGAGAAGCCGGGCGCAACTGCTTTCTTGCAAATCCGACATGCAGGTAGAGCCTCGACAACCCAATTTTTACCAGGCGCTCATCCTCGTCTGGTTTCTGCTTCTGCGGTACCCGTGCCTGGCAAGAATGAACTCGGCAACGATTATGAAATACCTCAGGAACTTACCGTGGACGAAATTAACAAGATTGTAAACGACTTTAGCCGGGCGGCTAGAAACGCAGTCGAAGAAGCTGGGTTTGACGGTGTCGAGATTCATGGTGCTAATGGATATTTGATTGACCAGTTCATTAATACATCGTGTAATAAGCGAGCAGATGCATATGGTGGCTCCATTGAGCATCGTTCACGATTTTGTTTGCAGGTGGTTGATGCTGTGGTGGCTGCCATAGGTGTTGAGAAAACGGCCATTCGATTCTCGCCTTGGTCCGAGTTTTTGGGTAAAAAGATGAAACGTAGAGAAAAGCCAACCAGCCAAATTAAGTGGGATACTAATTCAATACGCACGCCTAGGAATGGAGGATGCGACACCGTATGAAACATGGTCATATCTTGTCAGCCAACTTGAACAACAGCATCCTAACATGGCATACATTCACTTTATTGAACCACGCGATGATTTCTCACGCAAGACTAAAAATGATACCCAGAACTCTTTGGATCCTTTTCGCAAGCTATGGTCGGGTCCATTTATCAGTGCTGGTGGATACACGACTAAGCCTGAACTTGCTGCACAAGTCGCTGATTCAACCAACAACCTTATTGCGTTTGGCCGATCGTTTATTGCTAATCCGGATCTCGTTGAACGTCTCAAACATAACTGGCCGCTCAACAAGTACAACCGCGAAACTTTTTATAAAGGTGGCGATACGGGCTATATTGACTATCCGTTTTATGAATCTACAACAGCACGCGGGAGCCAAAAGCTTGAATAATTATTCTGGAAACAAGCATTTCTATTATCATTAGATCGTTTGGTAAACGTACTATATCTAGATCTGTATATTCTTAAATTATAAGCATTTGTATTATACCTTTATTCGTAAAACACAAGGTTCGCTACACGGCTAGCCAATTTGACGCTCACGATGTTAATCTTCATATGCAGTATATGCATGATTCTTCGATAATAAAACTTACCCTGGGTCACAAGTTACCCGCTACTCGCTCTTCTCTTACTTCTTCCTTTCTATTTACTCTTCTGCCACTTTACTACCAGGCTGGACGACTTAGTATCCGTATTACACAATTCAATATTTTCGTATCAGCATTTAAACACATGCAATCCATCGTCACAGCCCGAAAAGCCGACGTTATTATGTATGAACTCGCTTCCACTGAATGTCGATATTGCAAACTCTGTCAGATTATCGTCGATCATAGCCGCACTAATAAATGCACCAGGTAACAGAGAATTACAAATTATGTATATAAACAAGTTGATCTTTGATAATATACGTAAGAGATTGTTTATATGTAATAATCATACTACTCATTGCTTACTGACTAGCTATCAATTATGTAGACGCTTATTAACTCAGGGACACCATCCATGAAGGAGAACCGGATTCTTTCCGGCGATGCTACCTCGGAACACATGTCCTTCAGTGAGCTAGACTATGGGTTCTTCGTAAGCCAAGTACCGGCGAATAAGCAGATCTGCGTCGTCTTCAAGTGGAGGTGCCCTGTTAGACTTTCGTCACATGAAAATTCCACGTAAGATCGTAAACAACTTTTTTAGTGTTGACGCATGTCCAATGGGTCCGCTCGTGGAAATGGTTGGACTCACCTTGAGTACTGCACACGAGTTCTGCCAGCGACTATTCAAGAGCTCTTGTATACTCAATGTCGCGTGGTGTTTGTAGCCTTTGAACAGCATGCGGCGGCCGAAAAGATGAAACTTTGCAACAGATTTAATAGAGCTATTGGATCTGTTGGAGAAGGGGAATTGTCAGGTTCTTGTAGAATATCGGAAGAGCAGCAGCCGCACTGTCGCTGTCCGAGTAAAAGAATGCTGTTACAGCACGTTCCTTGAAGCGCACATACAAAGCTGCAGATTTATCATCCGTGTATACGTTTCCTTGCATGGGCATCTTAGTTTGCTAACCTCAGCCCTTTCCATTTGTTGCATTTCTCTCTCATGGTGGCGGCCTTGTTTGTCTTCGACTCCTTGTGTGCTTGTTAGCGCTCCGGCTATTTTCCACTAACCAACCTCTACTATATACAGCGCAAACATTGCAGGCTTTGCCCCGCGATGGAATTCAAGTGGAAGACCTTCGACTCCTAGTGCGGCGCCTCTCCTCTACAAGCCTCGATTCTTCTCAAATTCGCATTCTTGTATTCTAGGCAATGATTTGTAGCAACTCATTAAATTTTTACTTCAAATATACATGCATAGTGGGATCGGCAATTACTCCTAAAATTTCGAGGACAGTACAAGAAATATGAAAACATTCTATCAAATACCATCGAAAGATGCTGTTCGAGACTAATGATGCCTATGAAAAAGAGAATAGTCGTGCTGCTAAATAAACTCACCATTTGGTAATAACATGTATATAATGAGCTCCATCGATAAAATTGAAGTAAAAACAAAGCATAACAAAAGCCATTCTTTTTTACTGACGGTTGTCACGGACTATGGCTGTTCTTACTCTAGTCTATCTTTTCCGGCCATACGTGCTTCGTTTTGTTTATGACCCTTCACCGTCATAAATGTCATTTGTTTTTACAGTACTGTATTGGAAAACGAGATTACTGTTTTGTCCCACGTGGATGAGAAAGGAGGATGATATGATAAGACCATTGTGAGTATGGATTCCTTGGAGAAGAGGAAAGATGAACTATTAAGTTATATTTCACGATTAACAGCCTAATTATATATCCATCGTGTCCATTACACTAACTGAGCACCAGCATATTTGCGGCCTGTTATATAGCCCAATCTTTATATCAAAAATGCTGTAAACGTTTTAATGGATGTTAAGCTAGCTAATGGAAAATCTCAGTTTTAAGTATACGCATCATGTAATTTACTTAGGTATCGCTATCAAAATGGGCACACGTTGCACTTGTCAGAATTACAGTATAAGTCGCATATCATTAAAGTATATCTGATCGAGCGATCGACATTTAATCAACAACGAGAATACAACGTTGTCAGGACTCTCTCCTTGCGTGTGATCTTCTTGGGCCGGCTTTGATGTTGTCGACAACGATGCCGTATAGCCCAATGATATGTTCCTTGTATTGGTATTTTCGGCATGATGGATCTTTAGCTTTCCAGTTTCATACCACTTACAGACATCTAATTGTTTAAAATACAATTTTTCAGTTCATCAAGTGTAACACTAACAGTGTCACCAGGATGACAGCAACATAGCAGTATTGAACGAAACTGGGACTTACCCGAAGATATACTTGTTTGAATCACACCAATACGAAGGCTTGATTGAAGTATAAAAGGTCTGGACGAAACGTTTCGCAAGGATATTTGTTTCAGATCGAGATTTGGAAGGAATATATTAGAGCAAGCGTAATTATTGACACCATGGCATGTCGTTCGCGTGGGTGATGGTTTGATGGAAACTCGTTCAAAATTGAGCTGTCGCAAAGAAAGACAACGCTGATTGACAAATTCGAGTATATGTAACGGCACAATATTTCTTTTAAATTCCAGTATCTCGAGGTCATGCTTTTTGACTGTAGTAGTGAGGCTGGCTGTGGTGGTGGCATTCCGGACGATTTCAGGGTACGTTACCACCAAGCAAACATGTTTAAGCTGAGGCATAGCGTCTAATAGCATGTCAACTGGGATACTAGACAATCCTTCGAGCGTAAGACTACAAAGCTGTCGAAGCTGGTGCAAATGCTGTAGGATTGCATTGTGATTCAGATCAAGGTTGGAGTACGGATAGTGCGAAAACGCAAGGGAGAGGGTTGTCAATGAATTTTGAAACCAACTCGTTACAGCTAACATGACATCCGAAGAAAATAAGGTATGCTGATCCTTGATATTGATGCTTGTAAGCTGCTGCTGCTGCCGATACTGTTCCGAACGACTGATCGATCGTAGGAAAAATTCACTGTAAGCGAAATTTTGGAATTCAACCGATTGAAGGTGCCGACAATGGTGCGTAACCTGAACGATCGATGACAGCAGTAAGCCTTCATTGGTACCGTTGCTGAAGAAGACGTTCTCACCGCCCAAACGGGAACCGTCGTCCGTGTAGCTGGAGTCCATATTCAATGCCAACTGCCGTAAGTTTGGGTATTTCTGCGCACAAAACGTGAGCCAGGTGGCTACTATGGTATTCGCTGATTCCATCGACAAGCATAGTTGAACTGATTGCATTGTAGGTGCAGATTGATTATCTTCTTCTGAAAGGGCTGCTGACCTAGTGTTAAGCTGCTGATTGTGCTTGTCGTAGACAGAAACGTCGTTGGTTTCTCGCTGTAATGTTGGCGTACTTGCGCTGTTGATTGTCAGTTTAAGCGTTTCGAGTCGAGGACACCAAGTATGAATCGTGCCCAAGATGGATTTTATAGAGCACCCTGCACCAACCCAATTAATGTTGAGAAATACTAGCCGTGGAAGCGCTTTGAGCCAGCTGAAATCAGCCAATCCGGAAACCAATGAGATATGCGTGAGTGCGGGAAGCGTCGTGTAGTGCAATGGTACCGACCCAAGGTCGTGAATGTCACCACGAATTGTGTCGGGTAGCTCGAAGCGCGTAAGCAACGGACAAAGCCTAGGAAGTTGCTTAAGCATTGCTGGTGGTGGATCGGGTGCGAGAATGTGTATTTCGCGAATATAGTGGCCATAAGTACGAGTAATATTCCCGCTAAGAGCAAGTCCAGTATCATCATTAAAAAGTAATGCGTTATTGTAAAACAAGTCGCACTGTCGTTTGGTTCGTAATGTAACTGAGCGGTAAAATGCAGCAGTGAACTCTGTTGACCATGCCTTGCAGATCAGCATGCCCGCGTGGCAATCCTCCAATGGCAGTGCTGCAGCAATGAGGGACAGGATCTCGGGAGGTAATGAGTTTAGCAATGTAAATTGTAACATAATTGCGCTAGATGACTTCGGGGAGCAAAGGTGAAAAAACTTAAAAGAGAAAGAGGCCCTCACAGCTATGATTAAATACTATCTCTGATGTTGCTTATTCTCGGAAGTCTCAAGAGTGTGGCACAAAACTAGTGAAAGGCAACTCACAATAGCCTTATGTTTCCCATACAAATCGTTCAGGAATGTGCGTTACACTAGTCCATGCGCATTACAACGGAGAGGAAAGCAGAGTAAAATGCAGGTTTGCTTCCGCGATTCCGATCGGCGTTAAATTTAGCAGCAACTACTACGCGTTTGAACCTAAATCGCCTTAGCGTTGTATCATAATAAGCATGGGCTAAATACGTGATATGATTTGTAGAATGACAGCTTAGTTTAGCTTGGCATACAGAAAGAAAGGAAACGGAAGACATTTCGGAAGTAACGAACAACACACAGAAAAAAGAATGTTGAAGAGTTAGTAGCGGCCATATTTTAAGTAACGTACAAATTAATCATTCGACAAAAAAGACATCGGACTGGAAGACACAAAACAACCTCATTCGTTTGATATCCATCAACGGTAAGATGATAATCACTTTCGCTGGTATATATTCAAATGTATGAAGTTTTTAACAATGCGATATATAGAAATACAATGATTGGTTTGATACGTAGAGTTAAGTGTCTTTTCTAGGTGAGGAGCAGTCACCTTCAAATTTATATTAAACCTTTGCATCCTCTTGATAAAATGGGTAGTCAGTATAACCTTCGGCATCATGAGTGTAGAAAGTGTCACGGATATACTTTGTCAAGGGCAAACCGTGCTGGAGTCGGTGGACAAGATCTGGGTTAGCAATGTATGCACGTCCAATTGCTATCAGATTGCCCGTTTCATCCGCGATTTTGGCAGCGAGCGATGGGTTGGTAGTGTAGCCACCAGCAGAGACGAATGGTCCCTTCCAAATGGCACGGAAAGGATCCAAGGTGTTCACGGTATCGTTCTTTGTTTTGCGGCCATAATCGTCACGAGGTTCAATGAAGTGGATGTATGCCAGCTTAGCATGATGAGCCTGTAATTCGCTCACAATGTACGACCACGTATCATACGGTGTTTTGTCTTCCATATCCTAGATATTTAATAGAGCTTGCGTTAACCACTCTTTCCCTCTTTAGATATATAACCTCCTCAACCCTCGTTGACAGCGAGATCCCTCCTTATATTACCTGAAACTCGGACCAAGGTGACAAGCGAACAGCAACGCGCTCCACACCGACTGCTTCTACAACCGCCGTTGTCAGCTCAAGGCAGAAGCGTGCACGGTTTTCATAAGAACCACCATATTCGTCTGTGCGGAAGTTGCTCGACGTGTTGATGAACTGATCAATGATGTAGCCATTAGCAGCATGGATTTCAACTCCGTCAAAGCCAGCAGCAATGGCATTCTTGGCCGCCTGTGCAAATTCTTGAATTGTTTGTTTGATATCCTTCAAAGTCATTTCACGTGGTACGGCAAACGGTTTGCCACTGAAGATGCATACATCCTTAATAGCCACAGCAGAGGCTGATATAGGCGTAGCATTGTCCTTAATAAATGCTGCATCGCTTGCTCTACCTGGATGCCAGCTTTTTTTCGTAGCAATAAATTAGCTTCTCTTCTTGTACGTTTGGGTATGCTTTGTCCCGGCCTTTTTCTCAAATTTGCAGTAATGATATCAGAGGTAATACTTACAGCTGTGCAAACACGAAACCGCCCTTGTTGTGGATCGTTTGTACAATTTTCTTCCAGCCTTCAATCTGCTTTTCTGTATATAGACCCGGGCCACCAGGATAAATGCCGGCGTTAGGGGACACACCCGTAGCCTCGGTAATGATCAGGCCACCTTCAGTTGTTCGCTGCTCGTAGTATTCGGCCACCATATCCGTGGGCGTACGGTCTTGATCGCATCGTAACCGAGTCAAAGGAGCAAGAATGACACGGTGCTTCAGTTGGCAAAGTCCAACTTGAGTAGGTTCAAAAAGAGCAGAAGAAGATACAGACATGTTGTATATATGATGACTGTTGACCGAGCAGAATTTATAAATGTGTATCAAATAAACGTAGAAAAAAGAAAAAGGAACGAATCAGTGGAATCGTCGTTTTATATATTCTTCCAATCCCGCTCCGACGCTTTTTCCGAAGTATCATTATTATTTATCGTTGTATGGATGTGCGTCTAATCTGTGTGGCTGTGATTCGGATGCGGTGACCCTTTTTAAGTCGCGGGCATGCGAGTGGGATATACTCAATAATACAAGTATAGAATTTCTTTTTATCGTCATCGGGATGTGTTGACTGTGATGCAAAAGGCACTGTTCCCTCGTGTCAAGAAGGGAAACTTTAGATTCGTACCACCTCATAAATGACACACTTGTTCATTAGAGTGTCTTTTGCATGCAACTTCAAAGTGCTTATCATTGTTCCAGATATATGGAAAGCGCGAGCGGAAATAGTCAACTTGGTGGACCAATTCCTCATAGTATGAGCAGCATAGCAGCATATTCATGTACTTGTTATCGTTTTTGCTGTCTTTGTTTGCTGTAATATGGGCTATCAAAGAAAAATCAGAAAGTGGAGCCACTTATCTCCACTGTGATAAACTTTAACAACAAAAAAGAAAGCCGCTAAAATTATGTGATACAGAGGAACCCGCTAATCAGGTAACGTTTTACACCATGCGCTCCATTTCTCTTGGCTGAAGTATATGTGGGGTTCGCCGAAGGACTGTTTACTGCGCCCCCTCAGCAAATACCGACTATACTGCTACACAACTGCTTCTGCCGCTGCTTCTAATAATCATATGGTGGGCTGATGTGCCTTGTTCACCAAATTACGAGCAATTATAGTGCATTATCATATCACCTGTGGCGCGGAACGTAGCTTTGATGATAATCGTGGATCTAAAAGCAAGTTCGTCGTTTCAATGTAAGCTACATTAACATACTAAAAGCGAGTAAGAGTGGTCCTTTTCGTGTTTATGTACATATCTGTCGGATGGCGTGCGTGACGATGTTACCCAAAGATAAATAGGTACAGAGATGCACTGATGATAACCTATCCAAGAGAAACGAAATCCGCTAGTATGAAACCTCTGACACCATTCTGGTTTGAAATCAGTATAGTCTTATTATTATAAAGAAGCATTGTATATTACTTCGAAAAGTATGTAACTTATTGTGGAAGACTTACAGACCTCTGTGGTAAAAACTGATATATAGACAGTGAAGAATCTATGTGTAGTATTATGCTATAAGAGTGATGCGTGGTTCTCTGCTGTTGTTGATGCGCTGCATGTAGGGCTTCTTCGGTTGCTGGTGCGTCATCATCGTACAACTTACACTTATGGCTCCAGCTGGTAGATCTCTCGGAGGAGATGCAGTAATGCTTAGCCATGCCTTTTTCCATTTGCCGCGGGTGGTCCTTTAAGATGTAGTCGAACTCTTATTATTCGTTTAAGAGATCAGATATTGCTAATCACTGTATATAAGCTTATCCAAAGTTTTGCGATGAATATGTTTGTGCGCATATCACATGTTCAAAATATTGTGCAACTTAATTTCTGTCTTTAATAGCTCCAATAATCGTTGTTTCTACCTTTATCCAACAAGTTCGGTTTCATTATACCGTACCTTTTCTTTAATTCATACTGTTAGACTAACTAATACAGTGGTGTCTCTGATTATGCCCTTTGTTCTTTACTGCTATATATGACATTTATCTGAAGCGTCTCATCGTCCACGTCTTAGCATATAGCACGACAGGCTTCCCAAGTACATTTATAATACTCTGGTACATTGCACTATATCCGCCATGATAACGTTCTGGGACATATTGAACGGCACCAACATCCGTCGTCGATATAAAGTGACAGCCGCCTATATAATAAAATAACTGTTCTGGTAACTGACAATGATAGTGCTGTTATCGACATCTACCGTTTTGGACGATTTATGTATGTGGACGAAAATATTGATAACAGATTCAACTACATAATCCACGTTATTTGTCCATTAAGCAAAGTTGTATAACTATTTGCTGGCTAATAATAAAACTTGAGCCATCTTTAATCAGCCATAGCACCAGTGCAAGAGCGCGCGAAAAAGAAGAAAAGGAGTACTTGCATGATTTCCAATATAAGATGTGATTGTTGCTGATTGAGTGATACACGCAAAACCTAGATAAGCTAATAGTATAAGAGAAGTGCTACAGGTACGAGTTTTTTTTCTTACGCGTACGAGTTTTTCTAAGCGGGTTTTTAAAGGTGGTTGTGTTGTGAAACCTCATTTGGCCAATCCGATTGCCGTCTTACACGTACGAGTTTTTTGCTAAAGGAACTGAACAGCATATGCGTACGAGTTTTTGTCTACCCATCAGTCTTCCCTTTTTTTAGATGGCCTTGTCAAAATAACTAGCTATTGTCATACTTCTTGATGTAAAACTGCTCATTTAATTGGCGTAATGGATTTAATTACGCTGTTCTTTTTGAGATCTTACAGGATTCTGCTCTGCCACTATACAGTGATGGCATATATAAGTTTTGCATTCCTTCTTTTCTTTAAGTTCTTGGCCTTTTCCCAATATAAGATGGAACACTAAGCTCGATATCAGGATCCTAATCAATCAAGCAATTCATTTGTTTGTGTGGAGGTAGTTTTCTACCGAGTCCACATAGGTAACAATCACTTATAAAAGAACTCTGAGCAGCGCTCTTTTACGCTTACGAGTTTTTTTTTTAATCTGTTTCCACGTAAATCATAAGTAGCGGGGACAGATTTTGACAATTGTCTGCTTACGCGTACGAGTTTTTTCTATCCTGGTTCTACGTAAATCATGACTAGCTGGGGCAAATTTTGACAGCTATCTGCTAACGCGTACGAGTTTTTTTAACCTGGTTCCACGTGGATCATAACTACCTGGGACAAATTTTGACAGCTATCTGCTTACGGGTACGACTTTTCTTAAGCCTGGTTACAGTGAGTTATTTTTTAATCTGAAGACCGTTCAAACAGCTCCATAGGAAGTTGGAGGTTCATAGGAGACTTGCTCACTGTACTTTCGAGAACCATATGCTTTTCAAATGTAGAAAGACTATGATCTGATATATTAAGTAGAAATAATAGTGAGGGTAAGTACTGGCTTCCTACTTCATAATAAGACCAAAACTCTAACATCGAAACATTGCGCCTTACATACATGACTTACATTCAAATGATCCTTGCACCCGAAACAGCCATTTTATCTATAGCTGACGATCTGGAAGAAGGTACTGTAGAAGGAGCAAAAATCTAAATGAATGGGGATCTAATGCAGATAGAAGGTGTTGAAAATCTCACGTCTTATGCACGAACTCGCATGTGGAAAAGTGCATATTTCGTTCCATTGTTTCTAGAAATGTATAAATAGTATTGACAATTTTCATTACCTTTTTCCCGATAATATCTTGTTGTAACAACCCATTTGTTAATCTCTCCTCCATTTCATTTCTATTTTTCTCTTTCGACACAATTACCGTTGTTCACCTTATACTTACTCTCACATGAATTAGCGTCTTAAATCTCTTATGTCTTCTTTTGCCTTTTACCTTTTTATAATAAACACCGATTCCCTACTGCAACAGCTTATGCTCAGGGAATGTTTTACACGTGGAACCAGATTAAAAAACTCGTACGCGTAAAAGAGCGCTGCCCAGAGTTCTTTTATAAGTGATTGTTACCTATGTGGACTCGGTAGAAAACTCCTCCACACAAACAAATGAATTGCTAGATTTATTAGAAACCTGATATCGAGCTTAGTGTGCCATCTAATATTGGGAAAAGGCCAAGAACTTAAAGAAAAGAAGGAATGCAAAACTTGTATATGCCATCACTGTATAGTGGCAGAACAGAATCCTGTAAGATTTCGAAAAGAACAGCGTAATTAAATCCATTACGCCGATTAAATGAGCAATTTTACATCAAGAAGTATGACAATAGCTAGTTATTTTGACAAGGCCATCTAAAAAAAGGGAAGACTGATGGGTAGACAAAAACTCGTACGCATATGCTGTTCAGTTCCTTTAGCAAAAAACTCGTACGTGTAAGACGGCAATCGGATTGGCCATATGAGGTTTCACAACACAACCACCTTAAAAACCCGCTTAGAAAAACTCGTACGCGTAAGAAAAAAAACTCGTACCCGTAGCACTTCTCATAGTATAATGCAAATATATAAACTTTGCTTAAGCTGTGTATCATACATACATGACTTTAATCTTGCGTTTTTTTATAGGCCTAATTTCTTTTTACTCTCATAATTAAAACTTGCGCTATATGTCCCTGTGAAATCTATTATAGATCAAACTTGTACAATTTGAATTTAAGAAAAAGGACTGAAGAGTATGGTTCCTTGTTTTAGGAGATAAAATATTTTATGATGATGATTACTGATGAAGGCAAAAATCATATAAACATCTCTTTAAAAATTTGATGAGGAATAATATATTGATGGTATATATAGCGGCCGGTGTGATTATACGATACATAACTCATGACTAAGCTTATCGATAGATTGAAGCCAGGATGCCCTAAAGAAAAGGCATCATTACTGATCAATCTGGTTAATTCCTTGTCATATATATCCAGCTGAAATAGTAAGATGTTATGGCCGTCAGCTAAATTTTACCCTGGATTGCACCGGAACTATATGATGGTATAAGCATAAGAAAAAGCAATTCGCTTGAGTAATTGGCATTCATGCTTGACACTGGGGTCGCCCAGAAAGGAAACACGAACTGTGACCCAGTAGGCCGTGCGAATGCGATTACCACTTCTATATGCCCCACAGCTGCACAAAGCTGGCCCGACTAAAAATCCATTACCAGCGTCTACCAGAGTACTTTAGCACAGAAGCAAACATCCACAACGGACTGCAGCAGCACAAAAACTATGACAATGTCAACTATGCGGATAGCAATATATGGGTTATTTTGATTACTCAGCAAAAGACCAAGTCGAAGATTCAGGCACGATTACAAACCCGGTTCCCGAAGTTTTCTTTTTGGAACAGCGAATGATATAAAAGTGAAGATATGGTGGATCCAACAATACGTTCCCATCTCTCTAATCTTCTTCTTGTTTTACATTAACACGAACACCATTAGACAACGACGTTCCCAGTAATCCAATCATAAGCACGCTAAATAATGGCTTCCAACTCTGCACTGTTTCAACCCATCAAGATCGGCAAAACTCAGCTTGACCATCGAGTCGTACTTGCTCCATTGACCCGGTTTCGAAGCGACGAAAACCACGTACCTACAGCATTACAGCAAGAATATTACGCTCAACGAGCAACCAAAGGTGGCCTTTTAATCTCTGAGGCTACCTTTATCTCGCCCACTGCCGGCGCTTACCCTGGTGCTCCGGGAATATACAGCAAGATGCAAGTCGAAGGTTGGAAACCTGTCACTGATGCTGTCCACGCCAAGGGTGGTGTCATTTATTTGCAACTCTGGCATGTCGGTCGTGTCACTGCATCTGCTATTTTGCCCAACAATGTATTACCCGTCAGTGCTTCACCCATTGCTATGAAGGGTCGTAATATGTACTCGAAAAAGGACAACGAGGTGCCACACGCACTGACCGTCGAAGAAATACAGTCTGTGATCAAGAACTATGCACAGGCTGCTAAAAACGCCATTGCTGCTGGCTTTGATGGTGTTGAGATTCACGGTGCCAACGGCTACTTGATTGATCAATTCACAAACAGTTGTAGTAACAAGCGAATGGATCAGTATGGTGGCTCAATCGAAAATCGTACACGCATGGCTCTCGAGGTTGTCAAGGCTGTGACTGATGCCGTTGGTGCAGAACGTGTTGGCATTCGCTTGTCTCCTTGGAGTGAAGCTAACGTAAGAAGAGGCGAAGGAAACGGTCAAGACTGTGGGTTTATTTTAGGAAATTGAACGCTTACATAATTTTTTTACGTGTTTCAAGCAAATCTATGACGACACTCCTTACGACACTTGGGGCTACTTAGTTGAGCAGCTCCAGGCCCGTCATGGCAAAATGGCGTATATTCATATGGTTGAGCCTCGCGATGACTTTTCTCGCAGAACGCGTAACGATACCGCCAATAGCTTGGATCCATTCCGACGTGTTTGGAAGGGTACCTTTTTATCTGCCGGCGGATACACGACCAACCCTCAATTGGCCGCCAAGATCGCAGACGAAACTGGCAATCTGATCGTATTTGGTAGAGCATTTATCGCTAACCCTGATATTGTTGAGCGTCTCAAGAATGGCTGGCCTTTGACAAAATACAACCGCAAGACATTTTACAGCCAGGGAGCTGTTGGCTATACTGACTATCCTTTTTATGACCCAGCCACTTCTTCTACCAAAGCAAATCTTTAGAAGTCTTCCAATTTTAATTATGCAGCAATCTCTTAAGGTACAACTCACGCTGAATAAAAGATGTAATTACCAGGCCCATTTTTCTTGTGAGATGTCGGGGCGATGAGTGCGTGTATAATCTTTTTGTGCTTCACCAACTGAATATAAGTCGGTGGTGTCAGTGCAAGCATGATAAGTGCATGAAAAACGTTCTCTTTCCTATCCGCATACATGTTACGCCAAATCGTTTAATCGACCCTTACACAGACAGTGATAAACTTCACTCTCGTTCTTTAACTACGGTTCAGCAAGCGCAGTACACACACTAAGCAAAGACCAATAGAAGGAGAGCTTGTTCTTTATACTGCAAGAATAGTCATCGGACCTCTTATTATGCTTACCTTATACGATACGACCACTGTGAGTCGTTCTGAAGCTGATAGCAAATCCTATTATTCATCGAGGAGGTAGCTATTGCGAGGTTATTGTGTTGCTTTGATGCAGTCTTCTACGATGTACATTGCATAATTTGTATGCTCTTACCGGCTGCTATGCGCCTGATTTTAGAATAGCTTCCGAATATAGGCAAGAGTCTAGTTGAAAGTAAGCGATTAAGGTTGGCCCCCACTTTTCAAAATTTCGCACGGTGTCGACCTGTTACAAATCTTGCAGTTAGCTCGAGTTGCAAGTGCCCTTGTCTTTTCTTGCTTTCTTTTTCTTTTCTCTAACCCTTTCTCACAAAACATACAATGTTGTCTGCTGTCCTAAAGTCGCCATCGTTAATCAGGTACAGTTTCTTCTACTAGTTCATTTCCGCTCAAAATGTTTATCCCAACCTCCCCATTTCCCCCGCAGCCGCGTGCTGCCAGTGGCAATGACACTCATTCAAGTCCCTGTATAATGACAATGCGCGCCTCTTTCCCATAGAGCATCTCCAGTTGCTCGCCGAAGCTTCTCTACAAACTTCCCCGCTCTTCAACATGCTGCTGCTGCTAGCCAGTCGTCCACAGCCCCCAACGTTAAGAACTATATCAATGGCGAGTTTACTGAGTCGCAGGCTAGCAAGTGGATTGAGTTGAGAAACCCTGTATGTATTTTTCTTCCTTCCTTTCACTAACTTCATAGATCCTGACATAATGTGGAAAAATTAACCTTTGAAACTCGGTTTTTATGTAATGATTTTTTTTACGCATAGGCCACTCAAGAACTCCTCGGTATGGTTCCCGAAACCACGCAAGAAGAGTTACAAGAAGCTACCAAGTCAGCCGCCTATGCTGCCAAAGAATGGAAGAAGACAACCGCATTGCAGCGTCAACGTGTCATGATGGACTTGCAGTACTTGATTCGTCAAAACCAGGACAAAATTGCCGAAAACATTGTAGAGGAACAGGGCAAGACCTTTGTTGACGCCAAGGGTGATGTTTTCCGTGGTCTTCAGGTCGTTGAGCAAGCTTGCGGTTTGACCACTGGCTTGATGGGTGAAAAGTTGACTGTCGCAAAAGATATGGAGACATGTACGTGGTATTATTATGAAATCAGAATTAGGCTTCATATAGATAGCGGGTATACTGACGTTTAAATTCCCATTTTTTTAACTGGGGCACTCTGCTGCTTATCTCAGACATGTACCGTGAGCCATTGGTAAGTGAGAGTTATTACATGATGAGATAGTAGCGGAAGTAGTAACTGTAGCTGCTATTGGATGGACGGCAATTACTCATTCATATATCCTATATGTAATTTAGGGTGTCACTGCTGGTATCTGCCCATTCAACTTCCCAGCCATGATTCCTCTCTGGATGTTCCCCTTGTCTATTGCCGCTGGTAACTCGATCATCATGAAGCCTTCTGAGCGCGATCCCGGTGCCATGATGATGTTGGCTGAATTGGCTGCCGAAGCTGGTGTCCCTAAGGGTGTTTTGAACATTGTTCACGGCTCCGTGGACTGTGTGAACTACATTTGCGATGCTCCTGAGATCAAGGCTATCTCGTTTGTTGGTTCCGATCGCGCTGGTCAGCACATTTATACACGTGGTAACGCCAACGGCAAGCGTGTCCAAGCCAACCTGGGTGCCAAGAATCACGCTGTTGTGCTTCCAGACGCCAATAAGAACGCCACTTTGAATGCTATTGCTGGCGCTGCTTTCGGTGCTGCTGGTCAGCGCTGTATGGCTTTGAGCACATTGGTCATGGTGGGTGAGACCAAGGAATGGTTGCCTGAATTGGCTGAACGTGCCAGACAACTCAAAGTCGGTTATGGTATGGACCCTGAAGTTGATTTGGGTCCAGTGATCACTGTGCAGGCAAAGGAACGTGCAGAACGTTTAGTCCAGAGCGGTGCTGATGAAGGTGCCAACATCTTGTTGGATGGTCGCGGTATTGTCGTCAAGGGTTACGAAAAGGGCAACTTTGTTGGTAAGATTGAAGGAATGATTTCCCCACGTATCCCCACCCCGTCATCACGGATCATCGTTTGACCTACCTAGTCTAATTATGACTTTCATGTGTGTTTATAGGTCCTACTATCATCACTGATGTCAAGACTAACATGGAGTGCTACCGTGAAGAAATCTTTGCACCTGTCTTGGTCTGCTTAAATGTTGACACTTTGGATGAGGCTATTGAATTGGTCAACGCTAACCCCTATGGTAACGGTACCGCCGTCTTCACCAACTCGGGCCCCATTGCTCGCAAGTTCGAGCATGAGATCGATGTCGGCCAGGTTGGCATCAACGTTCCCATCCCTGTGCCCGTTCCACCCTTCTCCTTCGTAAGTATTGCACCTCATTATTCATATCTATGCTCTTTTGTTTTTGTGCGAATTGGATGGGCGGATGTACGTGATTGCCGGCTGCAGGAAGCTCTGATATGTTACTGACGAACTCTTTCTAAAAAATATGAATATTATAATAGACTGGTAGCCGTGGATCCATCTTGGGTGACATGAACTTCTATGGCAAGAGCGGTCTTCACTTCTACACCAAGCCTAAGACTGTCACTGCTCTCTGGAAGGAGACCGATGCTACTCACACTCGCTCCAGCGTCGCTATGCCCACCATGCAGTGAACCAAAAAAAAAGCATCACCCATACTATATCTTTTCCCTTTTGATAGTACATATACGTAGAACGGTACATATCAATGACAACAAAAACCAAAATATGCACATACATAATAAAATACATTACAAACATCATTGACATATCTTGATGCTGGTACTTTCTCTTCTCCTGAACAATGTCACATCATTTATACATAGTGACACCGTGAATATGTGTACTACTCATCATAGTTCTGGAGATGAGGAGTAAGAATCGACTGAATCCCTATTCGCTAGAAATTACTTAGGGGATTTTGCTTGTGGTAGCTTTCTCGTTCTTTTCTCTCCAGTTTTCTTTTAATGATGGTGCGCTATTCATTGGAATATAATAATTGATGTTCTACTATGTACTGGTATATTACAAAACGCACATAGCAGTAGCTCATCGTATCTGTATATGATAAACTTTATGCAGGGCCAACTATTTATTTTTATTATATTTAGAGTCATGGACCATCATCAGCTCCCCGAATATCCTCCCCTAAAATACTAGAACATACCCGTTTTACATCTTCCCATCGGACTTAGTATGAAGTACACCATAATAGCTGCCATGTTGCTGTGATTGACTTTTGTAAACATGTACACAACAGGTTATGTCAGTTGAAAAATGCAAATTTTCGCCGTCACCTATAGTTCCGAGCTTTGCTGCCTCCAATAAAAAATACCTATTGCATACATAGTCGAAGTGCAGTACACGTTGTGGAGATGGGTAGACGATAAACATAGCATGTTGAGAGCTACTCCATTTTATTTTTATTTTTTTCCCGAATACAGTATATCTATATATACATATACAGAAGAAATCGGGGCCATTGACGACTCTACCTTTACTAGCCTATATATAAAGAGAGAACAAGAGGGGCGTAAGGGGTATGATCGCTTGTCGTTAGAAGAGAAGAAGGGGATATACCACGTTTCTTTCTTTCCTTTTCATATAGCCAAAGGCGAGACCGTCACCCGCTAGTGATCTGTTCTTCATCTAGCTACAGCTTGCGTTATATACGTAGTCCAAACACATACAACTACTGTGGCGTGGGTTTTCCCTCTCTTTCTCCTTCCATGTAAGCTCACTTTTGCGTTTGCTCCCGTACGCACACAAAAACCACCCATTGTTTCTCTTGAAACTCCTAGCCCAAATAAAGAATCCAGACCTTCTCTTTCTTCTCTCTTTCTTTTTTCGTTCCTATCCATAATCACCTTTATTCTTCACCTTACAATTAGATATATGCCTCCATGTCCACCGTATCCGCAACAACAGCAGCAACAGTGCCGACAATAACAAACACCGAGCATCCGGTCCATCACCCAACCTACGCTCCTCACATTCCTACATCGGCCGTCGGTCCCGTCACAATAGCAATTATTGTTGCACTTGTCCTAATTACATGTTGCATTCTACACTGTTCCCGAATCCGCCAAAGTATAAATAACAGAATTATTTCGGAACGATGTCGTAAAATACAACAACAGCACGAACAGCAGTACGATTGTTCTTCAAATGATGGCACTGTGTATAATGGCAACAATCATCAATCATCACCGTCGCTTGGATCTTGGTCATCATCTGCTTCGACCGTTCATTATGACTCGCAACAACTGCAGCAACAGCAAGGCAAAGACCATATAGAATCTCAAAACCATCGACACGAAGAAATTCCGTATAACTCAGAAGGAACAACGCCAGTCCATCATGAGCAACAAGAGCAGCACTTGAACTATCCTCAGCTCACAAGCGTCATAGTACAGCAGCCCCCTGTTGCAGTGACAAGACCAACATCTCAATAAGTAATAACTTTAAGACTAGATCCTGATTACCAGAAACAAAAGAAAAAAGAAGTTTATCAACGCGCATCATCATGGGCAACAACAACAATAACGCAGTAGCTCTAAATAATAGCTGTAGAGTAATACAATCCCAACGCATTGCCATTACACCATTTGTACTATAATCAGCCCTCCTCCACATCATCTTGAACCGTACATACTCGACCCACTTTTCATCATTATAGTATCGCTTGAAACTGGAAACAGAAATTCATTTGCTGCATCTTTATTAGACAAAGTAAAAAAATAGAGAGGGTAGTAGTCACAGTAAGCGGAAGTACTGTAATTGGGATGCGTGATGTGGTGTATGTGTTCAAAAGTAAGAATCGAAAATGTTATGTACAAAATGTCGCTTTTTGTTGGAATGAAATGCTACAAGAAGCAAAAACAGGCGCAGAGGTAGATTGATATATGCATCATTGCAAACGATAGCGAGAGCGTTCTAAATCTGCTGAAATACTGTGGGTGGCTGCCTAGACACAAAGATCGGTATCTTCCACAAGGACCGAATCATGTGGTGACGCAATTTCGTTATCTCCATCAGGCGAGTATACTTGTTCTTTTTCATGATTGAACGTAAGCTGGTGATGTTGCTCTGTGGTAGTCGTCGAGGTAGCAGTATCGCTGTGGGGATGGTGAGCATTCTCCATCGTGTTGCTATTACTGGTCCTGCTGTTCGGATAGGATGACTGTGTATTACAGACGTTCACTAGACATGCACTTTCAAAAGACAGTGGATCGGCCAATCCACCTCCACTATGAGCCGTTCCGGAGGTTGCTAATCCAGCACTCGGAGAAAGAAGTCGAAGCGCAGCCGATCCAGCACTTGTACCAAAGAACCCAGACGGTGATGGCGATAAGGAGCTTGCCATGGCATTCGAAAGATTTTCTGTTTCGTATGAAATTTGCAGTGTAAAGGGGGTTGCGTTGTTGAGGAAAGAGGGGGTCCGGGTAGAGGAGATTGGTTTAGTAACACCAACTTGGCAATACCAAACAATGAAGTTTGCTATACCTTCTAATTCAAACAAGGCATCATCCAGCACCGCCCCGTCTTTTGCAGCCGCTGCCGTTCTTCCAACGCGGTCGACTCGACTTGCATAAGGCTCTGGTGCGTCTTGCGTAAGAACGAGTGGATTTGTAGGAGGAACAAACTGATGACCACCGTTTTCTGACAAAAGATCGTCACCATCATCAGTATACATTGCTGCGGTAGTAGTAGTAGTAGCATATGTATGGAAGCTTATATGTGGATAATGATGACTCCATAATGGCTTGTCAAATACAGCATCATCATATGTGGCAATTTCTGCGTACGATAACCATCCTCCCCCTCCATTTCCACCTGCAGATGCTCTTCTTTGTTGATGATGTTGTTTTTTCTTTTTTTGATAAGCGTCGCAGTTCATCTTAATTTGATCCCAATCCGGCTTGCGTGTGACCCGCCATTCCGCCACGTCTCCCTCTTTTACGTTCAGCTCAAGTTTTTCAACAATGCGCCCGCTTTCCCGCTTTTTGACTAATGATTGTGTGAGCCAGCAACGGTGTAAAGTAAGGATGCCATCTGGATGAACCGAATACATGTCTTGGTAGCCTGCAGTAGCAGCTCCGAAATGATGATCACCATTACCGTCATCGCCTCGCTGGTTCTGCTGCTGCTCTTCTTCCTCATCAAATCCAAATAATCGATTGTCGTTATGGCGGTCGTCATGAGTGTTTAGTGCTGTCCATCGATCGTTGCAGGGTAAATACGTTTTCCAATTCGTATTGCCTGGAGAGTTTATTAAACTGGAAACCTGCGTTTTCCAGGATGATGCCCATGCTCGACGTGCCGCATCCGGAATCGATGAGCCACTAAGTAAATATGGTGTCTTGCTTACAGGAAGAAACTGCGTTGCTAACTTGGCACGGTATCGCTGCTTTGCTGCAAGTATTCCTGCATTGGCTATCATTGCACTTGGCTGATCAGGGCGATGATGCTGATTTTCTGCTTCTAGGGACGCCTTTGACGGCGTGCATGATTGTGATGTAGAAAACGCAGTGCTATTATGAAAGTCTTGAATATCGGCTTGCATCGATCGTCTTTGCTTGATACGAGCAACCGAATTAAGTATAGTAAACTTCTTTTTTAAGAAAAATTAGATGGAGTGATTAGTACTGTTGGTAGTGCACGTAGAAGTCCGTTTCCTTTTGACCGTTCAAGATATCCATATACACTAAGGAATGTACCGACTTACCGAGTTGGAGGTCGTGCGTCGGTGATTATGATTGTAATCAGCAGCAGCGGTAGGATATAGATGGTGCTTTGAATTAACAACTTTGCCTTGCACGTGACCAGGAATTTCAGTTGGGCCTCCATATGGATTAATTGGATAAACATGGGTTGTTCCACGCGCAGTACTGACTGCACACCAAAGCGAATCCGTTGAGAACTGTACGTCATCCACTTGTGCGTCTGTAATTCCACGCGATAAGCTGTATAAATGCGTTACTGATAGCTCTCCTGTTGTAGGTGCCCATGATGATGATGCTGGTGGTGACCACGATGAGGACGAAGCAAGCGAGAAAACGTGAAATTTATGTCCTTGGTTTGATGCTGACAGAAGCAGCGTTCCAGACGGATTGAATGTAAGGGACGTAATGGCATGCTTAGTGTGGGCCTGAAAATGGGTGCACACAGATTGTATTTTCTGCAAATCTCGGATCATAATCTACTTGCATTTAAGTTTACTTCCCCTTGGGTCAGTTTGATATAATTATACAATGCATAATGTATTCATTGACCCCCTAAAAACAAAAATAGTAATGACTTTACCCATCCTGCTCCTTGTTGTGAGGAAGAAGCTGAAGAACAATCAGACAGTATCCCTCCATTGCTGCCACTGATGCTTGAGCTCGGTCTGCGTTGCCGTCGTCCTGCTTCTGCACCAATATTGTTGCTACCATTTATCGCACCAGTGATTTCATTATTGCTGCTATATACACCGTTTGCAGATGCAGGTGACGTCGGGCTGTCAGTACTTGCAAAGTAATTGGAGATCGAATCATAGCTGTATACGCTCAATGACCTGACGCCATGAACAACTTCTTTGGCGATGTCTTTGACAGCACCCTTAACGTCCTTATCATTGACAACGTGACTCAGGAAACCCATGTTCGTTGAGCGATCTGAGCTGGTAGCTGTAGTGGCATAGGCAATATATCGTGATCCAAGTGCAAAAACAGGGCTTGTTGAAGAAGGATGGTGATGATAATAAACATCAGTTAGTGGATTGCCTTGTTGTTCTAGATCTAGCGCAGAAAGAATGTTAAGCGAAGCTGCCTGGTCCTCAGTTCTAATACAACCCTACATAATAGATGGTTAACTGTATGTTAACGTAATGTTACTGAGCATGAAAAAGCATAAGCAATTTGAACAGGAGAGAAGAGATAATAACCAAAGCAATTGAGCGTGAGCTGCTCTGCAAGTTGACCACTTTTATGCCTTGATCCGCAAGATCCGTGAACTCCTTGACAACTTCTTGTGTACGAAGGGAAAATATGCGTAGCCTTGTTGGTATGTTTGCTTGAGCGATACTGGGAGGAGAAGGGGAAGAGCCGTCGTCGTTTTGATTTCCATTGGGTGACTGTCGAATGTGGTCGTCATTGTTCGCGCTACTGTTGGATTTTAAGGCAGAGTATACCAATTTAGCACGCAGACGCAACAAACATTATAAATGATAAATTTCGTCAAAGGTTACAAGCCTAATTCTTGGTAAAACTTGCTTACATGATTGCCAGTAAGGGCCGGAATTCAGCATAGGGATCCACACATCCAGGACGGAGTTCCGGTTCAGCTAGGATATGCATGTACTGCACAACGCTGGCCGTTGTATCTCGTATTGAGCACGTTTCGTGCACGTTCTCCGGACTCGTCACATCCCATATTTGGAATCCATTTTTGTACCCTAGTAGCAAAAGCAGAGAAGAAGAGCTATTACATAGCACGCGATATTTGTTACAAAAGATCACAACTGTTTAATAGACGATTTCTAAGCGAAGGGAATCTACAGTCTTTTTTTTCGTCGTTTTATGATCACCTTGATAGAAAATCTTGGATCTGAAACGTAGCAAAAGTCACCAACTCGCTGTCATCAGAATGTGACTGTGACGTTTCAACGTTAGAGCAAGAAGAAGACTCGTTGTTTTTCTTATCACCGCCGTTATGCTGCTGATGTTGGTCGATCAGTTTCTGTAGATGAGGATCATGCTGTTGCTGTTGCGTAAGACTAAATGAGCCGTTTGATCGTCGTCTTTGGATATTGGAGGCTAAATAAAGGGATACCCAGCTAAGACCAGAAGATATGTATTCCAAGGAAGTCGAATCCCTGAGTAATGGGATGGTTTGGTGAAATTTTGATAAATCATGCAGCTTATCAGTCTGTGCGACTTCACTTTGGTGCACCACAGCTCGAACTCGCATTTACACCCCTCGCTCTCCCAAGGTAAAAGGACCTCCACCCAACCGTACACACTCGTAACATGAATGCACAAATAGAAAGCAGTATTAGTCAAAAGGCTAACCTCAAAAACTTGGGTTCAGCTCGAACACCAACACTCATGATGATAAAGCAAAGGTCAAAACAGTTGCAGTAACAGCGGAATTTTCTGTCAGTGTAGCTGCGGTGGCGACGGCGTTAGTCGGCGGAAGATCTCTTCTTTTCTCGATCAGTAACAAAGATACAAGTCGATCTCAACGATTGAAGGGAAATGAGGTAAATTCGCGTATGCTAAGGAAGACCAGGTGTTACTGATATCGGTGAAAAAGGTAGCAAAACGAAAAAGAAGAAAAAGAGAAAATAAATAAGGAATGACGTTGTATTTTGGATATTGCATACGTGCTCATCATTATTACCCGCGGACCTGCCAGTGCCGGTGTGCCAGAGTAGGCTGCTTTCACTATCTACTCCATCCCCCCTGCCCTTGTGACTCATCATATCATCAAGGGGTGCTGGTGGTGGTGTACAGCGACCCAACAACCTGTACGTATAGTTGTTGAGTGTGAGAAACCCAGTATTGACACCATTTTCTTGCAGCAACAATACAATAGTACGAACTATTTTAAGGACCTGTTGTATATAAGCATATTGTATCTCTGCTCTTCTTTGGCGTTACTTTTAACGATACCATTACCGCTTTGTGTAACTCTTCACAACAGACTTTGGAGCATTCCTATTTTTTAAACATGAACATCCGTATTATACTACAGTGCTCATGAGGTCGGCCGGCCATCATGATGATTAGTCGCTAAAGGATAGCCCTAACTGCGATAATGATATATTGTCTCGAGAGAAAGTTACATTCTGCATAACTAGTCTATCTTAAGATAATGTTGTCAAACGGATTAAAACGGTCACAAAGGACGATGCCTGACCGTCTAGTGTGTGAATAGACACATATATTACAGCTTCCACGTTGTTCATTCACCATGACGCAAAGAAAACATTTAATCGTTGTTACTATCTATTCTCTCCATTAGCATAAAACTTCACAATGATCAGATATACAGCCGCCGGTAATAGAAACATTATGGCCTTGAGCCAGGTACACTTACACATCGTGCTATCGGGTTGCGAAACAATGAATTGCATTAAGTTCAAGCGAGAAAATTGAGATAGATAAGCAACACAATTATTACAACTGTTTTTGAGCGTTTTCCTTGGTACGAAGGCTATTAAGGAATCTTTCCACGTACAATGGGTTCCTACATTACCGTTTCGGTCGAAAAGCTACATACAATACTGTTATAGATGAACATATTAACTAATTTGTAAATGAACGAGAATACTTTGTACTGTAGATGCTTTCAGTAGTGAATTTGGTTCTAGCCTATTGTTGTATGTGTAGCGTCAGCCAAACAATTACATTCAGCATAGATAGCTTCATGTACGATAAATGGACAAGATGCAAAACGCAAACATAACAAAATCGCGTGGCTTAAAGTGTTGAATTTTCTGCTGAAATCGCAAGGACTGCTATTCAATATAAGCATGATTTTCTGTGAAATATGATAGTATCTGTATGACAAATGACATAAGGATGAATATTATTTATGCAAATAGGTTTACTAAGCAAATGAGTTTTTGTAACGTTGACGTTGCTGTCTACAGCCAATACTATAGGGAGTCAGCATAGTACTCATTATCCAAATGCCTCAAATGACGACAAGCAATCGATCATGCCATCTTTTGCAACGACGATCTAATCGATTGCCAAACGCAAATCCAAGATCAGCAACAAGGAAAAAAGAGTTCATTATGTCATGATTAGCGCAGTAGCAGCTATGATCAAACGGAGGTTTCAGAATCGACAAGATCAAAGACAGATTCTGCAGCACTTGTCTCTCGACCAACGGCGAGGACGCTGTGGATGTGGACGAATTGTTGCAGACCAATGCGTTGTCGGAAGTTTTAGCTTAATTTCATCGAAGATTGCGCCATTTTCAGTGGATATGAATGGCTCAGTAGATCCGATGGCGTGCTACCCAATGAGATGGAAATCGTTGATTTTTTTGTGTTTGTTTGCTTTTTCAAGGAACCGGATCTTTTCTTTCTTTACTCTTTTCTTTTGACACATACACACTACGAACGATGTTCGCCTCCACTGCTCTTATCGCAGCACTCGTGAAGAGCAAGGCATTCAAGGGCAACAATGCCCATAAGCCCGTCGAACTGTCGAGAGAAGCTATCGAATCCGTCACAGCACAACTAAAAGAAGCAACAACAGCAGCTGAAGACACAGCTTCGACCGCCGGCAGCCAAACCACCGTTGTCGACGAAGAAGCCACTTTGCAGCTTCAGTCCCGAGTAAAGAACGCTCTCGAAGTCTTGTTCAGCGACGACAAGACTCGTTTGGTTGATGTCAACAACGCTGTCGATTACGTTGCTTATGGCTTGTCTGATCTCGTCTTTGTATATCCCGGCAGTGCTGCTGGCACTCACCTCGGCCAGGAACTCAAAGGTTGGCAATCGACTATCCGCAACAGCCGCGGAAACCTCGTCAAGGTTGTCGAGATGGAGACCCGCGAGGGTGCTCTGCAGGCTGTTCAGGGCGCACTTGACAGCACCACCAAGACCGCTTCAGTCTTGACTTCGTCCCAAGCCTTGTTGTCGATGATCCCCAACATTCATGCTCTTGCTTTGGCTCGTCAGCCCGTCGTTTTCCACGTTGGCGCATACGCTGTCGATCAAGAATTGGTAGCTCATTCGCAGGTTGATGCTGTCTTGGCTGCTCGCAACTCGGGAGCCATTGTGCTTTCCTCCAGCACCGTTCAAGAGGCCCACGACATGGCCATCGTTGCTCATCTCCTTGCTCGCGCCGTCGGTCTCCCCGTCATCCACTACTTTGATGGCTCTTCTGTCAACATTGAAAAGGCCTCGCTTTTGTCTTACAGCCAATTGGCTGCTGCTTTGGACGATACCAAGGCATCTGGTGCTGATGCCTACTCTGAAGCTGAACGTTTGTTGGCCAAATATGGCTACAAGCCTTTCGAATATACCGGTGCTGCCGATGCAGAAACTGTCCTTGTTGCTTTGGGCACCTCATCGGTCGCTGATGCTGTCAGCAAGGCCAATGCCAAGGTTGGTCTCGTCACTGTCCGTCTCTACCGTCCTTGGTCTGAAGCCGGTTTCATTGCCAGCTTGCCCCAGTCGGCTCAACGTATCATCGCCTTGGAGCAAACTGATGGCTTGTTTGCATTCAATGGCCCTCTCTTTTTGGACATTGCTGCTGCTGTCCGTTTCGGTTCCTTGGCCCGTCAATCCCGCCCTCATTTGGTGACCGCTCAAGCCAGCTCGTTCGGCCATCTCTCCGCTGGTCATATTCCCCTTTTGGCCAAGGAAGCCGAACAAAAGAACTTTGTTGATCTCGCCGCTGGCGTCTTCTTGGAAGCCGTCGAAGAACCCAAGCAAGAGCAAAACATCTGGAGCGCTATCTTCTGGGACGTTGAACAGGATGGCAGTGCTGATGCTGCACAGCACGTTTCGCACTTGTTGCATCAACAAGAAGAGCAAGTGGCCGTGCAAGTTACTCGCGACGCATACCGCTTGGGTGGCGCCGTTGTCAACACGCAGATTGTTAAGAACAGCAAGCCTGTCATTGCCAAGGCCGATTTCATTGCTGTTCACAACGTTGCTTTGACCAAGGAGTACGACGTTTTGGCCTATGCCAACAAGAAGGCAACTGTTGTCTTGAACGGTCCCTGGAAGCACGGTGACGAAATCGAAGCACATTTGACGAACGAGTTCAAGCTCAAGCTGACCCAGTTGGATATCAACTTGTTCACAGTGGACGCTTCCCTCATTGCCGAAGAATTGGGTCTGCACCGCAAGTCGACGCACATTATTTGGGAAGCCGTGTTCTTGGCCTTGACCCAGGCTGACAAGGCTGCTGATCGCTTGAATGGCTTGTATCATGAGTTGGATTCGGTTGTGGATGAGCAAGGCAACAAGCGTGAATTGACACCGTTGATCCAGACGCTTGTCAACACTGTTGCTAAGCAGATCGTTAACGTCGAATTGTTGCCCCCATGGACCATTCTGGAGATCAGCGATAATGTTCTGCCCGGTCGTCCTGTGGCCCGTGCTGTTTTCGGCGAGGAAGACGAAGAGAGCGACGCATCGACTGCCGTTGAGGAGGGTGAACAAGAACATGGCGAGTTGAACAAGTGGCACAAGGCAGCATGGCAAGTCATGTTCAAGGAAGCCTATGGAACCGAAACTTCCGTCCGTCCAGACCTTCACGAATCAACCTACTTGATCAAGCTGGGCGAGAACAAGCGCTTGACCCCCGCCACTTACGACCGTAACGTGTTCCATTTGGAATTCGACACCACTGGCTCCAACTTGAAGTATAATTTGGGCGATGCTTTGGGTGTCCACGGCCACAACGACACTGAGGAAGTCGATGAATTCCTTGCCTGGTACGGCTTGAACGGTAATGATGTGATCTCAGTGAAGAACTCTGATTCTGGCAAGTTGGAGACCCGCACAATCTTCCAAATGTTCGCGCAGACGCTCGATGTCTTTGGTCGTCCTTCCAAGAAGTTCTACGAATCGCTCGCTTCATATGCTTCCAACCACAAGGAAAAGGAGCAGCTGTTGTTCTTGATATCGGCGGAGGGCAAGGATGAATACAAGAAGCGTGTAGATGACACGATCACCTACGAGGATCTGTTGCGCGAATTCACTTCAGCCAAGCCTCCTGTCGAAGCCCTTGTCAACATGATCACTCCCATCAAGCCTCGTCACTACTCAATCGCCTCGTCTCAAAAGATGTTCCCCAACTCAGTCCACTTGTTGGTTGTCGCCGTTGACTGGGTCAGTGCAACTGGGAAGAAACGCTATGGTCAGTGTACAAGATACTTGGCCAACATGAAGGTCGGTTCCGACGTTACTGTTTCGATCAAGCCTTCAGTGATGAAGTTGCCTCCCTTGGACACCCAGCCGGTCATCATGGCTGGTCTCGGTACCGGTATGGCTCCTTTCCGTGCTTTCATTCAAGAGCGTGCCATGGTCAAGGCTGCTGGCAAGGAAGTTGGTCCCATGGTCTTGTACTTTGGCTCGCGTAACCGTCGCATGGAATACCTGTATGGTGAAGAACTGGAAGCCTATAACGCTGACGGTCTGTTGACGCACATGGGTTTGGCATTCTCGCGTGATCAAAAGAAGAAGGTGTACATTCAGCACAAGATGATGGAGGATGCCGAGCTTCTGCACGACTATTTGATTACCAAGAACGGTCACTTCTACCTTTGTGGTCCTACTTGGCCCGTGCCCGATGTCAAGGATGCTGTTGTCTACGGTCTCAAGCACTTTGGCGGTATCGATGAGAAGGAAGCTGGCAACCTGATCGAGGAATGGAAGGAGAAGGAAAAGTACATCTTGGAAGTGTACTAAAAATTATATCGTTTGTTTCTTGTCTTTTCTAAGCACCACTTGTAAAATAGTTTCTTTCATCTCTTTTATTATCATACACCTTATTTAAAAGACGACACGCACATATATACACTTATATGTTTTGCATAATAAAAAATGAACATCATTCCCAACTCTTATTATGCTGTGTAACACTCTTAAGACTTGCTCAAGTATGTCAGAAAGTAACAATGAATAGGCACTGTACCGATGATTCAACTATTTTCAATTTGTAATCTAGAACTAATAATTTAATTTATTCCAACTCGTATCCTTCCTCTGCCAAATACAACGCGACAATACGCATGCTGGCTTGAGCAATCATATCGCCTTCCAGCTCGTCATCTGAGGTCGTGGTATCTTGTGTGAATCTCAAGAGTTCCATCACAATATTCATTGTATCAGTCAACACGGTCCGAATCTTAAGCAATATGTCTGCGTCCATGTCACTTTCTTGATCCTCGCTATAGTTCAAGGACAAATACTGGATCGCAGCTTCGAGGATTTCAAAACAGACGGGTACCATCGTTTCCTGGCGCATCTCCTTTTCGGCATCCACCTCAACAACTTCTTGATTGTGTAATTTTAATCGTCGTTCATGGATATCGTCCAGCATCACACGCGTTTCGACCGCAACCAGATGGATCAATAGCACTGGGAACTTGACATCTGCATCATTGCTGGATGGTGCACTGTTGGCAGGCTTCTTTTCACTTTTCCGTCGCTCGGATTTGGTTTTTCTTAGAGTGGAAAACAGCCAATCTGGACCGAAATATTGAAGCAAGCATGCTGTTACTACCATAGATTGATCCCGATATTTTACGTCTATAATGCATTCCCGTAATATGTCATTTAGTCAATCTCTATACAAAGTTCAAATGCAAATCACAAGGTCTTTGTCTTTCTGTTACCAAGCCTAGTACTAAATATCTGTCGTAATCCAGATCGAAGATCTTGCAACCAGCGTGATACTTTATCTTGTCCTGATTCTTTAAATTTCTGCATAATCTAAGTCGCACGGATTCCACTTAGCAACTTGTTTTGCACAAATCTTTTAAAATCATACCTCTGATGGTACATCCGGCAACACGGAGCTTAATACATTTAGAGTTTTGAATTTCAGCTTGTCCTGGTTGTTTGCGAGGACCTTGGATAACGCAGTGAACAAGGTTGGTAAAGAGTATTTGAGCGCTGATTCAAGGCTTGGAATTGGTTTTTCGTGCAACATATGGCATGCTCGTGCAAAGGTCGAATGGATAAGCTGAAATCCAAGCTCTTGTTCTTGACCTATTTGCCTCGTCCATTAGAATAATTGAAAAAGAGGTTTGTTCTCGACATGCATACTGTGATAATGAACATGCACGCATACCATTTTTTGTGGCCACCGCTAGCTCCATAACATTCTTGAGAACATCCGGATCCAGCATCCGGACAAGACCTTCCTTTGTCACACTAACACATAGTAAGATATGTAGTGCTTCCCTGGTACCATCCGACTTGTCACTTTTCATGGAAAGGAAAAAAAAACTTTTAGTAACACTATTTCCATTACACTAACGCTCCTAATTATCCCTGGCATACTACTTACTCTTCTTTCAAAACGGTCGATAAAGCAGGGATCCGGTCGGCCATCATTTTGCTCGAGGCCATATTCTCGTAGTGAGCAAAACAAGCCAAAACGTTAATCGCGATCTCTCGTAGCACCGGTTCGGGAACTTGACCCGTTTCTGAATCCACAGCAGCTAAAGTAAATCAGCACACAAAGAAATAAACGTGAAGTGCACGCTCCTTATAGCAAAACAAAAGCGTGTGTATAAATGATTACATGTTCGAAGTAAACGTTCAATGAACTTAAAGTTCATGCCGTCAAAAACGCGTTGGACAAGATCGACTTGATCGTGGCTCAAGAGTCGAGGCAAGAGGAGCATGCCAACAAACTTGGATTCGTCGGGTTGTGCTGGTGAGATTAGTTCGAGACATCGATCGATCTCGGCAGATCGTTCTGCGGTGGAGCTGTGGGCTGCCATTACTCAAGTGTTGTTGGAGTGTCAAAAACGAAAGAGAAAAGTGGTGGCGGCATTATATTAAAATCCATTCGTAGTTCTTTTCCTCTGATATGATACTCGCCGGTCACTCCACGCTACACTACTACCATTCTTTCTAGTAAGAACCACAATAAAGTATCTTAAAGTTCCTTTAATCCTTCTAAAGCCCATGTAAGAATCATATAAGCATACAACAATACAAGAATGAATGGGGTCGATATTAAACAATACACGATGACATATAGTAGGTAAAAGAACATAGTGATGGTGGTTGTACTTATACTTCTCGCTCTCTGTCTTGCAAGAATCCGGATCGTCGTCGCATTCTTTGGCCGTAAATTTTTAGGATGATTAAACCGCAAGCTGCAAGCCAGCTTAGACCAGCGACAAAAACTGAGAGGTAGCCAGGACCTATTGAGTCCACCATAGGCGTGCCTGCCACTGCAAATAGACATGCAAACACATTGTATATCACATTTCCAGCAGCTACAGCCGATGCTCCTCGACCAGGTACTGCGTCCAGTAAATAAGCGCTCACACCTGTCATGACTTGATTCATTCCGAATGTCTGTATGCCAAAAGCAACGATAGGTATCCACTATCCAGTAGGACAGCCGCTTTTCCATGCTCCAGCCGAACAACAACACACCCGTTGGTATAAAGATCAGTAGACAGGGCCACATCATAAATATAAATCGGTCCTCTACTTTCTCTCGTCCTCCGCGTCGACCTCTTGCCCGTAAAAGCAAACGATCAGAAAGCTGGCTGTTGACCAATACACCGCAAATGTTCCCTAGCCCTCCTCCTGAATAACATAAGCCTGTTATGGCCATTCCCATCAGACTTTTTTATAATCTTATGATGTTTTTGGTATAGATGCTTGCTTTATGAAATGTCGATATCTGATTAAAATCAAACAATATAATACTAACCTGTCTGCCAGGAATTAAATGAATGGATGCGCTCGTACAAAATAGGGATTACAGTCTCTATCGCTAGTACAGTACCTATAGCTCATATTATATAGTTAAATCCAATGACAACATAAGTGAAGAGGACAGAGAACTTCGATTGCAGAAACAATCATATTAAATGCAACACCTCCGGCAAACGAACTCAATGCAATGTTCGGATACCGAAGTAAGGCAAATGGACGGAATAGATTCAACGATTTTTCTCTTTCATGGTCCTTCTCCTGCGATGACGATGATATCACTGCTTCGAGGGTATCCCCTTCTTTTTCTCGTTGCTGTTGCTTTTCCACATCCTTGCTATCGATCACTAGGTGGATCGTGGGCGTTGTTGCTCTGTCTTCGTCATCAAGAACTTGTACATGCGAGCCTTCGACTGATGTGTTGGTGGCAGAGACGTATATGACGCTGTTGACGACTTTTCATTGTTGACATCAGTAACGACATCAATTTTTGGTCGTCTCGATAGGTCTCTGGCATGAAAAAGACGGTGACGCCGAGTACAATGCCACCCAACCCGGCGCATAACCAAAATGTAGCACGCCACGTCAAATCAGTCATGACTAAAAAGCCGCCAATCATTGGACCTACATATATAGTACGTTGATATGATGTAATGTAAATTCCGGAACTGTATAACATCTCAGTTTTATCGTAATTACACATCGCTTACCAATAAGAGGACCAAACGTATTTCCAAGAACAAACTTGCTGTATCCACGCCCACGTTGCTCAATGGATTAGAGATCGGCGATAAAGGCAGGACCAACCGATTGGGATGCTGAAGCACCTATTGCTTGAAGTCATCGAAATACAACAAGACCCCAAATGTTGTTGATGACCGCACTGGCGATTGAAGAAATGATAAAAATAACCATTGAAATTATCAGCAAGAAACGTCTAATTTGGTAGAAATCTGAAAGCGCTGCAAAGAGCACTGGTGATATACCCATGAAGAACATAAAAAGCGCTGCGACCAATGTCGTTACAAAAGATGACGGATTTAAATTCCATAATGATGTTGGGAATCCCTGATTTTTTGTACGGCGAGTGATGTAAAATTAATCATCAACAGCACGAAGCACTCCAAAGCCGATAAATGATTCTATTTAGAAATATCATGTACCTGGATAGTAAACGGTACACGAGAACCCGGCTAATGCAGCCAAAAACATTACAATGAGAATAATACCATTCTTAACCGTTGGGCTGTGCAATCGAGGATATTGGTCGACTGGCGGACGGATCGATAGTTGTGATTTCAGATAGCGTATGAATCGATTGTGTTTGATTATCGTCCGCCCGATCATCGTCCCCTTTTTGTTGGTAGCTGCTTTTACTCAGTAACGCGATGATAATAAAGCTAATCACGACGACTGTTTGCTAATCCTATGAATCTTGATTGTTTTGTTGAGCAAAATTGTCAAGGAGCCAAGAATGAAAGATTAGATTATCTGGTTCGATATAACAGTGAAACAAAAACAAATGTTCCTGAGCTGTATCACTTGTTGAAAAAAAAAGTTGAGCAGTAAATAAGAAGTAAAGCTAAATGTCCATGACCTTACATAAGAAGATAAAAAAAAGTAGTCAAGATGATGTCAGTTCTCATTGTCTTTCAAGAAAGGTCGCCGTATGATTCGATTTATGAGTTGCTTTACATTCTAAAAATGTGAAGTGAGGTCCGTCTGTGCGTCAAACTTGCTTTATGATACGTGAATATTTACAAGTGCTGACCACAATGTTTGCGGGTGACGATGATGAACCTGATCGTAATTGAAATGATGAGAAGAGTTGTATGTGCATTAAGAGCTTTGCACCAGTCTGCAATCCTACAGCAACACATATGGTATTTACTATAGTGCTTGTCACTATACCCTCTTTCGTGCCTAAGGACACATACTTGATCTATGTTTTGGCAAAAATAA